TCCTGCGAGGTTGCTGGTGCTTTACAAATAACCCTTTACAGTTTACACCATAGACTTATCAGTGAATCTATGATTTATACACTAGAAGATAAAAGTAGTACCAAAACCACTAACTTGCGGCACTCCGTAATTTACAAATCACAAACAAAGTTCAGTCACGTACTCTATGCTCAATAAAGTGTTTTGTAGGAATATATAAATGTTGTGTTGAGTCAGAATTGACGTGCTGTTGCCTGTACATAATTTGTTATGTGTATAATTTGATATTCTGAGGTGTGTTACTGCACGTTCTGAGTGTAACTGTCAAATTAGCGTCCTTAATTAATTTATAACTATCGCTATTATTGTCAATAGTGCCAGCTCAGAACTAAATTATCATCGACGATTTACAGTTTCCAACTTCCAACATCACTATAAATATATAATCTTATTAATCATTATCTTCAATAGTTGATATCCGTCGGGCTGGTAGCGCCATCCTCTTCGATTTATTCGAAACTTTAAACAGCACTTATAAGATTTCTATTCATACGTATAAAAATTTTTCGTCATCATCGGCAGCCTATTAGTGTTCCCACTGCTGGGGCTCAGGTCTTTCCTATGGATGGAATCGAATTGGGAATATTAACCATGACGCACTACGCGGGCCCAGTGCGGATTGGTGGGTATTATCAACTACAAACCAACGGCTTAAGATGTCTTTCGAAGCACGGCGGAGCTCAAGATAATATTTTTTTGGTCACCAATCCCATGACCGGCCATTGCGAAAGTTACATAACATTGTATTATATATCTCAGTATCGTAGACTAAGCGCGCTATTTTTTTTTTCAAATAAATCAGGTATAATACGTTCCAATAATTTCATTTACATCATAAAAATGACAACACACAACGTATATCGGAACGTACGTGGTGACTGTTACCATATGTTGATCCAAATATAAAAATGGTAGCTTAACACAGTTGTATCGTTATAAAAAGTCACATTTGACATTATATCAGTCTTAACTTGAGATTGAGGCCTCCTTATAATTTTCGATTAATTTAGTGAATTGATATGGTTTTTAAATGAAAACATGAATCGAATGAAGTTATTATGCAAAAATAAGATTAATTTTAGAATTATTATCAATATATTCCTCCCTGAGATTGATTTATTAAATTATGTTTTGTGTCGACATTGCAAGAACAACAGAAGAACATCGCAGATAATAAATGAATTTACTTATTACGAAGCGTAATATAAGAGTGGGAATAAATCCAAAACACCTTTGTATCTCCTTTGTATATAGTGGATAATCTTGATCATAGCAAAAAAGTAATTGTAATATTTCTAGACCTAGCAAAAGCTTTCGATACAGTTTCTGACCCTCTCTTGATAAGAAAGCTCGAAGCTCTAGGAATACGTCAAATGCAACAACAATTGATAGTTGATTATCTTACCAATCGAGTCCAACAAGTGAAAATAGGTGAATATTGCAGTGAATACCGTCAAATAACCCATGGAGTTCCTCAAGGCAGCATAATTGGTCCTACCCTCTTTGTAGCATATATAAACGATTAGTTTGATCTTGAACCCCCCCGTGGAAAGATTGTTTCTTTCACAGACGATACGACACTTCTATTTGCTGGTGAATCGTGGAGTGAGGTCTTTCAGAATGCCCAAGTAGGATTTGACAAGGTTTCAGATTGATTAAGTACTAATAGACTATCTCTAAATATAGATTAATCTAAATTTATACCTATTTCCATAAAAAGATCATCCTTGCCCCAGTCGTTAGATAAATCAATTAAAGTTCATTGTTGTGATAATCCTTCAATCTCCAACTGTTCGTGTCCAATATTAGAAAAAGTAAAGTCCATTAAATATTTGGGAGTAGTAATAGACAATACATTAAGCTTTTTTGAACACACAGATCTCATAACTGCCAGAATTAGATAACTTATGCATATATTTAAAATTCTCCGTCATGTAACCGAAAAGCACATCATTAGATTAATTTATTTGCATTATGCCAATCACAAATAACGTATTGTATTACTAACTGGGGGTGTACTTTAAAATCTACATTCTTAAAACTCGAAAGAGCTCAGAGAGCAGCCCAGGGATTCTGTAAAAATCTAAACCCGGATTGAATTCACTCAGGTGTCCGAATTCACTCTAAAAGGCGGCACCCGCTCAACCTTGAATAGGTAATAGTTACGTGGCGTAAGTAAAGAGAGGTCAAATGACACAGGAATAGAATATCAATCAATATTGATTTGTATTTTTTGTGCCCTGTCCACAATGCCCTGTGAGTGCTCGTACTAGTGTGCGAAGGTGATTTTTGGTTAAGTTTAAGGCCTCCGATGCCGCCTTTTTGTTGAAGGTTTTAATCAGGGTCTTAGAGTGTTTCATACCGGGAGTGTTTCTCCATAGTTGAATAGCTGCATAATGGCAGTATGTTTTCAAGGTTAGCTGGGTTAGGCTTTGAGGGATGCCACAGAAAGGTTCGGGTCCGATAAAGGCGTCTTTAGCACCCTTCTTCACCAGTTTGTCCGCCTGTTCATTGCTCTCGTGTCCAGCGTGACCTGGAACCCATCGTAGAACTACTTTGTTGTTGTTGCCCAAAGAGTTCAATGTCTGTTTGCAGTTCTCGACCAGCTTCGATCTAGTTACGTCAGAGGCTAGTGCTAAGAGTGCAGCTTGACTATCAGAGTGGATGTAGATAGTATGATTGAGGTAGTTGTTTTGCAGATTGGCTGCCGCACATTCCAAAATGGCGTATACTTTCGCCTGGAATATTGAGGAGTACTTTCCCATGTTCAGACTTATAGCCTTCCTTGGGGCTTCTCCATAAATTCCACATCCTACCTAAGGACCGGATTTGGAGCCGTCAGTGTACCACTTTAGGCTTCCATTTTTCCATACTATACGATTGTTTGACCAGTCGTCCCTGGTGGGTATCTCCACAAGATATGACCTGTGTGAATCGACTCTCGGGGGCATGGTGTCCGTAGGCATCCCCAGGATTGGTATATTTCCTTTTAGCTAACATAATATTAAAAAACTGAAATTCAAAAACTTCGAAACTTAGATATCAATACAAATACGAAAAAGTACAAATAGAATATGAGTTGTTTATTGAGTTTCCTGCAAACACGTCTAACTCGATTCTATTCATATAAAACCCAGTTGGATTTTTAGTAAGTATGTAAAATCTCGATAAAGACAAACTAATGTATTTTGCCTGCACAAAGAAAAACATCCTAGCGCGCCATACTTACTTTACGTTAATAATTTGATACATAATAACAAAAATTATTAAAAGATTAATGGAATGCTTTCTGCCGCGAGTTCCTATAGTGGGATAAAAACAGTACTTTTGAATCACCCTTATGTACTAAAAAAAAACAAAATCCATTGCGTAATTTTAAAGATCTAAGCATACATAGGGACAGACAGTGAAAAGCGACTTTGACCGAGACTCGCTCGGATAATCGAAATGTGGGTTTTTGCTACAAAATTAAACAAAAAGATTACTTCACATATAAAAACACTATAAGATATACACATGTGCGTCAAACTACAAAACATTTGAGAAAGAAATCTGTTTTCTGTCTTGAACTATGCAGTATGCACATCAAGCGACTAATTGACTCCAACCTTCGGGTAATGAGGAATGTCATTTATTTTTACGTTATAGTATAGTCTATTAAAAATAAAAATAATTTTTCGATACGTCGTATAGTTTTCAAGATATTCAATTTTTAAGTTAAGTGCACAACGTGAGGTCGCCGCTCGCTGTTGTGACGTCATGTTAACATACTCCCGAGTGCTTCTGACCTGTGTTTGGTGGAAAATTATTTAATATGTTAAATCCACAAACGTTCTGGGTGAATTAAGAACACCTGTGCTTTAATACCACCAATCCACTTTGGGTCCTACACGTGGGCTCAGTACGAAATGCCTAGTGGATTAGTTTAACAAATTAAGAACGGTCCCTATGGTTTAGTACCATTAATCCGCTTTTGGGCTCAGCATGGAATGCTGTGGTGTTACATAAATTAAGAGTAAATTTCTATAGTTTAGCACCACCAATCCACATTGAACCCAAAACGCGGGCCCAGTACGAAACGATGACTGGATTAGTTTCATACATTAAGAATACCTGTGCTTTAGCATCATCAATCCGCTTTGGGTCCTACACGGGGGCCCAGTACAGAATGTTCGGTGGATGCGTATTGGTTTCGTTCATTAAAAATACCTGTGCTTTAGCACTACCACGTGGACGGCACACGACTTAAGTTCTTTTTATAGCACTACGATGTGAACGGCATACGAGTTTAGTCATTGTTATTGTCATCAAGAAACCGGTACCGGTACAATGTATGAGTGACTCAGTATATTGCGTGCGGCGTGGAGCTGCGCTTTGTAACGGACGCCATATGTCCATAGCGCACTGAAGTGATGTTTTGTAAAAGTTAAAAATCAAAACAATCATCACTTCGAAACGACTCCCTCAATTTTTATGAAACAATAGGTGTATTTCTTAATATGAAGACTACAGGGACATGAAGTTTAGAGCGACTTGACAAACCCATTAATAATCCTCATTAAGGGTTCAGCTTTTCAAAGTTCTATTGTTCAACTATGAACATATAGTTAGGTTAAACATAACTAGTTAGTTAGGTGAACTATATTAACTTTAAAGTTAATATAGTGAGGTAACTTTAAAGTTTACTTCTAACATGAAAGTACACAAACTCAAAGTTTGTAACAATATTGTATTTTTTCTTAAGATTTAAAGTCAAAATAATGAAGATAATTTTTTTTCACCGAAATGTTTATTCAGTGATCGAAATATTTAGATAATTATTATAGCAACACTGAATGGAATGTCATCATCGAACTACTAAATATTAACAGATTGACTAATGGCCAAGCCTATTTTTTTATTTTATTAATTGTACAAGTTTATTCATTGTTATAGTGATTTGAGAAAGTTAGTTTACAAATATGGTTGTCAAAATATACATAAGTGGTATTTCCGGAAATAAGGAGGTAAGTTTAATATTAGAAAATCCCTGGGATGGCCGGGTGCTTATCACTAAATTTTAAGGTTGATTCATGAAATTAATGTCTTTGATTACGTGATTAACAACCGTCGTAGGTGAAAAAGAGGCAACAACGTGTGCTAATGATATTAGACTCGAAAAACATAAAATATGATGTCATTGACATAACGGAACCAGGAAGAGAAGATGACAAAGAATTCATGCAAAACAATTCCAAGTCGAACGGAGGCACTGTCAGCGACCCTAACCCTCGATCCCCATTGCCTCCGCAAGTCTTCAATGATGACGAGTACTGTGGGGTGAGTGCACATAAACCAGTGGATTCATGTTTATCTTCTCTAAAAACAATATTTTTTACTCATAATAATTTGTCAACAGGATTATGATCAATTTGATCTAGCTAATGAAGTAGATACCTTGGAACAGTTTCTAAAGTTAGAAGTGCCCTCAGAGGAACCACCTCAAACAGAAGTTGAACAGGTTTGTTGCATAGTATTATTTCCTGTTGTTGAGGGAACCAGTAATATGTCTTTTTATTGTATGTAATAAATTAAAAACTTTCTGTATCATACAAATGAAAATATAGGTGTATTACAATTATTAATTAGATTTATTTATAACATATATTTGACAATGTTGAGTTATATAAGATTACTCTTTCAACACTCAATGTAGTGTTGGTAAAACTTTAGGATCAACACGGTATAATTTTTCTATATTTTAATAAACACATTTTTATCTTTATTAGTAATAATTTATAGTTTAATCATAAATGAATGCAAATAAGAACATGTCATTTTTCTCATTTCAGGAGAAAATTTTAAATGGTGATGTTGCCAAACAAGATGATGAAAGCAAATCAAAAGAAGGCTCACCTGCAAAAGATAGTAATGGTGATAAAGCAGAGGAAACTACTGAGAATGATAATAATTCTGAGCCACCAAAAGAGAATGTTGAAGCTGAGGAGTTGAAAGAAGAAACTGCTAAAGAGAAAACGCCATCAAGAGAAACAACGCCTGCTGAGAAAGTTAGTTCTAAAGAGCCTTCCCCTGCTAAGGATAATGAACAAGAAAATGATGAAAAATTAGAATCTGAAAAAGAGACTTCTCCTGAGAGACAAAAATCAGTAGAAAAAGAAGAAAAAACTGTTGAAAAAGAAAAATCTCCAGCTAAAGATTCTGAACCTGAATCTGAGAAATCAAAGGAAAGTACACCTGAAAAAGATGTTTCTGTAAATGAGAATGGTACCATTAGTTCTCGTGATCAATCTGAAGAGAAAGATAATGCACCTGAAAGTAAAAAGGAAAACCCATCAGAAGATCTGATACAGAGTGAGCAAGCTGCTGCCGCTGAATAGTTGACTGACACCCATTTGCTTTTCAGCTCAAACTCAGCCCACTAGCACTAAGTGAACACTATCCAATAAGTTTGTTTTGTTATAATGCATCTCTCTTTTCTTAGAGCCATTGTATATAACGCTAAAAATTATATCGAAAACTTGAGTTGCATTGGTGCGATGTTAAGTGTAATGTTTTCTATGAAGTGGCCTATTATCATTAATCATTAGATTATTAATCAATTTTATATGAAGTTCCAGAGTAAGATTTCTATTTAATGGTTTTTCCTTCATAAGGCTTGTATTATTTTAAAGTATTAATGATAAATATTTCTTATACAAATTAATCTATCAATTTTCATTAGACAATATTAATTTACCGTAAGTTTTAAAGAGTATTTATTTATTCTCATTAAGTATGAAACTGCTATTAGTACTCTATTAAGAAATTTAAAGTGGCCATCTAATTTATACATAAAGCATATTTTGCCAAGATCTTTTGAGGTGCTAAGTAATATGCTACTATCACAATAACAATTAAATTAGGAAATCGGTTTGAATTAATATAAATGTAAACAATCTATATGGATATTTTCCAAAATGCTAAGTTTAAAACATGTTTAAATGAAATTTAACAATACAGAAAAATTTACTAACCTCTGTTTACTAGTAATTTCATTTTTAAAGCAATCAGTATATCATCTACACTTTGAAGAGATTGAAGTAGTCTATCACTCCCTTTGTTTTTGGTTGTAATTAATTTAAAAATAGGCTTTTTCATGACAGTTTTATGTTATTATTAAAGACATTTTTTAACTAATTTTCATACGAATTATATAAAATATTATAAAATGCTAGCTTTTTATTTCATTTTAATATTTTAATGAGGTTAAACTTCATCAACTTCTTTGTAACTCTGGCAACTTCCTAGGATAACCAAAATAAATTGTTCACACAGCTCTGTGGGGAAGTCGTCATCGAGTGGTTTTGGTATTCTGTAACTCATTTTTAATAAATCGGTAATCCCTAGCCAGAAGCCAGTGGCGTAGCGGCGGTGTATGTCACCCCTCATAATAAGGTATTTCATATGTACCTCGTGTGTTCATAAGTTTGAGTCAAACATTTTACTTGAAAAATAATATGTCACTGGCTGTTTTTTTTTAGTGATTTTGTAATTGGGATATTTAAGTTTATTTGTGTCGTAAATTCATTTGCAGATATTTTCTCGTGATGGAGGGAACGAAACAATACGTGCAACTGCTATTTCGCTATTAAAGGCGGGAAAAAAACCGATGCAGATTTTCCTCGAGCTGAAAAGTTTTCCAGTAAGTCGTAACTTCGTCTATTACACAATAAAGCGGTACAAAGAGATAAGTTCTCTGCAAGATCGCCAAAGGAGTGATCGGTCACGCAGTGACTTCGCCGAAATCCATCTCGCACTCAGAAGAAACTCTGCAGACTAAAATTTCGCGCGTTTCTGTGAACAGTATACCGAAATATGATCTTATGGTAAAGGCATATAGCCGTAGAAAAGTTCACTTTTTAAACGAGTTTGTTACGACGCGATCGTTATCCATTGCTGCTGAGGAGACATGATGCTAGGAAGATACTCTTCACCGACGAGAAAAATTTTATTGTCTTGGAAAAGTTTAACCAACAAAAACAATAAAGTGTACGATCAAAGTAGCAAGGTGTCCCATTTTTTGCACGGAATGTCACGCGCACTCATAATTTGGGGAGTTTCGTATGAAGGTGTCACTCCGTTCCATTTTTGCCAACAAGGTATCAAGGTGAAAGCCAAGCCGTTGTGAAACCCCTGGTTGATACTTTATTTCACAATAAGGATTGAGTTTTTCAGCAAGACACGGCACCAGGCAAAAATCACCCAAGCTTGGTTGAGGGAGAATGTGCCGGCTTTCATCGCGGCGGGCGAGTGGCCCTCCAGCCCCTACCTCAACCCGCTGGATTATTCTTTATGGACTGAATTAGAGCTCGGGGCATGTCGAAAGTCCCACCCAAACTTGGAGTCACTAAAGCGAACCCCTAGTTCGAGAAGCAAAGCGAATTCCGCTAGAAATGATTTGTGCCGCCATTGTAAACTGACCAAATCGTCTAAGGGCTTGTATTCAAAACAAGGGCAGTCATTTGAATAAAATATATACTTTATGGTTGATTATTATCTATGTAATGGTTACTGAAAATTTTAGAAATATACTCGTTAATATATAAAGTTATAAAGTTAATTATTAAATTAGTCACGCAACTTTTATTTCGTCTCAAAACTTGTGAACACACGAGGTATTTTATATAATTATACTGTCATCATTATTTTGCATTATACAGACTAGATTTTGACTGCACGGTTGGTGGAGTGGTTTAGTTGTCGCTATAAAATTACCTACGAGTGAGTGTTCGATCCCCGCAAAGGATAATTTTTCGTGTGATTTACAAATAATTGTTTTTAGTCGGTGTACTTTGTCCCTCGTAACACAGTACTTACATCTTAAAAAGCGGGCTTGTCTTTTAAAAAATAAAAGGATTTGAAATAAAAGAAAATACGAATTAAATATAATTTAAAGAAAGATTATTCTTCGAATCCGTCACAGAATAAGTAATGAAGAATTCCGTGTTCTTTTCATTCGGTCCGAATTTATAGTTGCGTTAAAAATATGAATTGGTTCAAATATTTAAAAAATATATTTTATTGTTTACCGTGAAATTTTGCCGCCCCTTTAAAAGTGACGCCCGGGGCGGCATAAGCTGTAAAAATATCGTCTTTGTTTGAGATTTATTACAGTCGAAAAGATTTTCACTATAAAAGAAAGCTAAAAAATCTCATAAAAATATTTTATCTTAACGAGGCAGCCTTATATCAGCAGTTTATCTAAATATTTAAAGAATTATTTCTGTCAGTTAATGTATTCATAACAAAATAGTTGTGTAGAGTCTTTGTCGCTGTTAAGCTGACTGAATTCCAGTAGCACCATAGTACCTACTTTGATATAAAAACCATTATTCTGTGATCTAATTACATTACATTAATTTACAGTTTTAAAATTTACAAATTTTCATTTGTCATCAGTAGGTGACGTCATGTTGTCCTCCGACACAGGCTTCCTGCATGGTATGCCACTCCTCTTGATTGTGTACTTAATATACCTAGAGCATCTAGGATTAATACTTTAATTAATTTGAGCGTGCAGTCTCAATATTGACAACGATCGTTAAGTAGTCTTAATAATCTTCATTCAAATAGACTTCTTAAAAGTAGTTTTGAATCGTCCAACATTTTTTCCCTACCGCTCGTTCAGGACGTCTTTTGGCTGATAAGAAGAACGAGCAAAAAACTCACCAGCTCTAATAGGAGTAATGATATTTAAAAAAACTATGGTCTTAAAATGATAAGGTAATCATTTAATAATAATGGAAGCTCGATGATCGCCCGCGTGGACCCTAGGGAAATGTTTAGTGGGATAAAAAGTATCCTATTATCTAAGTCAGCTAACACCCTATCTGTATACCAAATTTCATCAAAACCCGTTCAGTAGTTAGACCGACAAACATTCAAACATCCAAACAAAGAAACTCACATTTATAATATTATAATAGAATTGTTCATAGCGGAGAATGTCAGTGTAATATTATTATATATATATATCATTTTCCAAACACCATTTTCTTATTAACCGACTTCAGCTTTTAAAATTTATTATCATGTAAGTCGGTTTACCATCTTAAGATATGGCCAATCTTTAGGTGTTATGATGCCACATACCTATTCTAAAGTCAGACGAATTAATGAAATAACATATAAGCGAGGTTTTTCGTATTTGATTATATTTGAGCAAATAAATCTCCTTAATAATTTTTAAATGTTTAACTTACTTGTTAAAATAAATAATTATGGAATAACACGTTATAAAATCTATAATGGAAATGTAAAACATCAGGTATCTAATTTCATTGTACAAATACAACTACAAACATGTTTTTCATTTTAAATAGCCTCTAATCTATAAAACATAGTATTATCATCTTCATATATTTTTCTTCAAAGTTGGCGAGGGGGGATTACTTAAATCCTTGAGGAGTGATTCCGCGGGTATGTTCTTGTGGCGTATATCATTTTCTATTTGCTCGTCCAGCATGCCAGCTTGAATATTTTTGTCCAAGGTAACCAATCGTGGATTGGTATTTCTATATTCTTCAATCAAACTAAGATTCTTTTTGATACCGTCGACTAATTTTACGACAGAGTATTCACCCATAGCAGCACCTTCTTGTAGTTTAGTCCCAGCGATCTTGGCCACAGAAGATTGTTTGACATCGGAGACGAGCTGCATACACCACTGCTTTAAATTGGCCAATATTGTAACAGGCCCTTCGTATTCGTTTGGCACGATACCGTCCACCTCCGATTCAAAGAATGATAGTAATGGGAACCATATTCTTGTCCTGAAACAATATTATATCATACATCAGTTTAATGAACATACTGTTTTTATTAAGATTGCATCCGATGTACCAATATATCGGCGACTTCGCGAACTGTACACGGGTTCCGCACGTTATATTATCTCTTTAACTCCAATAGTACAGTCCACATCACATAGCTCATTTCGCTAATTGTTTGTTGCTATGATCGATCCTTTCATAGGTGGCAGAGATTTTCTTGGAAAAAGTCAAGTCCAAAGTAATTTATTCTTCTTGGTTGGGTGAGAAATAATATTATAATAATAGAACTCTATCTATAACATCTATAAAGAGTTATAATTTGATGACATAATTGGTTGGGTTGTATAAGTTGTCTTACCCCCGGTTTCAATAATATACCGACAACCATCGGTAGCAGCTACCGACCGTTTTTTGAGCTACCGACAACCATTCGTTTTTGCGTTTCACAATCATCGGTAGGCGCCTACCAACTACGAACGGTTGTCGGTAGCTCATTTTTTTAAATTGTAATTATATAATTCGAGGAAAAAGGATCTTTCCATACAGCCTTGTCTTAGGTAATATTATGATTATACTGAAATGTTGGTCTTTAACATTTAATAATTTTCTTGGAAAAATCGAAATCGTAAGAAGGAAGACAGAGACATCAATAGGAAAGAGGTGAACTGATTACGTACCGAAACTAAATTTGAAATTTGTTTTGGAATTATAATGACTTATTTATTATATGGTTAGGTTCCTAAAAGTGGTGTTATTGTGAAACAAATTATCGTCTGAAATGGAATTCTGATGTAAACAAAAGAGTTACCATTACAACAAATAGTTTAGATTTATCTCTTTAAAAGTTTTTAGTAATTTTTTTACTTGAACTAAAAATCCATTTATTTAGATAAAAATATTTTATGCTGCAGGCAAGAAACAGCGATTCGGAACATTTGGCTCATTGAATTAAACTTTTTTTATTTAGTATGATTTATCGTAAAATATTTATAAATAACACGTTTTCCCTTGTTAATTAAAAGAAAAGTAACAGTTTTTCATTAAAAAAATAATATTGTAGAAGAGCTTAATGTGTTTTGTGGTTCAGATTAGAAGAATTTAAGTTGTAATCATGTCAATGTTTGTACCTTTAAGGGCTCTTACTACCAATTAATTATTGGTCCAGATGTTTCTACAATATGTTTCTTTTGAAAAACATAATAATTTACCTCTATATAATTATGAAAAACCTGGTTCTGATGAAACTGAATTTGCAACCTACTGTACAAGTATTTTATTCGATATTGATTTACAATTCAAAGTACTTAAATTTGAAAAAGTAATGAAATTCTTATAGGCTAATGTCAACAAATCTTACATTTTTATCCTCACTTTGTTATACAAAATTAGTAACACTTGAATGAGAAACCTTCTCTTTTATTGAAGTCGATAAAGAGAAAAAGAAGTCGAGAAAATAAGACTATACATCTTATATTCGTATTATTATTTGCAAAAATAAAATTATAATTATAACCTTTTGGAAAATGTTTGCAACTCCTGAAATAACATCATTTGTTTATATAAGTTTTTTTATCTCGAATTAAATTTCGGAATATAAATAAACGTGTGCAATACACAGTTCATTGAAATGGTACGGTGCATGGTTATGAGCAGTGTTTTGTCAATTAGTAGTACAAGAACGCGAACGTGTTACTTTGATGTACCTCACCATTTTCTAATATATTTCAAATTTTGCTTCAAAAAAAAGCATTTTAAACGTCCAAGTGAACCTCAATGTGAATATTGTCACTCTAGACTAGGTCGTATGTGCTATATCCCTTTGCCTTTAATTATGCCAAAAAGTAAAGTTGATTTATGTTCCGTAGAAGCTTAGCGGGAATTTTATATAGAGTTCACCTTTATTATAAATTTTTAATTGTATAAAGTGATTTGTATAATATATTACTATACATATTGAATTTGCAAGATAAAATTAATGAAATTGACAGTGAACAATTGTGATCCATTGACATAGGATGATAAATGAATGGTTATTAGAAAAAGTGGAATGATTGTATCAAATCGTAAAACAAACGTAGATAAATGCAATGGAATAATGTAAAAATTATGTAGTTTTTAATGAATTGTTTTTTATTTGTAAAATAAATAAGTTATATCCAAATTGATTTATTTGGTTTTATTAAGAATTAAATCAATATCAGTGTTTAATAAAAAATAAAGGGTATAAACTAATGTAACGTGTATAAGTTTGATACAAGTAGGTGGCAAATTCAGTTTCATCAGAACAAGGTTTTTCATAATTATATAGAGGTAAATCATCAAGTTTTTCAACAGAAACATATTGTAGAAAGCATCTGGAGCAATGATTAATTGGTAGTATGAGCCCTTAAAGGTACAAATATTGGCATGATTACAATTTAAATTCTTCTAATTGGAACCACAAAACACATCAAGCTCTTCTACAATATTAATTTTTTAATGAAAAACTGTTATTTTTCTATTAGTTAACAAGGGAATACGTGTCATTTATAAATATTTTTACGATAACCGACGGAAAATGGCCGGTAGGCAAATTTGACAGATAAGCTACGGATAGTAAGTTTGACAGCTCTACCGAAAGATATTGAAACACCTGTTTGCGCCATTTTCATACATTTTGCCTACGAACGGTTATCAGTATCAGATCAATCCGTTAGTAGCACACCGTCGGTAGCTTTACCTACCAACGGTATGTTATTGAAACACTTTTTTGCTACCATCGGTAGGAAATGCTACGGATGGTAGCAAAAACGGATAGTTTTTTGGTTATTGAAACCGGGGGTTAGGCTTACTGTTATTTTTATTGTGGGCAACTTTTTGGCCGGATTTATTATAATTGTAATAATGTCTTTCGTTTTTTATGTTGGAATGGCTGTTGTTGTCTCGAATTAATAAAAAAAAAAATTTTTTTAGATTTTATTACTTTAGTGTTTCTTTTGAATCATTGCTGTCCGTATCGGTACCATATCAGTGATACTTTTTTGTAAATATCGGCCGTAGCGCGTATTTTTATCAACATCACCACAAGTACATATATGTATCGCAGAAATTAGTACACGTGTTCCATTATTGGTGTACTTAGAACTTGATATAAAAACTGGCACAATAACCTAACCTTAACTAATGTAAACAACGAAAAAGAAATCCATTATCTAAGTTACTTAATAGACAAAATCGAGTACCATACCTAGTTCCAAGAATGTTAGCTCACTGATAATTATAAATGGGTCGGGAATGAACTTTTACGATAGGATTGGTATCATAAAACATTACAATGCGATTTATTCATCGACATTCGGAAGTTTACGTACGTGTTTCAAATATTAAGTTAAGCCATCGAGGTCGGGCGCAAGGAAAACATGCAATTTCCTTTGTCAATCTGTTTACCTAACATAAACGTGGAAACTAGTGTATTTTTTCTTAAAAACTAGTTTTACTTATTAAATAGTTTCTTAAAAGATATTCCCGTAGGGAAAATATACTACCTAACTACTATATTGCATAAAGACTCTTTATAAGATATATATTAGGGTTTACATGTGCATAGCAACTAATCTTCTACTACGCCCTCGGTTAGCGTCCGTCCACACTCCTGATATTTTCATCTTACCCTTGACATTAGCGTCTATTTCCGCGCGTTTGTCGCAAGTAATGAATGTCATTGTCAGTCGCGACTGCGTTACAAAGATATCACAAAATGGACACACCTTAGGTTTTCCAGCAACAATGAAAATAAATAATAATAATAAATATAAGACAATATCACATGCATTGTTGAGATTGAGAAATTGAGTAGCAAAAGTACTGTTTATGTGGAAATATGAAACAACATATCCATACACAACACAAGTCCGAGACCCGAGACTATAGAGTTAATTATGTACAGTCAAGGTCAAAAATATAGATACAAGTATTTGGACATTATATAAGTAATTATATAAAAGATCCACACAATGTTGGAAACCTAATGTGTGTTAATTTAGGGTACATTAATTTGTATACAAGTTACACATGTAATTCCCTATTTATATGCATACGCGGTATTAAGTAAAGTGTGCATATATGTGTTCACGGTGGCGCGTGCATGTCCCGTCCACGTGTTGGTGGCACCGAGCATTCCGTACCGGGCCCACATGTAGGTCCCAATGCGGATTGGTGGCGTTAAAGCACGGATATTCTTAATGAATGATACCAATCTACCAACCATTACTATCAGCACGCGTAGCATGACAAACTCGAGAAACGCTTTGTCTACATTCATTTGTCAGTTTCTCGGGTTGAGAGTGAGATATCGTATGGGCGCACCCGAGAAAGGTGACATTTGAGTGTAGACAAAACGTCCTCGAGTTTGTCATGCTACGCGTGCTGGGCCCGCATGTAGGTCTAAATCACAGGTATTCTTAATGAATAGAACCCAAATACGCCTACGATTAGTGATTAATAAGCCCGCGTGATCGTTCTAAGTCACTCCTCTAAAAATAATTTGGCCACCCATCCGATTATCGGCCTTTGCGGTAGTCGCTTAACCTCCGCAATCACAGATCAAACGCGCTTACCACTAACATTATAAATCTCGATGATCAGTTTTGATTATTTTTCATTATCGTGTGGGTATATTTTCATGATTATGTGCTTGTCATAACAATAACACATACTTATATGTAATGGTCAAATTCTTGTATAACTTATTTTTGAAGTTTTGCACTTTTCCATATCTATGGTAAGTTGAATGGTTACATTTTTTGGTAACTTGTGGTGTATAATATATTTTGACCTTGACTGTACACTGATCCGGCCGGAAATCGAATCCGAGACTTCAGAGATGGCACCTTGAAACCTATATTTACTCTGTATTATCATATTTACAGTAAGTATTCGAAAGAAATATTATAAGAAACATTTTAAATTTCAAATGAAATGTTATGATCTCAGGTAGGTTACGGATTCAAACCATTATCGGGGACCAGAGATTATTAATTTTTGTTATTATATTTTTATTCTATAATTATTAACTGAAGAGGAAAGATTTCATTGTTTGCTTACATCGAATAGAATAATATATAATTATCTCACCTAGAGGAGTCGTTCTGCATCAGCGCTTGGTTGTTAGAGAGCGTATGATAATAAAGGAAGAGTCGCGAGGTGATGTAGAACGCTATGAATACATCGATGGAGTAGTGCTCGTGGGCCGCTAAGATGAAGAATATTCCGAACATGTTCATCACCCAGGTTAAAATGTGCAGCAGGTACAAGTTGCGCGGCGTATCTGTCGTCACAATAAAACGATGCTTATAAAATTTGCCTATCATTATTATCTAAATATATATAACTCAAAGGTGACCGACTGACATAGTGATCTATCAACTCACCGCCCAAACCTCTAGACGGATCGGGCTGAAATTTGGCATGCAGATAGATGTTATGACGTAGGCATCCGCTAAGAAAGGATTTTGATCAATTCTACTCCCCTATAAAATAGGGGATAAAAGTGTATGAAACATTGTCAATTTTAAACCGATCGGGCTGAGACTTTGCATGCATAAAGCTACTATGACGTAGGCATCCCCTAAGAATTTTGATAAATGAAACTTTATTTCAGATATTTCACAAGATATAGTGAATAAATAATCGTTAGAAATGCTGCTTAAAGTAACTTTACCACGCGCACGAAGTCGCGGGCAAAAGCTAGTTATTATATAAATAAGTAAATATTAGACAACATCACATACATTGCACATATTCCAAAAGCACCCGTATTATGGAGTGTCTTTGACAACAGTGGTAGCACAGCATCCGAGAGAATATAGCAGAATTCATATTCTACATTGACCAGACCGGGAATCGAACCCTGGACTTCAGAGAAAGCGACCACTTGAAACCGGCGCGCATACAACGGCTAGTGATCGAACACACAAGAGTCAATATGCATACAGGGAGCTAATTCAGATAACGTTAGTTAATTATGGCAAGTCAATAGTTGTAATTCTTGTATATCTATCTATCACCAAGCTGTATCTCATGGACCATGATGGCAATTGAATTTTTCACAGATGATGTATTTCTGTTGCTGCTATAACAACAAATACAGAATAAAATAAATATATAAGTGAGACTCCCATACAACAAATGTGATTTTTGAGTTTTTAAAGATAATGCTACGAAACCCTTCGTACACGAGTCGGTTTCAGCCGTTTTTTAAACAAAGAACGAAGGCATATAGTGCCATATCGAATTGAGTTGAATAACCTACCAAGTACACTATGTAAGGGTGATATAAGTGGATATTAAACTGCACATTACACAAAGCAGGATGCACTTGTAAATTAGTCATATTATTGTAAGTCAACGACATTCAAATAAAGCAAGTATGGGAACATTATCAATAAGTTTGCAAATACAATAAGATGTGGAAGCTTTCGGTCCGATCTTTGCGAAACTTTGACTTCGCGTTAAATAGTTGACCTAAACATTATTATCGAGGGCAGAGGCCCTCAACTGGTGGTGGTACGCGGACGCCTGCATATAGCCAGGCCCCCAGCATTTGTGGAATTTGTCAAATGGTCTCTAATGACTGAAAGGTTACGAGCCCCTGATCTAGAGCTTGGCCGTGTTTTGGAAAACGTGTTAAGTCATCGATCCCACTTTCATATTCAGTCGTTAACCCTTAGCCACTTACCATTAGTTTTGCTTCCGTAACCACTTACCACCGGTCTAGGAGACCGCGCTCATTAAATATGCGCGTGTAAAGATAAGCAGTTGATTTAAATAAAATAGGCATTTCCAAAGTATGTATCTATGTTTATTAAAATATTTTTTGTTATTTGATCGTCTTGAAGAAATAATACCTTTTGAAAAAAAATGCCAATTTTTTTTTTGTTTTTTTTTTCTATCGAGAAAATCTTATAGATAGACGTTTTTGCTATGAAAAAAAAACCCTTAGAATGATAGGATCTTTTAATTTTCAGTTGAGTACAACTTATTTAGACGTTATTTCTTTGTACAAAATCTTTTAATGGCTGATGAAAATCAAATTACAAATAATTTCAAGTTGGCGCGCACGCATTTGACATCGTTACCAAATAAAACAAAAACAAGCCTATTTCCTATCTATATATTTACATAACGCGACTAAGTAGGTAAGTATATCAGTGCGTCATCGCCCCTCCGTCACCTTAAGCGTAAATACGTAGTTTATTAGTTAACTGGACTTGTTGATAAAACGTCCAATGTAAACATTTATTGTGTACATCAAAGAATGTTATCGATTTTAGACGTTTTGTCCTATTATTTGCTTATTGTTTATCTTACTTCCTTCTGTTACTATCAGGATCAAGGATTATCAGTATTATTAAGTTTGTATAGCACAAATTATCCACGTGATGTAAACACACCCGTTTATAAATTAAACGTAAAGAGGACCATGTTTTTTAGTCCAACGGCTTTGGATGTTTATGTTGAAATCATACGCTTGTATTATTAGCGAAAATAAAGTGATACTAAGATTATCACTGGTATATATCGTGAGCTTGGCACTCTCGTTTCAATATACAATATTGTTACTGTGTAGATGAAGGTCAGACTAATATACCTTTTTGTGAACTGAATATAATAAAATACACATGCCAATAAATATCAAATAAACCATTGTCTTAGATATATCTTTACTTCGCGCTTGTCTTTATCACACGTGTCCATTTTATATATCATATTGGAAACGAATTACTTTGACAAATAAATAATAATGTATTCAGGTCAGTATTTATATAGAGCATTTGAAAAGTAATACGTTAGGCTTAGGGGTGATGAAAGATTGACGTCAAAAATGGACAACTTATTAGATTTCCATTGCTATAATTTTTCTTCTTGTTTTGAGTTTTATTTACGTATATAAAATATATTTGTAATAATGCAATTGATAAGATTACTACTTATTATTTCGTAACTGCAAATGAGATAAAAAATTATGACAATCTTTTAAAACAGTAAGAAATTATTATTATTTTTTAATTTTACATTCACAATGCTGCACTGATAAGTTATTGTGGGTATCGGAATTACCTACTTTCATACTTTTTAATAATACCTATTATAAAATACATATAACAATTTGGACGAACGAAATACTAATATTATAACTGGCGTTATTGTCACACCTATCACTAATTTAAAAATTTTAAGGCGTATGCTCGTCGCGTGTCGGACGCGAACAAACGCAAACATAATAGGCGTGTTATTTATAAACAAGGGTGTATGATCTATGTCACTTGCGTTATTAATGGATAGATATAAGAAAAAAACAAAAAAATTGTCTAAGCTTTTCACACCCTTTCTCTCTTTCTACAAAGAGTGTGTGTAATCAATGGGCAACTGTTCTTCCCAGGCCAAAATCCTCTTACTTCGAAGTAAGTAAAGGGGGGTCTGACATTGCGCATTGAAAAGCAGTCTTCCAATCGGAGTTCCACCTCCACGTCCTCGGTGGGGAGCCGAATATTCAACAATAAACATACCGTAGCTCATATGCTCTTACAAAACAATTGAATTACCAAACTATTATTAAAGACAACCAATTAATTTATTGTTATTATAAAATCCATATTCTATTGACCTATGTAGGTAGGTGGCACACTAATTATTCCGGTACCTCAAGTACAGTCAACAACACGTCTGATTATACAAACTTATGAAGTTTCCCTAATCTATTTACTTTGCTAGTAGAATATAAAATCTGCTGCGACTATTTAACATATTGTGGTATTCTGATATGCAGCTATGTACATATAAAGCATACAGATCTAGTGCTGGAGGCAGAATTATGTTCAATACAAAATAAATTAAATCTGATAGATATAATAATAGAATATAAAGCAACTCACATTCAGTGATGAAGAAATTGAGTAGAGTGAGCGCAACAGTGTGTCCGGAGAACATGTAGTCGCCGCACGTGCGTACACCTCGCACCGACATGCCCGCACCGCTCCATATATCGTAGGCCTGCCGCAGACGGCGGCCCCACACGGTGAGGTCGTCGGCGGGCGGGTATGAGCGAGGCTCGCACTTGAGATGTGACCCCGGTACCGATAGTGACGTTATTAACATCGTGAAGCAGCGCAGCAGGAACACTGTGCCCGCCAGCGCAAAGAACCGCCTCAATATTATAAACCTGAATGAAATATCATATACACTAACACTAGAGCTCTCTTATTATGGAATATCAGAAACAAAAAAGGATACAGTAGAGTATCCATTCGCCGTCCATCCACTGGTTGCTTGGAAGAAATCGCTTTAAGCGATAAGCTCGCCAATTGTCCCATAATAGTATTAATTTACTTTGAGTTTAATCTATTTTGTAATGTGCACTATAAAGAATTTTGAATTGTGTTGTATAGTAACCCAGACCTGAGACACAAGTTAATTTTCTATACTGACCCGCCTGGGATCTTTATCTCCGGGAAAATTATTGGAACGACGTCTATAAAAAAAATCACAACAAAATAAAAAACTAATATAGCTACATCGGTTAAAGAGTGTAATTTTGCAGGCAGTAAAAGAAACACCTTGGTCTTAAAATTTCGTACTTTTGAATACTGCTCACATGGACTCATGTTTAAGTCTTTTTTTAGATACTAATATTTGCCATGCCTTGGTGCCCCCCATATTCGAGCGCCCTAGGCAGTTGCCTAGTTTGCGTATATCGACGAGCCAGCCATGATGTAGATGCGTCGGTACAGTAATATAAATGGCGATATTTACACTAGATTATAAATGTTTTTGTAAACTAACAACACATGAAGTTCTGAGTGCATCTAAAATAATTATTATGTTGTCAAACAAGTTTATGATAAGAAAAGCAAAGTTTTAATAGCCTTTAGACAAGGTTAATGACTAAAACACTAAAACGCCAAACATTGATCTTTGAAATAGTTATCACAGAATAGAGAAACAATATTATTATTACTGTTGTAGCTATGAGTAACAGATCAAAGTTTAGTTACGCATAAGATATAATTGTTGGTAAATTTATGTATGCATTCACTAAAATGTTTGTAAATAAAACATGTGTAATCACCATTGTTCTTCAGTATCATAAAATTCTGATCCAGTGTTTACTATTGTTACCCATATGAATAATTAGGAGAAAGATTTTATGCAAAGCTTAAAATGTTTGTAATAGTACATCAGAAGAAAATAAAGAAATCTATATCAATAAGTGATGGTTATCATTGTTATATTGTTTTCTTTGAGTGAAAGAGTAACCAACCAATAATACATATATTCATCTCTCACAAACTTTCACATTTGTAATATTAGGAGGATAGGATGTCTATACTTCTGTGGTAATTAGCAACACTGTTTAAATAAATACAAACAAAACAATTGATAAGTATTTGAACACATTAAAACAATGACATTGTGATTCATGATTGCATGTATAATCAATTAGACAAAATTTAATTTGAGAATGCAACTGATGTCTATTATAATGGTTTTGTAGAAATATCTACAAATGAAATTGTAGAAACAAATTCAATTATTTTATCTATAATGAATTGAAAACAAAAAAATTATAATATGATAACGGTGTATTTATTGGTTGAAAAATTTACACTTTCTCATTGCAATTACTCATACTATTTTTTTGTGCAAATCAAGATCTATTCTTTTTGGAAATTTTGTAAATATAATATTGGCTAAACATATTACACTGCTCTAAAAATCTAAGGTTTATTAGTTTGCTATATTTATTGTTCTGTAAGTTTTTATTTGTGCAACATTTTAATACATAATATAACATTGTTTTAATGACTTAATAACATAACTTGAATCAAATGAATGCCTTTTTTTGACCACATTAGTCTTAAAATGTATTTGTTAATTATGTAATCTTATGGGTTAGTAAAAATATGTTAACATTATAATGGAATTTATAAAACCTTTTCAAATATTACCTATGTTTGTGAAAGAATAATACAGCTAGCCATATTGCCATGAGGAGGGAACCTGTGATTTCACACATATCAAATGCCCAAGGAATGTGTGGTACATTGTCGAGGAACAGATCTGGAAGTGGTGGATATTTTTTCATATCAGGCACTTTGTCATGCACAATTACCATCACAACAGCTGTCACCCAGGTGACCAAGAAGACATAACCTGGAAAGAATATTGATACAACATCATCATATAATATATTTATAAAATATTATATATTAATAATCTTTTTATAATAAATTTTCTTTTAAAAGGTAGGCATAAAATGCAAACTCTCAGACGTTTATCGCCTACAAACAGACATAAGAGGAAGAGATAAGCAATTTTAAAATAAGTATACACAACTGCACATTGGGCTACTACAATGTCAAATTAAAAAAAAGTAGAGAAATTTAACAGTCTTGTATAGCCTGGCTGGTTAGCTATATGGTTGGCAATACTGTTGATTGCACTATAATAAAATAAATATCCATAAATTATTCAACTACTTGATTATATAAGACTGTTTCTTAAATTTCGAAACTACATAATAAATTAAATTACTAGTACACTATTTTATATTTGAATGAAATATTATCAACTTACCTAATGCTATTGCTGTTTTCCACACCTCTGGTTTCAATTTGGAAGCTTTCACATCAGGAGTGAAATTGGAAATGAATTCTCGATTGTGTCCATAGAATTCTTGTGGTATTTTATTGTGGAGATTATAACTTAAATGTGAAAGATTAGTACCGAGAAAATTAATGTTTGTTGATGCATTTGCGAGCAACTGATCTTCATATAAACCAAGTTCACACATAGCACTACGATTATTCCTTTGTAACTTTTTTACAAGTAGTATAAATCGTTTTCTGTCGCCTAATATCATCTGATCGAAGGGATATTCGTAGAAATCTCGATCTACGAAAGAAAGCAGGCATTGTCCATCTATATCGTGCAATCTACAAATTTCGGTAACACAGACAGATATCTTTTCTTTGTGTAAGAAATCGACTACGTCTTTGTTAGTCCAATTGATAATATTTGTATCCATTGTTGTAGATATACAAAATTATGCGTAACCGGACATTTGCACAAATGAAGCGACTTGCAAGCAACGACTACTATTTTTAAGTTTTTTATTAGTTCTGCTACTAATAAAGATCGGACATGCACTACAAGTTTGAAATAAAAACCTCGCTATTTATTTTATTTGTGAATTTAGGTCTTTTCTTGCTATCAAAGAGTAGTCTTTCTTTATGCCAGAATGACAGCTTGAAGCTGACATCTGTCAATTACATTTTTTTTTAATTTATTCTGACAATGGAAACAAGTCCTTCAGTCACATACAAAAAAATAATTATTTCTACCTTACATAATTAATTAACAAAAGAAACTCACATAACTATTTACAATATAAAACAAAAACTTGAATTGAGATTTTTATCGACGGTGCTTTCTATAAACGTAAATATTGGCATATAAAAGTCTTTATTAGATAGCAAATCCTGAACGCGGCGGAGAAGACCTATTACAATTCGTTTACAAATGTCATCTAGTGCACTAGCAAAAATGAGTCGTTGAACGTTGAAATTTAGGCAGCTCATTAAAAGGTCTACATTTTCCTCTGAATAGTGAAGACATGTGGAACTGGTGTAGGTATTAATCAATGAGGAAGTATTTAAAAATAAAAATTAGTTCTTGATATCAAACTAGATGTCACTAGTGCTGTTCGGAAAAATTGTCTATAATATTCATTCAAATTTTGTTTCTGACGTAATTAAAGTAAATTTAATATGCGATCGTTTCGTGTCTCTTATAAAATCTAACTTTCAAATTAATTTTCATTTGTTTGAGCTGCAAGTTTAAGTTATTTATTATGTTACGTGTAAAGGAACGATGTTTGGTTTTTAGATCAACATTAGTGATTAGCCAACTTATTGGTTGCTTGTAACTTAAATGGACTCGATTCATTCGTATTTAGGTTTGGAATCGAGAACAAAAAGCGGAACGCAGAAATTAGCTTGTATTTTATGTGCAGTATTTCCATATGTGCCATTATGCATCCACACGTTGAATTATACTTGGTGGAACAGAACGACCGACACTCCCGAGGTTCCTGGAGAGTACTATTTGTCTTTAATATGATGTAAAAAAAAATTATAAGTCTAGGTCAAATAGTTTCGGAGATATTAAATTACAAAGTTTTTGAAAAAAAGATTGTTTTCAACCCTGAGTCAGCTGTTTTTGGGACGTACTAAGGAAAAGTTTTTAATCGGTCATTGACTTCTTCATTTCTAAAAACGAAATAAAATAGTTTGTGATTTATAAGAATGATACCAGACAGATTTCTACCAGACAATCAATAAACAAGGTAGTCAAAATGCTTAAATCGATTTACAGACTAACAGCCGGTTTCTGATTTGAAAAAAGTAAAACATTTCTACTGCTTATTCTCAATAACCTAAGTTTTTTTAATTTCAAAAGTCAAATAGTCCCAGTTTAATTAAACTGCTATCATCGTTATTTTAAAAGAGCAGTTCTCCAAAAAAAAAATGTTTGAATAGGGTAATGATCCTTTAACAACGGAATCGTTAATTAAACTCAATAAACTCACAAACCTTCCAGTGATTCATCATTAACACAAATAAACTTTGTTTTTAAAACATTGAGGAATTTGTTATTAAAATAGCATTTAAAAAGAACATTAAAAAATGCGTGATATCAAAAGAAGAATAAAAAAAAATGTGAACCGAGTTCGTTCCTCGATATCAAAGCCCCACCCACCCGCCAACCGCAAGGCGGCTTCATTATTCTGTCGGTATTTTCCGGCCGATCAGTCGCCGCCGACCTTTTGCGCTGGAGTATTGTTGCGCATCGCCGCCGACGCACCGCTGCGAAGCGTCTTTTTTGTCAATTTTAGTTTTGTTCTAGTGCATTTTTAATTGAATTTTTGTTAATAAGATACTAGTGTTCGTCTTAAGTGCTAAGTTTAGTTTAGTGAAGATTGTGTTTAGTTTTGTGTGAAATGTGATGTGTTTTGCGCGTGCATGCATCGGCATTGAAAAAAGCGTGCTTAACTCAGTCTTTAGAGAGGAAGTAGACATTTTCAGCATCGACTATCATTAAGATATCGGTAAATAATTAAATTAAATTAATGTATTTCGCAGTTCGTTGTAATCTGCACATTATCGATATAGCGCATGCGCGTTATAGGGCTGTCAACACTTAGAAATTTAAAATTTTTACTCCGTTTTTACACCTCCTCTATTTTTAAATATTTGTCAAATAAAATGAACGTTTGCATGTAGCCTAACTTGAAACTTTCGGCTGTGTCGGTCATTTTGTTCCTCCCAGTATTAATATAAATATCATAAGCTGTTACATGACCACAGTCTTAACTTTTACATAGTACTTGTGAAAGTCGAAAACTATGGCAACGGTTCGCAAAACTAAGCCGGGAGATCTTGTACAGAGAAGAACCGGCAAGAAACTCAGCAAGGACTGCTTTTTCTCCCTGTATTATTTCACACTGAGAAGTCTTATTGAAATCTAATTTACACTTTCCATTGCAATATCAAAAATCCTACACACTCATTTACATATCAATAAACAATATTCATAATAAAAGAAAATGGATGAAATTAAGTAGAACCCCACTGGCAGTATTCGTTGACGAGTTTGACGCATGAACCAGCCTTCGCTTCGCTCAACTATATTTGGGGAAACGTAACGACTTGATAAACACGACACCACCGCAGAGATTGACAAGATAGCGTGACTACTCTATGTGCTTAATAAGAAATACTTATTTTAATATTGCTATTTCACTCACATACAATATCAAAACGCTTACATCGGTTCAACTCTATTATAATGCGATACGGTTTGATATCACATATCCAAGTATAAATATCGGATATTGAGCGAGATAGTGTTTCAAAAAATATATAGTTTCTATGCGCATTTACATCGAATATTACGATATTGATACAATATACGTTTCAATAACTATACATTCGATTTATATTGTCTACTCCTAATGCAAGGTGAACAGCATTTCTTAATCATTTAATACATTTGATTGGTACCCTATACTTATTATAATAACCCAAGATTTGGCTGTATGGCTTAGTTCTTTCGCCTGTCCCATGGACGAAAGTACTTATACTGGTACTCTGTATAATTTTACATTTGCGGCGTTGGTGTTAGTTTACACATCTACTAAGTCTATGAAGTTTACCATTCTACAATGTAAATAGGTATAGAGTTTCTGCAATGAAATTTGACCTCTACTTTTAACATTTTAAAATTTAAAATTGAATGAATTAATTTGTCAGTTTTGAATTAAGTGTAGGGTTCGAAGTATCGGCTTCTGGTATCGATACCGAGTACTCATGTGGTATCGAGGGACATGGTATCGATACCATAAAAGTATCGCTCCCATAGTATCGTTACTATTTATTATCGAGTATTTACCGACAACATTTAAACCATGCTAGAATTTTAGATTTTTCAAAGTAACTGCATAGAAGATTGCATAAATTCTTATTATGAGCAACGAGATGATTGAGGAACGAATTAAACAGTTTTGCCAGAGATATTTTTTACTGCCGTGTTTGGTGAGTAAAATTGCCGTATATTGAATTATATGAACAAGAAATTAAAGATGTTTATTTTTAATTTTATTAAAAATATATTAAATAAGAATCAAAAAAACATAAGTTAGCCTAATAAATTTAAAACTTACCCCGACTTCTCAGTCTCAGATTAGGCCTTTCCTCTTCATAATCAAAATTGTTTTCTGACTTAGCACTAGGAACTTGCTACATTGCCGTAGATTTTGCTAAGGCAATAGCTGATGCTATGGTTTTCTTCTAAATTATGTCAAATTTTTTAAGACATTGTAGTTGCCGCATCAATAGCAACGCTGGAATGAGGAAGTACTTAAAAAAAAAACGAAAGCACTAAAAAAGCACCTCCACTAGATGGCGACTCTAGCAAAAGTTGATTTTTGCAGGAAACGAATGGACCAAAGACAGGCATTTCCGTTCTTTTTAATTAACATATTAAAAAACTGAAATTTGAAAAATTCGAAACTTAGATATCAATACAAATAAGAAGAATTACAAATAGAATATGAGTTATTTATTGAGTTTTGAAAACAAATTTACTTTTAAACATGAAAGAAAACCGGAAAGGTTGTCATGGAGAAATCAAGAACGTACCGTAGCGACATCTAGTTTGATTTCGGAAACTTAGTTTTTTTAAATACTTCCTCATTAAACACTTTCCAAAATATTTAAACTTTGTAAGTAAATGGTAATTTACGGATTTTTCTGAAATTTTATTATCATTAGTATTTCTGGGTTTTTCTATCTCTGTTTATAATCTACTGTAATGACATGGTTTTTGTAAATGTCATTACTCTTATTAGAGCTGGTGAGTTTCTTGCTCGTTCTTTTTATCAGCCAAAAGACGTCCTGAACGAGTGGTAGGAAAAAAAGTATTTTTAAGAAGTCTATTTGAATAAAGATTATTTTGACTTTGACTTTGACTTAGGCATAAAAGCTAAATGAGAACTATATATAAGCCGTATCAAACTATACTCCAAACGATACCGGCAGTTTTATGAGTACTTCCGAGTACTTCCGTTCTTAGTATCGAGTATCGCCTTTAAAGGTTTCCATGCTTACACGGTATCAAAAGTATCATTTGACCGTAAATTATATTGTTCTGTGCAGTTGACTGTGCTTTATGTTGCGTAGGGCTATGTTATTTTAATATTAATTTCTCTACAAGGTTTGGTAAATTCAATACTATAGTCAGTTTATAGTGATCTGTGACTATACTAGCTAGCTACTTTGATTTAATTTAAGAATAAATATTTATATAAATAGCAGTCTGTAAATCAATTCGAAGTTATGAGCAGTAGAAAAGAACAGCTGAAGAAATCTTTAGGTATAACGGAGTATCCCTGGAGTTCGGGTATGTAATTTTTTCCAGTCTAATGAAAATAACATAACGTTTTATTAGTAGGTAAAAATTACCCTAAAATAATGGTATTTACTGCAGATTAATAAAATAATGGTATTTTTTTATGTTATATTTGTCTAAACTTTTATGTAGATGATGAGGACCAGCCTATGCCGGATGTGCATTTGCTGAGAAGACAAGCCGCTGAGCCTCGCCCGAGTGTAGCTGACATGCCTGGTACAAGTGGTAATTGCCACTTTTATTTTTAGTAATATTTATTTTTAATAATAATAATGAGACTGAGATCTTTAAATAAAAACATACTTGAGATTAAAAAAATCTACTGTTACAGGTCAAACAGCACAGAACCTCTCATCATCATCACTTACACCAGCTAAGAGAAATGAAGCTGATGCGTTTTGGTCAATAATCAATTACCAAAATAAGCCGATACCTGCAGGAGTATCACGGTGAGTGAATAATGTACCTAATTTTATTAATGTTTGGTTCTTGAGTGCTTGCTATACATACAATATTATCATTTTGTTTTAATTCTTCCAAGTCATCTAGAGGCTGTGTTGAGTTATAATGTGTATATATTATACAGCATATCTGTAAATGAAAAGAAAGTTAAAGTTTATTAGTAAAAACTTAAAAATTATGTATCTTTTGTTTGCTTCCACTTCTTGACTGAACTTGACTTTTTCCATTGAATCTTGAAATTGGTCCTATATTTCATAAATTAAGGGATGGAAGTTTGGTTAGATTTTCTCACATGCTAGATATTTTAAATTATACAAATATACATAATTAAAAATATGTGTTTCAGATTTTGAAAAAGCTCTTTGTCGAATTGTTCTAGAATTAGAATCTTGGCTCTCCATGAGATCTGATGTCTTTTCGACAGTGCGAGTCATTAAGTCTAGGCTGTGCAACATTTTACATACCACAGCTGAGCTATTGAAAGAAACATTTAAATAAATTGTGGTATATACATATATTATACTAATTCATTTTTAGTTAAGTATTAATCTCTTTTGTATGTGTTGCCTGCATCTCATAACTTTATTTACTTGTTTAGTACGAGATTATGTGACGCTTCCCGACCAACTCCGAACACACCAGCGTCTGACATGCGCGAGCGTGCGGAGCGTATGAATGCCGCTGCTGACATTCAGCGTATACTTGCAATCAAAAAAATCACTCAGAACAGACTGGGAGCCCTGCGTCCCAACAGGTCTAACACAAGCCTTTACTCTATGTCCTCACGAGGTATATTTTTATTGAGCATATTTTATTTGTTAAGATTTAGATTTCTATGTATACTACTGTTGTTGAAACAAGCTGTGCAGAGTGGTAAGCGTATTTTATACCGCTCGGGGCGCTGTACCGGATTCCATACTAAAATTTTAACCCGCTTGCGCTAAAATCTTAGGCCGCTTAGTGTAATAAACTCACACTAAGTGCTCTGAACTAAAATGATGATACAGTACAAATGTGCGCTCATGAGCATGTTGCATGTTGTTGAAAGAGGAGATTGCGAACAGATTATTTGACAGTAGATATATGTAGAAGTCTTTGGTATTTTTATTTATGGTTTAACCGATTAAGAATATTCTTAATATAGTACACAAATAAAACCATATCTATTCATCAACAGGATTAACTGGACCATCAAGAAATCCATTGTTCTCCCCGACATTAACATCTGCAACTATAAGAGCCCATCAAAACGCTTTAAGGAGACTACAAGCTAATCGTAATGCTCAGGCTGCCCTCACCAATAGATGTTGTACGTCAGATATGTTTATAGTATTATTTCATTTACAGCTAGTTGACTCGGCGGAGTTCGTACCACCATAAACCCGTTTTTAATAAATTATATCTTTATATAATTTTTCTTATATACAAACTTTGTGTTAATACATAAAAAAGAATCATCCAATCCGTAAATACGATTCATTTTTATATAGATAGAAACTAAGCTTTATATATTATAGATATTTTGAATAACTTATACAACCTAGAAATATATAGATAAAGAGCAAACTTTTATATACTTACTCCATTGTTTTGCTCTTTATATTGTTATTAATTAGTATTTGTATTTAAATAATAAAAAAAATTGCCTTAATAAACCAAAATTATATATATACAATTCTTGCGTTACTGAGTGACTGACTGACAGACGGACAATGTACAGCCAAAACTACTGAGCATAGAATGTTGAAATTTGAAATGAAGACTCCATAGGGATGAAAGTTTGTATGAAACTTCGTTACTTTTTTTAGGACGTAGGTGCTCACTAAGACGGGATTTTATGAAATTCGACCGCTAAGGGGGTAATCAGGGGATGAAAGTTGTGGAAAAGAATTTTCTCATTTCTGGACTTAAAACTGAACCACGGGGGCGAAGTCGCCTGTATAAGCGATTTAAATCCGTCATAATAATGATTAAGTATTTCTAATTTAGTGTATTACATTAGCAGGTAATAATACGTCTACACCGGAAAGGATACAATCATACATGGGGATGTTGGAATTCCCACGATTGCCAGACCGCAGAACTTCAGAACCCGTCCAGCCCTCGACTACCACACCTACTCAAGCCGGTACGTTACACGACTTATACAAGTTTCATTTTAATCAGTGCATAAATTGGGTATGTTACCCTGTAAATCATAGACTTCTCTCGTTTTTTTCTCTTTCGCAAACAGCGCGTGACGTCACGTTCCTCTTACTCATATCGGAACTTAGAGATTTCAGAGGGCCATGCGAGGGCGTTCGTGGGAAAGTTTGAAATTCCTTTTTAATTTTTTTAAGATATATGTCATATATATCTATAAAATATAAATATGAAATAAAAGTTGTCTACACCCCTATAATACTATTTAAATTAAAAGACGTCGACGCAATATATCATAAGTAATAAATAAATTGAGTATAATGTTTATTTTTTTCTTTTTAGAAACTGATTTGTCCAGCAATACGGCAGCAGTTCGATCAGCAAGAAGTGAGAATCCGACCACATGTCCAGAAACTAATGAATGTAAGGTTTCGTTAAAATTTAAAAGTTATTCCCTACATCTCTTTGAATTTAATGACAAGTGATATAATTTAAAGTTTTATAAATAAATATTTGTAAAATGTACACACACACAGGCTCTGTCCGAATACCAGCACTGCTACGATGTCATAATCGTAGCAGCATTTGCTGAGACAGGTTGTTCCTTAAAACACTTTTGTTTTTATTATTGCTATGTATTTGTTTTGGATTAACAAACCCTATTTGATGTGGTATTTGTGATGCTCGATTTTCGTAGTGGACACGCCAAACAATGCAACGGGTGGTATGTCGTTAGAGGAAGAGATAGTCGAGATCGATGCTCAGGATGAAGCAGACGGTAACAATGCCATAGAAAACACAACGCAAAATAATGTGGTCAACGCTGACGTTGAACTGAACCAGGTGAACATTTATAGTGATAACAGTCTATTATTTCCGTAATTATTATAATTTGAACATATATATATATTTATGACTCATTTACACTGGATGTGGTCAGCACGCGGAGTTTTCGACCTCTACATGCACATCTCATTGGTCAATAAAACAATGAGAAACTAGGAACAGAAATCGAATACGCAGATGTCATCGACCAGTGTGAGTGACAAGTTAGATCTTACTTTCTATTGTTGCCGCAACAATTGTTTGTTTCACTTTTAGTACACACGTTAGGTTACCATAATATGTGAGATTTCCGTAATGGATGTTCACCTCCACCCTCAATTTATTAAGGTTTAAAATAGAGTGGGAATATTTGACAGTTTTGTTTAACCTGACGTGCTAAAATCTGAAGAAATAAGGAGGAGCTCTTAGATTACAAACAGAACTTAGTTTATCCAAGCTTATGATAAGTTAGCCAACTGGTTTCTTCTGTTTTTAGTTCGATTTTGCAAGTTTTGTTTTAGTTTTTTTTTTAATAATTTATATTTATTTTATTCCTTTTAATAAGCCGTTAATTATCGTAATAAGTTATATATTTTTGGAATGTACTCATCAAGACCTTCAATGTGATACCCGTATTGTTATAATTAAATAAAATTTAAAGTCATATATTTGCTATATTAAATATTTAAAAAAGATTGTTTAGTGTGTCACTCGAGGTGGCGTACATTAGTCTTAACATATATAATCGGTTAAATCTTTCAAATTTTTTAGAAAGTATTCAGTAAGTACAACACTAGGTAGTTTAGCATTTTATCAACTAATCATGATGTTATTGTATTTACCGTAGGTTGTAACACTGGATGCGGATGACGAATCTAAACGTTTGCAACAAGAAAGGAGAAGAGAAGGTAATTTATGTGAGTATACCTACGTGAGCTATTATGTTGAATCTAAACGACTTTGACTCGTGGAACAAGAGTCTATTATGTAAATTTATTTTAACATAACTTTTGTTTTTTTTTTCATTCTTTTAATTTTAAAGGGTTTTTTATTCTTTAGAACATGCCAACCCCATCATACCATGCTTAAATCTAGATTCATTTGATAACAATATTTCACTAGGTAATTTTTTACAGCATTTACTACAGTTTATCTTAAATTTACGAGTAATTTACATAGTTTTTGTGCAATGATAAACTTAGGTTCTGATAAAATACTTTGAATTAATCCTATATCTAACTTATTTTATTCAATATAGTATAAGTGAAATAAGTGTAAGGTTTGCAAGTGTGAAATATCACCGTTTGATTACAGCGCCGGAAGATGCGGAACCATTCACTGTCAAAGAATTTAATCAAGTAAGTTAATTATTTAGTTCACTATTTAAATACGATAACTACTATTTAATAGGATAATTGATAGTGATGGAAGATAATATCATATGAACATAACCTAACTGAGAAAAAAATGGAAACACTTTGAATTAAGGTTGTTACAAGCGCTATTGAAACATCCAAACTCCTCAACGTGCACATGCTTAGCAGCTTTAAGCGCTAAGCTCCAATTTAACCACCTCCATCCGTGACCGTGGCTATACGAAACTTAAATGTTACTCTTATCTATGTATAAGTGTTTATTTAAGGAATTGGCTGCTTGAGAGTAATCGCAATAAACTGTGAAATATGTTGGAGATGGTAACTTATATGTGTTACCAATGATATTACAATCAAAAAGGGTAGATAGGTTACTTGTATTCAAAAAGCGTCACCTTGAAACTATTCTAACTAGCTTATATGAGCGCAGTCTGCCGAAAACGTTATTATGTGCGTTTATGTACCATATTCATTTTTAAAATGCCACCCCGTGTTATGCGAAACTGTAGAAACTACATAAGCAAGTCGACTTAATATCAAGGCGTCACAAAATGTACACTTACATAAATGTATACATTTTTAATTGATTTGCGTTTTAATCAGAAAAATCAATATTGTGTCATAAAAACAATGAGTAAAAACTCCGGTTACATTGTTTAGCTCCATTCTTATACACCGGCAAATAATATATACACTAACGACAAAGAGAAATAATGAAGTAAGTAATGTTAGACATCAGCATTTTTAAGTTGAACTGTTGATCGAACTCTTTAAATCGTTAGGTAAAAGTAGACATTAAACATGCATAAATCATTAAACATATTCAGTGTTATTACAAAAAAGATAAACACGCGTTGAACACGTGTTTAAAAATTGTTCTATTTGAGAATTATATAGAACAATTTTTAAATACGTGTTCAACGCGTGTTTATCTTTTTTGTAACAACACTGTATATCTTTTAATGTTCTACACGCCGCCGCGTAACTAAATAATGGTCAACACTCGTAGTACTCTCGGAAAGAAAGTCACATGAAGAGGGACGTCGACGTCCAGGGATAAAAACTATGGTGCTGGTAACAAAAATGTCAGAAATAAAATAGCTTCAGTTCAATCCTCGTGAAAATCTTTAAAAGCGAAAAGTAAATCGTCTACGATTTTGGCCCAAAGAAGAAGCTTGAATTAGAAGTTGCGAAGGAAAAGGCTAATATAGAAATTGACCTAATCAACAAGAAGTTGGCGGCAGATCATGATATTGAGGAGAGGCTCGGACGCAGTCAGAATGAGCTGGAGAAACATGGAAGTAATAAATCTCGAACGATAAAAGGCTCTAGAGTTTCCGCCGCCGCAGGTCGACGCGTTGATGGTCCACTTCAGCAGTTGGTCAGCGCACTAAAGGATTTGTCACTAGTTCTGCTGCAACACACCAGCCGTATTGGCACACCGAGAGAGCTCCCTGTGTTTACTGGTGACCTTACGGACTTGGTGCCATTCAAAAACGCTGTAGACTACAGCTATTTGTTACTATAGTGAAAAGTAGAACCTGTGGCGATAGCGATCTATGAAGAATACGTAACATACGGTCAGTTGCACAAACGTCCATTAAGGTTTAATGACGTCTTTCAACTCTAATGAATGTCAAATTTGTATGGGTAATGTCGCTTTAAACTAATGAAAATTTTAATAGACGTTTGTGTAACTGGTTATTAGAGTTTGCAAATCATGAGGTCTACTATGAACTACGTTTCGCGTCTTTTTGTTTTTATAGTTGTCAATTTTTATACTCTTTTTCAAAGTCAATAAATATTTCAATATTAAAAAACTACGTCGTTTTCCTTGTAATTCGGACTTTTATATTTACTGCGTGACTGCATCGCTACAAAGTGTACATAGTTTTTAGATAGCACGCTTTTTCTATAGTTAGAACTAGTTAATTTAGTAATAAAATTAATTGCTGAAAATTTTATATTAGTTCTTACTAGAGAGGACTCCTTTTTCCGAAGCGAGTCAGTGATTCTATCGAAGTTTATTCTATCATCTTTGTTTTTTAATCTCTGTTAAAATCTGTAAAAAAATTACATAGAATTTCTAGCCTTACCTACAGGACAAAAATAACTTCACTGCTTAATTTTTTTTTTGTTATTAGTAACTATTGTAGCACCAAATCGTTTCGTAAATCCTAATCGTTTCTCTAGTGCTAGTTTTAACTAAAGCTCGAAGTGACAGTAGTATCTGTATTTGAAAATCAAATATATCAATGGTAAAATTCTAGTTTTGATTAGGTACTTCTATATTTAACAAAAGCATTTAGAAAAAACTAGTTTTAACTAGGAAGAACGAGTTCTATCTAAAAACTGGTTTTAAATGTAATCAACAACTATGCAGTATTTTGTAAAAAATAAATGAAAAGTATGTTTTAATTTTTCAAAATTAACTTGCGGACTTGACTTGACGGAGCATCATGAAGTTTAAATGTGACGTCACGGTCACGGCTTGAGGTATCAGGTGACTGATTTTGCGCGGTAATTTAAATTAACTTATAAAAATATGTTTTTGCCTTTATATAATAACACGTTGTATAAATATAAATCTGTGGTGGTGCTGTAGTGTAGTTTTAAAATATTTTACCCAAACAAGTGGGCAATTTCATAATCATGACATCTCCCTTGCAGAGTTTACTGCGTCTGCTGGAGTGTCCTGTGTGTTTGGAGTGGATGGAGCCGCCGATGTCTCAGTGTCGGCGCGGGCATCTTGTCTGTGGCAGATGTAGAGCTCGTCTCGCCTCCTGTCCGGTTTGTCGGACCACCTTCTCATCAGTACGCAATCGCGCCATGGAGGGGGTAACGTATCATCAATGTAACTCTACAATTTCGTCGTATACTGTAAACACACATGTAATATAACATGCTTTGTATTTTACAGTTTATGTTTATTGAAATAAGATTTTTTTTTAATTTCTGCTGTGGTCAAACAAAGAAAAACCTTTCAGTTTGGGCTGGTTTGAAAAATGATAATGAAAAAAATCTTTATTTAACTTATCTGATAATAAACTTATTACTAATTACTGGAGTCCCCTTCTAAGCATGACAACGCCTGTACTACGAGACTCCGCTCTTCAATAACATGTTTTTTTTTTCCAGAATGTATTGTTGCGGTTTTTTGAATCCATAATTTGGTTTGACTTGTTTCGACAAGGATTTTTTTTTTGACAACACCAAGAATAAATCGAGGGTGGTGGCATTGTACAGGTGGCGGAGATGGTACGGTATCCGTGCCGCCACATGTGCGGGCGCGAGGTGCGGCTGAGGCGTCGCGCCGCGCACGAGGCCAGCTGCGGGGCTCGGCGGTACGCGTGCCCCGCGCCCGCCTGCAGCGACCGCCCGCCGCTGCCCAGGGAACAGCTGGCGCAACACTTCCAGGTGTGTATCTGACTAGCACGGGGCCAGCTGCGGGGCCCGGCGGTACGCGTGCCCCGCGCCCGCCTGCAGCGACCGCCCGCCGCTGCCCAGGGAACAGCTGGCGCAACACTTCCAGGTGTGTATCTGACTAGCACGGGGCCAGCTGCGGGGCCCGGCGGTACGCGTGCCCCGCGCCCGCCTGCAGCGACCGCCCCGCCGCTGCCCAGGGAACAGCTGGCGCAACACTTCCAGGTGTGTATCTGACTAGCACGGGGCCAGCTGCGGGGCCCGGCGGTACGCGTGCCCCGCGCCCGCCTGCAGCGACCGCCCGCCGCTGCCAGGGAACAGCTGGCGCAACACTTCCAGGTGTGTATCTGACTAGCACGGGGCCAGCGCGGGGCCCGGCGGTACGCGTGCCCCGCGCCCGCCTGCAGCGACCGCCCGCCGCTGCCCGGGAACAGCTGGCGCAACACTTCCAGGTGTGTATCTGACTAGCACGGGGCCAGCTGCGGGGCCCGGCGGTACGCGTGCCCCGCGCCCGCCTGCAGCGACCGCCCGCCGCTGCCCAGGGAACAGCTGGCGCAACACTTCCAGGTGTGTATCTGACTAGCACGGGGCCAGCTGCGGGGCCCGGCGGTACGCGTGCCCCGCGCCCGCCTGCAGCGACCGCCCGCCGCTGCCCAGGGAACAGCTGGCGCAACACTTCCAGGTGTGTATCTGACTAGCACGGGGCCAGCTGCGGGGCCCGGCGGTACGCGTGCCCCGCGCCCGCCTGCAGCGACCGCCCGCCGCTGCCCAGGGAACAGCTGGCGCAACACTTCCAGGTGTGTATCTGACTAGCACGGGGCCAGCTGCGGGGCCCGGCGGTACGCGTGCCCCGCGCCCGCCTGCAGCGACCGCCCGCCGCTGCCCAGGGAACAGCTGGCGCAACACTTCCAGGTGTGTATCTGACTAGCACGGGGCCAGCTGCGGGGCCCGGCGGTACGCGTGCCCCGCGCCCGCCTGCAGCGACCGCCCGCCGCTGCCCAGGGAACAGCTGGCGCAACACTTCCAGGTGTGTATCTGACTAGCACGGGGCCAGCTGCGGGGCCCGGCGGTACGCGTGCCCCGCGCCCGCCTGCAGCGACCGCCCGCCGCTGCCCAGGGAACAGCTGGCGCAACACTTCCAGGTGTGTATCTGACTAGCACGGGGCCAGCTGCGGGGCCCGGCGGTACGCGTGCCCCGCGCCCGCCTGCAGCGACCGCCCGCCGCTGCCCAGGGAACAGCTGGCGCAACACTTCCAGGTGTGTATCTGACTAGCACGGGGCCAGCTGTGGAGGAGCTTCATTAATCATTTTGATTTGTTACAACATTGTTTAAATTTATGTATGCAATAATAGGTTTACTTCTGTTTTTTTTTAGTTATTTGCATAATTTAAAATTTACGTCACGTACAAATACGTCACGAAATTGCACAATAAGTAAAAACATCGTTATGAACAGAGATTATGATTTTCTTCTTAAGATCTCACAATTATCTAATTGTCTTAAAATTAAAAGTCGTGATTTCTTGAATTCCTAGATGGCGCTGTTCTTAGCTCATTAATATCTTTTTATTCCTTTATCAGTCATTAGATGTAATTGTTCATGTTTTATTAATATCTTTTAATCTTCTACTCTACGCATCTGTTTTGTGCAGTTAAGGTTTTATTTTATCAATATTGCTATCAATAATATTTTCAGTGGAAGTATACAATAAATAATATTATAATTCTCTATACCAGAGTAAGCACATGACAATGCTGAAGATCGGTCGCAAACACAAGTTCTCTATGAAGGTGAACTCTGAGCAGCACGACACGTGGGTGATAGCGGCTCTACACGAGTACTTCTCGCTCCGAGTGGACGTCGATATACGCACCTGGGGCATCATAGTATACGTCGCCTACATTGGACCAAAGTGTAACGCCAAAAACTTTACTTACGAGGTACGTGCGTGTTTTATTACCGATTTAAACACTTTAGCATTTACTAGCTGTTTTTCGTTAGCCTTATTATGATGGAGATTACCGTAGGTGAAAGACTTTTCATGATTGGATCAGTATTTTCAAAGATTTGCGCCTATAAACAAATAAAGTTAGAAACTTTAACTGTTTAATCCTTTTTTTTCATTAATAATGATGCCCATTCATATATTTATTTCTTAAACGTTTAAAAAGCCGCAGATACGGTGCTTCAGAAGACGGAACGTCATTTGTGTGGTAAAAATGAGATATTTAGTAAATTTATTTATCATGTGCTGTTTTTATATTTAAACACACAAACAAATAAAACTTTGTAACCTACAAGGACCTTCTGTGTTTCAAAGATTTAGTAAATCATTAAAATATACTACATTATGCCCATGATTTTCCTAGATAGTTTTATTACTAACTAGCTTTCCGCTAGCAGCTTCCCTCGTATAGTCCTGTTTTATACATATACATTTTCCTCTTCACTCCTGTCTGTTGTTAAAAACTGCTTTAAAATCCATTGTGTAAATTAAAAGATCTCGGCCTACAGACAGCCGGAAGCACTACCTATTTCCATGAATGACGTAACGCGCTTTGACTGGTGTTTAGTTTCACGTGAAACAGAGATTATATTTTTATTAGATTTAAATTATATTTTTATTTATTCATTAATTTTTAAATGAATAATAATACATTATTTAGCAAAAAAATAATTCACCACTATTTTGAAAAAAATTATGGGCTTTTAACCAAACTTTTTTTTTTCAATTGCTCTCCGCCTCCTATTACTACGAGTGCTAAGATAGAAAATATCTTTTCACAGGTATCCGTTATAGGACAACACAAATCTAGAAAGCTTGTATACTGTAGATCTACACACAGCGATTTAGAGAGTTCTTCGTTGAATGTCAGCCGCCAAGATTGCTTCCACCTGACCTTAGATCAGGCGCTCAACTTCCTGCGTGTTAAGAACAGACATTGCGAGCCGGATAAGTTCTTAGATTTCAACGTCGAAATCAGTAAGAGTGAAATAGAGAGTCGGGACGATTCCGATTCCTGATTCGCGTTTATAACGAATCTGGTGAGGCGTCGTGTCGCGAAGGCAGTGCGTATGGCTCGCCGTTCTAAGTTCAAACGTCGTTGGAGTATGCTCATAAAGGAAGTGTTACAGTGATTTATAAAAGTGTTTTGAAGTAAAGGTCGTGATTATTCGTGAGATATCGACGCTGGAAATGAAGAAAAAAAATGAAAGAAGCAAACACGGAGTAACCTGCAAAATTAAAATGGATATTTAGAGTGGAAAATCTTTATATTTATCCAAAAAATATATCTTCTTTCCGTATAAATTGACTAAGGAACACCTTATTTGTTACCATGGATGTTTATAGGAATTATTTATCGAATAAAATAAGTTTTTCTGCTCTAAAGAATAATTTGGTTTTGTGAATTACTATGTGTTCGCTTTCCAGTGTCGATAAAATATTGAGTAGAGATGGAATTATGTTATACGACAAAGATGTAAATATTTCTAAGGTGTAATAGTTCCTGCTGTAATTTTACTTTAAAAAGTGCCATGAGGCTATAATTGAATGAAAGCATTTGTATCAATATATATTTTTTTAAAGTACCAATACAATATGAAATCTAATTATTACATGTGCGTAGTCAAAAGTATGTAAAGCCAAAATTTTAAAAGCGGTACATGTAGATCAAAGTATTCTTGTGTTTATATTAATATAGTAATTGAGGTAGATCTGTAAATTGTTTTGTATTGTTTTACCTGAAGTCTCAAGCAGTTTGTCTTTGATTCTTTGTAGTTGAATGGATTAAACTACCGTTTTGATATTAATAGTGATTAGTCATTAAAATAAGTATAAGTAAATTGTGAATAAAGTTTTGATTGTCTATACATTATTTTATAGCAGATTCGATGTGTTTATCATGAATTATTCATATTTAGACATACATTTTTTTTTAATAACTGTGATTAACAACATTGTGAGGTGGGTGTCATTTAATCCTATAAACGGGTACATTTACGAAGATGCATTTTTACGTCGCCTGTCTGAATAGGTCGTCCCGGTGACTTCCCAGGTCTCATCCCCTCACTACAGGGTTTTTCGTCCATTGAGAGAATACCCGATGAATAGATCTACAGAGGGAAGGACAACTCGTTACTTCGCAGGCGCTAAAAAAGTATATTAAATAGTATAGCTCGGTGGGAGGTGATTTGGGGTAGGCGTAGTAGGCGGCTTGTTGAAACACCGAGACACAATCGCATACATTTTGATTAACTTGTAATACACAAAATATTTCGGAAAAATAAACACATTTAAAAAAATATTTTAATCATGAAAATACAGACTTTTATAAATGCGAAGACGCTGTCCGCCACATTCATGACTTCACACCGTCAAGTACACAAAATAGCCGCGTAGAGTATTACTTAACATATTAAAAACTTCTTTTGACGGCTTATTCCTTTTATCCACCCTGAAACAATCACCTAAGGTGGATAGTCGGAAACGCGTGTTTATCTACCCTGAACGTCATATCATAATGTATCATAATTTTACTTCCGTTTTTTCCCTCGCCTGTGTAGTTATTGTGTAACCAAGTATCTTGGGGTGGGTTAATATGTTTTTTAACATTAAATGATTTATTTTGTTTAATGAAAATGTGATTTTTATAAATACACGACAGAAGCTTTCGTCTAGTAGACAATTTTATTCCACTGTAGTTGGGGTAAAAAAAATCGGAAGAACAATCAAAAGTGACTTTTATCTACCCACCCCGTTCAGGGTGGATAGATGAACACGCGTTTCCGAGTATCCACCTTAGGGTGGTTGTTTCAGGGTGGATAAACGAAATAAGCCGTTTTGACAAGAACTGTGCAATCTAACGATTTGGCTACAAAATAAAAAGATTAAGGTAAGAACAGCGCTATCTTAGTATAGAATCAAGTTACTAGATCGATTGATAACAAATCTGACAAGATTTTATCGGAGCGACGTCACACAATGGTTGGTCGAGTTACAGAAAAATAATCTCGCTTTGGTTAATAAATAAGCATGCGATTTAATGGCTTACAATCAAAATATCTATGTTTATTTCAATGTCAATTTTAATATGTTTTCACTTTCGCGACTTATTTTTCACTACCAAAAGTACCTCATTGGCGTCATTAATCTGAAACTAAAAGATTAATATGGCTATTCCTGTTTAATTGATTGATATTATGTTTTCTATATACCGATATTCATTTGAATTAATCTATTTACGATGATCACTGCTTATAAGAGTATATTGTAATTTTAATCTATTATGAATTATGTCGGTAGACTGATAAAGAGATTTACATTATTTCGATTTACCTACCATACTCTTTGATAGTGTAAAATTGTTAATATTATTTTAATTTTAAGTAATTGCAAAGCTTTTCTGTCTCATTTTTGGACTCCTCAGATTTGATCGTGTTATAGTATACCAAAACTATGCACCTTATGTACCTAGGCATGCTGTTCTTGTATAAAAATCTAGATCAATCAATTCAGTTTTGTTGTACACTATGAATTAACTGTACCTTTTAGTCTCCATCTGTATATAATATGAATGAATCACTCCTGTATTTTATTAATACTTGAAAAAAAAACTATTGTGGTATGAATGACATGATTTTTATAAAACGTCTGTGTTAGGCAAAATGTTTACATTCCAGTTTATTTGTTCACTGTTCTTGTTCTATCCAAAACGAGCGAATGAGATTAAACTTAGTTTTGATTATATATGGGGGGCAACAGTGTGGAGCGCAGTGTCTAATTTTAGACAATAAGCAATATGAGTAATAGTTTCTGTGATCTCGTTTGTTGTGGTATACCTATAGTTGTATAATATTGTGAAAGATCTGGTATTTTAGTATAAAAAGCATGTTAAAGAATTTTTTTCGCTGTCTCCTAGAATAAAAAAATATTTTATATAAAAAAGTTATATTAAAGGCGTAGTGTATATACGTACTTTTGTAAATAAAAACAACATCTTTTTAATACTATTTTTATTTATAGAGAAGTTTAAAATAACTTACTATAATTAATATTTACATAAAAGTTTTTTTTTTGTATCTATATACAGTATTTAACTATACTGATTTACCTCAGTATTTCAATCTGAATTACATTTTTGTTTCGTTTTTGATTCTATACAGTAACAGACTCGTGACAAAAATGTGCGAGACCTTTCTAAAGCATGATTTTTAGCACTGCTGAGTCGCTGCTGTTCATGTTTGTGCAGATTGAGCAGTTTTGTCTACTTTTATATATTAAGAATAATTGAAACTATAAAAAAGTATCTTTAATATGTGTTATCATTAATATTTGATCAATTTTACATTCGCAATGTTATCATTTTTAGTACTTTACATTGCCACACCACACTAGGTGTGGTTAGCAGTACCAACCGCTTCAAATTGGAAATGAATTCTTGATCAATCTAGTCCTTTATTTATCAGTCCGTTACGAAATAGATACAAATAATAAAGTTACTGAGTTTCCAAGAGAAACGATTTTTTCTAGTGATGCTGGTGTGACGTTAGTCTTGCAGCGCTAAAACTGTATTTATTTTTTCTAAATGGCTAAAGTAATAATTTTTAGAGATAATTAAGAAATAACGTGGTACTGCTGGGCTGACCTGAGGTACTGAGTGATGTAATTTTTAGTACTTCAACATACTGAAATATCAAGCTATATAAAGCTCTTGCACGTTTTTGTCACGAGCTCATAGAATTCACACAAATTAGATGTGTTTCATTAAACACAAACAGTGATAGTTACTAAGCAGTAATTCTGTTAATGTTAATGAACTAATTTTGCCATTGATGCTACTTCTTCACAAATCAGTAGTGACATTGTTATTTGGTGATTTAGTAAACAAGAACTGCCTGTTTTAGAAGACTTGTTATTGAAGCGTCCTTGACTCACCATAATAACGCTAACATTAGCAGAATCAAGGCCCTAGTTTTGTCAAAAGATAAAACGTTTGCAGTATTGAACTTGAATTGCGAACTCCTGGGTAAGCTCTTATTTCTTTATCATGTTCTCTAAAATTGAAAATTGGATTGTACGCCATTCAGAATAAGACTAAAATCAACAATAATCTCAAGGTTTTATTCTTTAAAAATACTATTGTCTTATTAAGAAATAATAAATCAATATTTGCAACGTTTTTCAACGCCCGGAAAATTGTTAAAATAATATCTATTTATTTTCTAAACCGACTCGGCTAATGTTGAAGAAATGCAGAAAAAAAATACAAAGTTCTACAAACTACTGTAAGATCAAATGGGTTTAACTGACCTTGAAATTTGTAACCATTACTTAGATACAGACCACACATAAACTTTACATGGTATTTTGTAACAGAATCGCCACTCATAACGTGTATGAATTAACATGACACCTGAGTGCCTATCCTATTTGTCCACGAACGAAAATTAGAATTTTGAGCCGTTCTTATAGTTTTGGTAAAATCATATCCTTAGAGTATTTGTTTGTCCATCAGTGTCAGGCTCTACCTTCGTTGTACCATAAATTATCGAAAAATACATTTCTTTAAAGTCGTATTAGCGATTTCGAAAACAAAATTTCGTTTTTGGAGAAATGATAACTCGTACTAGTCGAAACGAACAACGCCATCTAGTATTGAATATAATGTAAAGTTGAAGCTTTAAATTGATCTCAAATATGATTTTGATATCATTAGAACAATCCTTAGTTTGTAGACCATTTAGAATCTTGATCACGACAATAAACGATAATTCTAGCGCGAAATTGCAGTTTAGTTTTTGCAATTTCAACAATATTTCAAAATTTTATTCATTAAGAAAAAGTTCCATTATTGTATAGTTTGGAATTATTGTGATTGTCCCTAATGATTGGCGTATTATTGGTAATCAACCAATAATTTTTGTAAATTGATTTAGTTACTTTATGAGTTCCGACCAAGTTACAATACTCTGTCTTGTGATGTATCACTAAAAATAAATATCTAAACAATACTGTGTTTAGGTGATCAGTTGCTTTGACGCGAGAGTTTGCCGCGCATATTCTGTTCCTATGAGTCCTCTACACACCAATGAAAATTCTTGAACAGTTTCTAATAATCTCTTCTTGCTACTCTTTTCTCTGAAACAATAAAAAAATATATAAAAATGTAATTAGTGAAAAATACAGATTAAAACTATTCCTTAACTTTCGCGCATTGCACCATGTCCCTTTCCCATCTCAATCCAAACCACTGTTATAAATAATACGGGTGTAGACAGTAAACGAAAATAAATACATATTTCTTTTCTGGTAATAAATAATAAACTGTTACCGATAATTACACATAAATGTTTTTAATATTTATAATGTTGCATAAATTAATTATGAAAAACAAATATTTTATACTTGTTATCACGTGACCGCAAACAGCACATGACGTCACGCCGATCTTATTCATATCAAAAGTTAGAGAATGGAACCGTATGCATAATAGAACTATATTAGTTTAAACCCTTTGAATGACCCTTTTTTTAATTTATTTTATGTATATCTATAAAATAAAAATATAAAAAAGTTTTCTACATCCATAACTATATAACTAACCTTTTTTTTTATTTATTTACAATGGGCTCACTCTTGACCTCAATCTAGCCTAAGGAAATAGATGAGATCTAAGGTGGGAACCAAAACCTACTAAAAAAATGCGCTCTAAAAATTTATCGAGAAGCAATGATAGTGATGGAAATGTAATTCATGAGAGGAGTCCTAACGCGAATCGAGTCCTCTTTGCAGAATACCGGACTCGTTTACCCGCCTTATTCATATAACGTCACGCGGGTGTTATTTAGACAAGGTACTAGCGCATAAGCAATTTACGGCACAATCTGTCAGTTGCACAAACGTCCATTAAGGTTTAATGACGCCTTTAATAATAATAAATCTTTATTTCTTTTTTTTTTTTTTTTTTTTTTTTTTATTTAAGGAACAAACAGTTATACATATGTTACATGATCACAAGATATTAACAAAAAAAAAAACCTACAGTTCCCTACATTAAATATAGTTACATTTAGGCTTAAAGTTTATGAGAGATAGTAATAGGCACAACTCACAATGCACCCAGCAACAGTATCTACGCAATTACGTAACAATTCGAGACTCAATGGCGCCGGCGGCATAGTGGAGCGGACACGGACAGTGCATGGCTGCAGCCAGCCAGAGATGGACGTAATACTGTGCATTTGTTAGTCGCGCCCATCACAACATATTGTGTGAAATAAGGACATGCAAAAATTAACAAGAAATCAAACAATAGGCATCCAAATCAATCACTACATGCGGGCTATTTTATAACAATTGATAATACATTTTCAATTGTTTTGTGAGTCCCAATCATGCTATTTAACATTATGTCTCGATTGTACAGTGAAATTAATTGCATACATGAATTAAAGTTACTTTAGATGGCCACAACAATAAGGTATTTATTAATTTATTTTAAAATAATATTGGAAATTCTTATGAGATTAATATTAATTAATAGTTATGTCAAGTGAATAATAATTTTAAATCAAAACAAAATATATATTTTTTTGTTTTAAATGAAATGTAACAATTATTTCGGCTAGTTGATATTATTAATATTGTCTAGGTACAATTATGTATGTTCGTGACCTCTTATTCATTGTTAATTTCTAGTGTAGCGGCTATCGTGATACCAGGACACTTTATACAGGAAATACAAGCAAGACCCTCGAAATCAAATAGATTCAAACAGCTAAGGAATGATGCTACTGCCGGCTCCCACCATCATATGCAAGACAGGCCAAAACTCAAGGTAACAAATCGTTAGCAACACATTAGAGTGAGTATGTGGATCACATTTTAATTATTTTGTAGTAAATTAATTTGATTGATTACAGGCCCGCCGTTCTGAAATTCAGAGCTGCAGCAGCAACATCACCATGATAACTTATAGTGCTTTATTTCAATGGATTCCGTGGTTTCATATATAAATATAACAACAATTAAATTAGTGCACAGGCGAATTGGAATGAATGACCTAATTTAATAAGTGAGTCACAGACTATTTAATTAGTAATTAATGTCAGGCGACAATCCCAATAGTTTGTTTTACCAGTAAGCAATGATATATAATATATTTATGGCAATTATACGTCCAATCCCTGCATATGAGTGGCAATGCAGCGCTTGAATTTAGCTAAGGATGTTCCAAAAATATCAACATCACTGAAAACATCGTTGTACAGCGTGCAAGCTCGTTTTATATAGCTATTGCTTCCGTAACAAGTTTTAGTTTGCGTCACAGCAAACAATGCTTTTTTACGACTTGTCCTCTCTTGCTTCCTAGGGATTCGAAAATATATTTTTTCTAAAAGGGACGGGGCATCGACTATATCATTTAAAATTTTGAATAAATAATTCATATCTATAAGATGTCTGCGATGCCTAAGGGAAGTTATATTATGGGAAACAAGAGATGACTCGTAGTCTATGTGTAAATTACCAGTTCTATAATCTAATGTTTTAATGAACTTTCGTTGCACCTTCTCAATTTTATCCTGATGCACACGATGGTAAGGGTTCCAAACAGGGCTTGCGAACTCAAGTCGACTTCGCACGTAGCTATTAAAAAGTAATTTGTATGTTGCGGAAGACTTAAAAGGTTTACCCACGCGTAAAATGAATCCCAAAACCTTAAATGATTGATTTACCACTTTTTCTATGTGTGGTACAAATGTTAACTTGGAGTCCATTATAATACCAAGATCTCTAATTTCTGTCACACGATCTAAAACCTTTCCACATAATTTATATGAAAAAGTTATCGGATTTTTCTTTCTTGTGAATGTGATAGTTTGACATTTATTTGGGTTCAAAAATAAACTGTTCATACTGCAATATTCTTCGAATGCATTTAAATCATTTTGCAGGGAAATGGAATCCCGTCCATCACGAATTACTCTGAAAATTTTGGCGTCATCAGCGTATAGAAGAACACTTGAGTTTATCGTGATGTTTGAGATATCATTCACATACAAAACAAACAGCAGGGGTCCTAAATGGGACCCCTGGGGAACTCCCGAAGGCACATATTTGAATGAGGAGGTATAGCCCGACAGAACCACTGCCTGACTACGATTTAATATATATGATTTCAGCCAACGAAATAGATTTCCGTGGATACCGAGCTGCCAAAGTTTAGCCAAAAGAGTATAATGACAAATCTTATCAAAACATTTAGCAAAATCTGTATAAATAACATCTACCTGACCACCACTATCCATTTCCCCCAATAAGACGTCCGTGAAACTCAACAGATTGCTCTCGACACCACGTTTCTTGCAGAAACCATGTTGTGATGGAGTGATTATTCGCTTTACGGCACCGAGCATTTGTTCAGTGACAACTCTCTCCTGTATCTTTCCGAACTGACACAACTTAGAGATGGGTCGATAGTCAACCACGTCTTGACTAATGGAACCCTTAGGTATCGGTGTTATCCATGCTCGCTTCCATTCCTTTGGTACAGTACCGGTACTGAAAGATAACTTGAAAATATACAGCAAAGGATTTGTTAACGAATCTGCACATTTCTGTATAAATAGAGGATGTATGCCATCCGGGCCAGTCCCTTTATTGATATCGACATTTTTTAAATATTTATTTAATGTTTCAAATGATATCTCTATTTCGGCTACATCTAACAGTGCATTCATTGGTGGATGGACTAATTTGGATGACACCTTTTCTACACTGTTCAAAAAAACAGAATGAAAATGTTCACTGAAAAAGTTACATATATCTTTCCCATCACTACTACTCTGTTCTTTATAATACAAAGTATCCGGCATTCCATTATTGCCTTTTAAAGCTTTAATATAAGACCAAAAGTATTTTGGAGAAGATTTAATTTTATTTTCTGCATAGTTAATGTAACTCTTGTAACACTCATTTTCCATATGCCTGGCTCTTTTCCTTAATAGTGTAAACGTTTGGTAGTCTAAAGGATTCCCATACAATTTCCATAGCTTGTGGAATTTTCTTTTTTCATTTAAAAGTTTTCTAAGGGGTTTGGTGTGCCATACAGGACAATTTCCATGAGATTTTATTAATCTATTAGGGACGTATTTTGTTATTAAATTATTTAAAAGTAAATAGAATTTGGACACAGATTCTTGCAAATTTAAATTATTAAAAAAATCTATCCAGTTCACTTTATTAAGCTCGCAATTAATTAATTGATAATCAGCTTTGGGGAAATTATAACTAAAGATTGGCGCAGACCTTAATTTAGTGAAATCTTTGATATCAATACTAACTTCAATAGATTTATGATGTAAATCCTCCGGTGTCAAGGGGTGACAACAACTCGCCACATTGCATTCCCTATTACTCATCACCAGGTCCAAGATACGATTACTAGCATTTCTGACGCCATTATATTGCTGTAGACCGGTAAAAGCTAAGAAATTTCTCAAGATATTGACCGTCATGTCACCGCCGTCTTGCAGCAGTTTCCTGAGAGTGTGACTGTCCTGCCATATCGCATAAGAAATGTTAAAATCGCCTAGCAATAGAAAAATATCATCGGGTCGGTCATTCAAGATCTCACTTGACAAAGCGAAAAATGACTCCAACGCGTCTCGATGGCTCGGGCCGTGCGGTATGTAAACGCACGCAATGTTCAAATGCATGCCATTGCTTGCGTTTAATGGTATAGATAGCCACACGCAGTCGGAGGAGGCGCGGGGCGGAACAGGCCAGTCTCTGCGCAGCGGTCTTAAGGTAGTACGCACCGCGACAGCAACGCCGCCACCACGCCCCGCGCCACTCTCCAACCGCGAGCGGTCACATCTAAATACAGTATACCTACTGTCAAAATATTCCCTGTCATAAAAATCAGATGTCAGCCAGCTTTCCGTTATACATATTAAATCGTAGTCAGATGCAGCCACTTGTAGATGAAAATCGTGCGACTTCGTGCGCAAGCCCCTTACATTTTGATAGAAACATAATAAATTTCTGGTTGTGGGACCCATCACTGCATAATTACAGATTCGTACGTAATAATCATAATTTTATTAAGAGGTTTATATCGTCTAAATTTGCATGAGATGTACATATTGTAAGTTATTGTATAATTATAATTATAAAATTTAAAATAATGGGAGTTAACTATTAACAAAGTTAAAATGAATGTCGCCATATTAACACAATTATCAAACATTGAATTATTAATTATAATATTATTAAATTGTATATATTGTATAACTATAGAAATCATTTCATACTTGGTAAAATTAATAATTATAATATTATTAAATTGTATATATTGTATAAATATCGAAACAATTTCATAATTGGTAAAGTTAAAATAATGGATGCAAAAAATAAACAAAATAAAAATTAAATATAAATTAGCCATATTCTTAAGTCCGTCATTATTTAACGTGGGTAAAGCTAGGCATAAAAAGACTGCATAAAATACGTTGGTTTTATATGAAACTATAATAAGTCATCTTAACTTCGATAAGTCCGATTCGTTATGTATAACTATAGCTTTAGACTTATCGTTTTTTCGCATCAGTATTCTACAGTCTCTAACCCACAAATAGGAATATCCCAAGCTGGCTTTCACTTGTCGGGCTCGTTTCAGTAGAAGCTTGTTCCGCGGGGTCAGGTGATCCGATACATATATGTTTTGTTTGGGGCCCGAAAGATTAATGTCTGTGGTGGAGAGACCGCGTCGCGAGCGCACCGCTGCCAATAGTCTGTCCTTCGCCAGACGCCGCGTGAATCTCACAACTATGGCGGGTGGGCGCGGGTTGTTTGACCCTGAAGTAGTTGTCAGTTCACCTACCTCGAAACGCCTGACTCGCACGACCCCATCGATATCTTGCTCATCCAATGTATGTCCAACCTTATTACTGATGACCTGTAATAGGGTGTGGAGATTCTCACCAGCAGCAACGGGCACTCCAGAAATCTCGAGGTTGTTCATTCGTGCAGTTTGATCCCGTTTATGGTTCTCCATTTCAAGCGCCACGATGGTTTCCTTTGCAGAGTTTAACTCAGATTTCAGCTGGGGTATTACAGAGCTCTTTCTTTCCGTTTCAACAAGTCTATCCTCAATGGCACTAAATCGAGACTCCATCTCGCTGAATTTACTCATTTAATTGCTGTATTGCAGTGGTTATAGCATGAATGCTTGAATTAACTGTTGAAAAGTCGCTTCTAAATGCCCTGATTTCTTTAAGAATGTCATTCATGCTAGGTTCGGCGACCACTGACGAATTGATTGATCCACTAAGAAGGTCGACATTGAAATCGTCGCAGGACATATTAGCTTCCACCGGTGATTGCTCGAACTGCCGTCGGGTGGGTGTTTCGTCGCCCTTTGGTCGTCTTGTGACAGTGTTACAGCTGGGACACAGCCAATTGTTTTTTGTGATTACGTAAGTTTGCTGTTTCATATTGAGACATTTATAGTGGTAATGCCCCTTACAACTAAGACAGACTAAAACCTCGCTGCGATTTATCTTATTGCGACATGCCAGGCAATCCATTACGAAAGATTTTTATGTTCGGTAACAGAAAGGAAAAAACAAAAAAAGACAAGAAAAACGTCTGCTCTCCCAGGCCCGAACTGCGGGCCTTAATGATAATGAAGGCGAACAGTGTACCGTTCGGCCAACGCACGTTAGCAGCTGTTGACGAAAAACTTTATACAGTTATACCAATATGCAAACGGACTGCAGAACAATTAGCAGGTAATTCCAGCGAGTGCAAAGTCCAACTCAACGGCCAGTGTGCAACGGATTTTTATGAACAATAATTTAAAAATCTTCACTTAAACACTGCTTAGATTCTAGTTTTCCACAGATCACTTTGTTCACTGCAACTCCAGACGCAAACGTAGAAATAGTTACCTTGCTGTAAACACTATTTAACTGTTTATTTTCACTTTAATTTGATCATCACTTTTATTATGGGTTTTAGAAAAATGAACATGAGATAACGTTAGTGCTTAATAATTGAGCCTAAATACACACGATTTTTCCTTTTTCAAATCAAAATAGATGTTAATAAGATATCAATACTTTTTATAAAAACGGAGTGATTATATCTATGCGCCACCTAGCGGGGGTATTTATCAGAATGATAAATACCCCCGCTAGGTGGCGCATTTCAGACCCAATGATTCATATTAAATTACAAATTACAGAAACATGATTACAAATAAAAATATATTACATAGTATAACATAGCGTTATATTATATAGATTCAGATGGCAATATCCAACCATCGTCTATTTTTTTTATGCGATAGGGGGCAGACGAACAGACGGATCACCTGATGGTAAGTGATTACCGTCGCCCATGGACACCTGCAACACCAGAGGGGCTACAAGAGCGCTGCCTCTTTGAGGGACGAATATGATCATAGGGAGGGAAGGGTTGAGGGGTAGAGGGAATGAGAATAGGGAGGGGTTGGGCCTCCGGTACCCTCACTCACACGACGAAACACAACGCAAGCGTTGCTTCACGTCGGTTTTCTGTGAGGCCGTGCTATCAGCCGGTCAAGCCGGCTTATTTGTATGGGTAATGTCGCTTTAAACCAATGGAAATTTTAATGAACGCATGTGCAACGGGCTGTATACATACTTGATGACGGCGGCGATGAATTTCCTCTTGCTGTCTACGGTGGCGTGGTGCGTGGGGAAGTGTTGGGCGGTGAGCGCGTGCCGCAGCCAGTCCGCCAGGCCCGCGCCGTCCGCCCACTGCGCGCGGTTCAGCGCCAGCAGTAGCTCCGCCAGCGGTTCGATGTGGTTCCGCGGGGTGGCGCCACCTGACATACATATGTTTCTTCTTCGTTTTGGCACAAACAGCCGTTAAAGAAAACAAGTGCTTAAGGCGATACTGTACGAAATCACCAATTTTATTCTAAGACTATGCTTATACTTGCCAAATGAAAATCATTTTGTGAAAATTCCCGAAAATTTCCCGAAAAATGAAAAAAAATCCCGAAGATGATTCGAAATAAGTTTTTTGGATCAATTTTACGACAAGTATATTTCATCTCAACTGCATAAAAATTATATAAATAGTTATTGATATATTCTTTAGATCACAAGATTTTTTTTATCTCAGCAACCAATGCAATAAGGTGTGTAGAAATGCACAACGCCAATTTATTCATAAGTCCGTTGAAAATGCAGATTTTTGAAATCCATGGCCATTGGGAAACAACGTCAAACATCTCTGACAACCGCTTATGCATGCAATCAAATTCATTAATAAACCATTTACAGTCCAAGCTGCCAGTCTCTGAAATGCATTGCCAGAGGACATCAGACGTGCAGAAAGCATACACTTAAATTGATTTTATCCATTTGTTTTGTCCTATGTTGATGTACAATAAAGTATATTTCATTCATTAAAGAAGTTATTAATGAAATATCAATGTTCAGGCAATCCACCCAAACAACCGTAAGAAATATATTTACAAATATTTAAACTTTCGGTAAAGAAGAAAATTTGTTCTAAGTTATATTTGATCAATTTCGTATTCACAATGCTATACTGAAAAACATATTTAATAAAAAATGCTTAAAAAGTCAAATGGTATTCAAAACCACGACCTTGCTCTAACCACTGAGCTACCTAGGACCTAATAGGATTGACGAATCTATCAAGCACTTGTTATTTTGTAATTATTTTATTTCATCAATTTCGCATTCACACTGGAAAACATTCTTAATGAAAAATGATATAGGTGTCCTAATAAATAGTTCCCTAGGGACCACGCGAGCGAACCCGCTGGCGGAAAGCTAGTTAGTACGAGTATCATCATCGTCATCATCAGTTCTTTTACGTCCCCACTGCAGGAGTTCAGGCCTTCCTTATGGATGGTTAAGGCGGATAGGCCTTGACCCTCCACGCTGGCCCAATGCGGATTGGAGGGTATTAACGACTGCAAATGCAGCCGGGACCAACGGCTTAACGTGCCTTCCGAAGCACGGAGTAGCTCGAGATAATAATTTTTGGTCACCCATCCCGTGACCGACCCTTGCGAAAGTTGCTTAACGACAACGATCACGGGCCGCGGCGCTTATCCACTACGCCACCGAGCTACTTTGTACGAGTACGAGTATAATCCTCGCAAATTGCTAATGCACCTGGCCGCCATTCTGATGACGTAATTACATTAACAAATCAGTACCGTTAACAAATAAAGTACACTTATTGAGTTGGGTTGTGTTGACATCACTCGTCATATTGGTATTTTTGTCGGTTTAGATTGATATTTTTAAGTTTTGTTATGGTTGAATAAAATAGCAACTACTATTATTATTTTCACAATAAGTTAAATAATAAGTCTCTCATTTCATTTTTAGTGTGTTATGTTTTAATAAAATGTCCTTTCCGTTTGGTATCGTGGTTTTTGCAAAGTAAACTTTATATATACATTTTTTTAATTTCCATATATTATCAAACTGAAATTTATCAAACTATTATAACAAAATTTTAGGAATTATTCATAAATAATTAACAAATAAATTATCTTGGCATTTTATGCTAACTATACTTTCTATTTTCATATGACGTCACGCGGGTACTTAGACAAGGTTTTGGCGCATTAGCAATTTACGGAACTTATGCTCGTTTTCACTAAATTTAGGAGTCGCTCAAATCTGACGTCTAAACATTTGGATGACAGGGAGTCTAACGGCATTAAGCAACGCTTTAATTAGTACATGCCTTGTGCGACGCCTAGCGCTGGGCATTTGCGTAATGTGACAGATACATTTACTCTTTGGCCATAACATCAATTTAGTAAGTTGGAATCAAAGAGTTTGTATATTAGAATTAAGATATAAACAATGATATTTTTTGAATTTACAGTACATATATATGGACAATGACAACTTGGGTGCTCGTGTAAATACATGACCACGTATAATTTTTCTTGTGTTATTACCACAAAATAAATATTTCTGTTAATGTCTCTTTACGTGTAAAGGTCACTAACGTGACATTGGAACGCAAATAGGCCATACATAAAAAAAAGAACTGAAGCATGCAAAACTAAGACAAACGGTGCCTATCTAAGCTTAGTAAGGCATAACCAATCGTTACAGGTTTGGTGAAATGACAAATCTGCTTATGTTATTCTTAATATTGAGTGATTGTTCTATGTAAAAGAAAACGGGTATCATATATATAGACGTACCTATGCAGCGCAGCGCTGCGGCGGTGAGCGCGGGCGCGGAGTGCTGCAGCGCGCGCGGCGCCGCGCCCGCCAGCGACGACAGCCACCCGCACGCAGCGCGCGCCGCACACGCCTCCCACATACGTACGCAGTTGCAACCTGCGATTATTATTAAGCAACTATTATTTAGTATTTCGTAATATGTATATATATTCTTTTTTTATTAAATGCCCGGCCTTACATTTCGTGACCGAGAATCCTACCCTATCCCCACTTTTTAGCAGGACCTTATTACTCTAATTTTCTACTTCCATTCCAGTTCTCGCTTCTGACCTTTCTTTCATTCCGCGTTTATTTTCTTTCTTTTATCCTTCTTTTTTCCTTTCTTTTCGGCCAGGATCGCCGTTTCTACCCTGTTCTATTCTTAGTATGTATACATTAAAAATCACGTTATAAACATGATTTGGATGGAATGCACTAATATGCAAATAATTCACGTTCGATAAATGAGCTTCATTAGCAGTTACTTATCACATACCCCTCTTAGATTTAAGAAGTATATAATACGAATATTGTTTAGTTAAAGAGAGATCTACAACCTGGAATATAATATCATCTATTTCAGTTTGAATGAAACCACTTTTAAACTGTTTTATCGCTTTTGTATTTTCTTTTATTGGTGAGTCTTATACAAACGCGATGAAACCGTTTCAAAGTAGTTTCATTTATGGATAGTGAGCGTGAAAACATAAGAAATCAATATTTTTATTGGTTTTCCCGGCTGCGATTGCAGTCGTTAATACCCCCAACTCGCATTAGGTCAAAGTGGAGGGTCATGACTCGTCCTTCTTAACCATCCATAAAGAACGCCTGACTCCCAGCAGTTAGGACTTTAAAGTCTGATGATAAACACTAAAATTGTGAAAAGACGTCCCGTTTGCATTCCAAAGCAGAATGAAGCAGCAAAAAAGAAATGGAACCTACTTTAGCGCCCTAGAAGAGTAAATAAAACTCCCTGAAATGTCTGGTACAGAATGCAACGGGAAACCACTGCACTTGTCCTAATAAATCAGCTTCATTAAAAAGCTGGACGACAATAGCTAACGACTCGCGGGAACTAGCGACGGTTGTAAGCAACTGATGGCCAACCTGCACCAGTAAAAGAGGCACTGTAAGAGAGAGTATTCCATAGATCGCTTTACATTCGGTTCGATCGCCTCGTTTTACAAACATTTAGATTTAACAACATAACCGAAGTTGTGATTTAAAAAAGTATTTTACGATATTGATTGACCCGTTTGTGAAACAGGACAATAGTCTCCATCATCGTCAGCCTTTTTACGTCCCCACTGCAGGGACTCAGACCTTCCTTATGCATGGTTAAAGAGGATGGGCCTTGACCCTCCACGCTGGCCCAATGCGGATTGGAGGGTAATAACGACTTGAAATGCAATCGGGATAAACGGCTTAACGTGCCTTCCGAAGCACGTAGTAGCTTCAGATAATTTTTTTTTCCCATCCCGTGACCGACCCTTGCGAAAGTTGCATAACATAAAAGATCGCGGGACACGGCGCTTATCGCTACGCCATCGAGCCACTCTAGTCCTAAAAATAACCACAGTCAAAAATACTATTGAAATTACGGATTCCTCACCAAGATCGACAAGCTCAGGCAGCAAATCCTCGATCCAATCCAAATGCTGCGGCTTCTTCTTGGTCAGTGCGTGCAATAATGAGAATAGGGCTTCGGCTAAGTCGGGCGCCGCCGTCGGCTCGGGGGCTACCGCCCGCGCCGTCCGAGACACGCACGCGTGCAGTAACCGACCGCAGTCCGGCCATTCACCCCCCATGATCAACACTATCTGTTCACCATACAATTCTTAAACAAAATTAGACTAGTAAAAGGATAATGACAGAAAACAATACGTATAAATTAGTTCTGTATCCAATCAAGCACGAAGCCTAACAATTAATTAGCATAATAGACATAATTATATCCGTTTCATTCTAATGTATGAAACAGCAAGGGACAGCAGAAACAATGCCACATAAATGTGTTTCCATGTTAATAGGAATGCAGCTCATTTTTGCCATATAATTCATGAAAAATCATTAATGTATAGATGTTTGCGCCAATTTCAATTTTTGCGCGGATTTTAATAAACGTTATTTCATAGTAAAATAGTGCTCAGTTGCACAAACATCAATAATGGTTTAATGTCGACTTTAAACTCTAATAAATTTTCTAAATGTGTAATGTCGCTTAAGACTAATGTAAAATTTAATGGAAGTTTGTGCAACGCGCAGTCAGATTGACAAAATTACTGTATTTTATAGAAGTCTTTCAGTTTGTAGTAAAGTATTATATATGTAACTCGACAATAAGTAAAAAGATTATTTTCTGTCTACATAACATATTTTTTCGCACAACAGCGTGATTAAACTAATAATGATTATAAAGAATGAATCTTACAACTTTGACTACATCCAAGCCGACGGGACAAGGTTTGTGATCGAACCCTGCAATAGTCAGTTGCGCAATGTCACCTATATGAGGCTTGCAATCATCCAACAATGTCGACACGGTCTGTTTTAAAATCTGGAACATTGACTGAAACGTAACAAGAGCAAAATTACAATTCGTCGTTTATTGCATTTGCTTTTAATTAACACACTATAAGTATTCTTAATTACGTAGCTTAGATAACAAAATCGTAACAATGCAATTGTCACATTAAATATATATATATATTTGTGAAATATCAAATAAGAGAGGAAATAAGGTTCTAAAAATGTTTAAAAGTAACACGAATACACAAAATATACCTCAACTAGAGTAGGCTGTTGCGCAAGCGCCGGCAAAGTCGGAAGTAATGTACGGAACAAATCGTCCGCAAGCTGCGGCCGAGGCTGTAACGCTGCCAGTAATGCAGCTGCACACTCTCCTGCCCCAGTCGACTGTAGCGGCTCTAACGACTGCGATATACAGGGTGTAATATTAATGACGGTGAGTATGTACAGATATCATGTTTCATAATAAAATTAACTGCTTCAGACCTACGCAATCGATATCTAAGTAGAAATAATGTATTATTATTCTTAATGTCCGGGTGTCCGGGTTCCATTCCCGTACTGGAAACTATTTTCTTTTATAAAGTATGATGCAGATTTTTCACTAAAATCCTAAGAACAAATTTTCTTGTCTTATAGTTCCAGATTTTCCTATGCCGATCATGACTATAGTCAAGTCAAAAGAAAGAAAATTATTCATTCAGTGACATAATACATAAAACAAAATCATAAGAAACTTTTTTAATGTGTTTCTCATTGTAAGGATCGTATACAAGAAAATTTAGAAAAATATATAGATTATATCAGAAATATTTTTTACAATTGAATAGGTAGTTCTTCTAAGTTTCAATTACTATTTTGGGTCAGCCACAATTCTTAGTAATATTAATGGCAGTAAACATTATTATTATCATTATGACGATAAACACACATTTAACAAAAAAACTTTCTACGTGGATTTACCAAGAACAACACGATAAAAGTTTTAGACAACAATCTAATACAAAAAGTGATTGACGGTACGTGACATACGACTTTGACAGATATTTGATGAAACTAGTTGGTCAACTAGTATAGGACTTCAGGTCGATAGTAGAATGGTAAATTGCAAGCAGTTCAGATGCGATAATTACATAAACATTAGCAGAATGGGCTTGTGTCGTACAAGTGAAAAATTATGTTATATGTTCGCAAAAATAAACCATTTTAACTTGTAAATATTTAACAAAATAAATTTCATAACACTAAGTTGGAAAATATTAGATTTTGTAAACTTGAAAAAAGTAGGGAAAATATACTACAAAAATTTGCTAAAATACACATGACATTAAATAAGTTACATAAAACGTTACAACTTTCATTATATCAGCTATAAACATAAACGCACAAATAATAAAAATATTATAAAGATTGACTAGACGCCCATCCGTTTTTTCTACCGTAGCACTGTGTGACTCACTGTCTTGTAGGCCGACTAGCAAACATAGGACCGTATCTCCGAAACTATTAATCGCAGACATGCTGTTACTTCTATATTATTTCTCAGATATATGAACTATGCATTTATAATTAAAAAAAAAGTTGTCAACTAGCCTATTATCCTGCTAACTTGGTATCTGTACCTGTGCGTGCAGCCGGCGTTGCGCGGCGGCCGCGAGTAGCGCCAGCAGCGGCGCGGCACACGCGGGCTCCGCCGCCGCCAGCGCCGCGCCCGCCGCCCCCACCAGCTGACGCATCACCCACACGTCACCCTTGCCCCACTCCTCCTGCGTACACCGCCCCACCAGTTATAGCTGGCCCACACGACACCAACGACGTTTGCACAAAAACGAACGTGAAGACGTCAAGTTTGTTCATAACAAGGTTTTGACTAATTTTGATGTATCATTTTAAATTATTACTTATTACATAATGAGCATATTACTATATTTATCAATAAAAATCAAAGTTAAAGTTTAAATTTCCGAAACCGCGCGAGAAACGCTGTCTGTTATACGCCGCCACTGCGCCGCGTATAATGTCACACGCAAGTAAATAAACAAACGTCAAATCGTCAACAGGACGGCATTTTAACTAGCGTGTGACAACAATTTTATTATATAATATAATATATAATATTTCGTTTAAAATAAATATTTATAATTTTATTTATAAAATGTTTTAATTTCTGGTACGACGTGTACGGCGGCCCGGCTCAGTCGGCGTACAACTATTTATTTTACCGTTTCATCCTTATACCTCTCGGTGGGCGAGCGTTACGCGTACAATGTCTGGTACGACGTGCGCAGCACAATCAGCGTACAATTATTTATTTTACCGTGTCATCATCCTTATTGATCGCTTCACAGTACCTCTAGGTGCGCATGCGCTATGCGTACGATGTCTGGTGCGACGTGTGCGGCGGGCGCGGCGCAGTCGGCGCACAACTTGCGGAGGGCGAGCGCGGCGGGCGCGGGGCTCCGCTGCAGCGCGCCGCCGGTGGCACGCACGCACTCCGCAGCCAGCGCACTGCCGCGACTGCCCAGTGAAGAGAGCCACGACGCGTAGCTGCCTATAGGGACATAGGGTGATGACTGGGTTAAAATAAAAATTTCATAGAAAAAGATAACAGAAAAATATTAGATACGTCTTTATTTTTTTTTGCTTGGATTTAACAAAAAATGGCTTAGATGATAGCTGTTAAAGTTGAGGAGTGGAAACTCGCTACATTACAGTATTTGTAGAAAATGTACAAAAACATGACGACATTTCTACTCAATGTGTCGCCGTAATTTATTGATTGCGCCAAAAATAACTTGTTTAATATTCTTCAGTAATTTACCTGACGGACAAACAAACAAAAATATTCATTATCACTATTTTGCTAATGCTAGCGTAGTTATGACGAGTCAATATTTTTCTGTTATTAAATTACAAACATTGATTTGTGCAATGAATATTGGGCTCTATGTAGATATTACAATCGCAAAATGCAATTAATCGAGACACCATTGAGATATGATTATTACGTTAACATTAGCAGAATTGAGACCCAGGAAGCGAACGGCAAGTTCGATGTACACACTTACGGCCAGTTGCACAAACGTTCATTAAGGTTTAATGACGCCTTTAAGCTGCAATGAATGTCAAATTTCTACCGGTAATGTCGATTTAAACTAATGACAATTTTAATGGATGTTTGTTCAACTGGCTGTTAGCAGATTGCGCTACAGAAGGAACACGCGATCTATATACTTTGAGCTCTCTGTTTGATGAAGCTATAAGGACCGTATACATCTGTTACCATATCTGCTCCCCGCAGTAAATACTTCCTTGTTGATCATAATAGAATTTCATTTAGTACGAAAGACTTCTAATCGATCATCTCGGGAAAATTTGATTGCCAATAAAAGCTATATAATACGATCGCACGCACCGCGTCCGCTAGTGACATATGACGTCACCGCACCATCACATGACTCACCGAGGCAGTCGAGCGCGGTGTTGAGTGTGCGCAGCGAGCGCGCCGTGTGCGTTATGGCGACCGCGTGGTGCATCAGCGGCAACAGGCCGGCGGGCACGCGCTGGTGCGGCGCCGCGTCCGCCAGTGACAGGAACACGTGGAGCGCCGCCTCGCGCCGCGCCTCGCTGTCGCACGCGTCGAACGCTGCCTCCACGCGGGACCAACACCACTCGCCCAGCACACCGAAGCAGTACATCTTTCAAATGCAATTTGACACTCATACATAACGCATGCCGACTTACATTATTAAATACTCGGATTTAATATCCTACCTCTTTGGTACATATAAAAAAATCTATTCACTAACTACAATATCTCATTACTGTCGTGACTAATCAGAGGGCCTACTCAGTTTGTTTAGAAACGAAATATCGGTATGTTCCTATGATTTTATAAAATCATACCTGTGCAGATTATCTGCATATCAGAGGCAGTGCTAGATTTACCACTTTAAATTGTCAAAAAACAAGATTGAATAGAGTTGTATTATTGTTTATAAATTATACATATTTCGTTTGCGGAGAAAAAGAGTAGGTTCCCTAACATTTTCGGTTTCTAAATGTGTCTCTTTAGGGGCTTATGAATTGATGGACTGTATGCCGGTTTAGGCACAGTGTTTGATAGGGTCAACTATCACATGTTATTAGCAAAATTCAACCTAAATGGAGTCAGTCCACCGTCATTCAGTTGATTTAAGTGTTACCTCTATAACAGACCACAAGTTTTGGTTGCAAGTATCAAGAGTTTCTTACGACAAATATGATGTCCCTCCGGGGTGGCACCTAGGGCCAATCTTATTTATATCAAACTAACTTTACATATCCAATATTTATATATAAACGTGGTGAATCAAAGCTCTTGTACGATTGCTATGAACTCTTAAGTACCTGACAATAGTGTAGTTAATATACCCTCAATTGTCATTGAATACTGAAAATCTTAAGCCTTAGAAAGTAAAAAATTTACCACAGTATCAGCTATGTCTTGTCTGTAGCATCGCAATAACTCCAAGTCATCTCTAGACATCGCTTGCTCGTCTGGAGCTTCAGATTTGAACACAAGTGCGTCGAGCAATCGAGTGAACACTGTTTGCCATATTGGATTCATCTTTTCCGTGTCGTCCATTAAATTTAGAATTTCATCCTGTATACAAATAAATATTATAAAATGTGCGTTCAATTTCATACAGTATATGACTGAGAATAACACCCGTTTCCGCCAACCTACAACAAGGAATAACTTAAGTAGGAAACGCCTAAACCGATTTGTTTAATTCCAAATAAATATGTTGTTATTTATCTCAGTTAGGTCTTTAGATATCTGTGGTGATCCGTAATATTACGTAAATGCCTAGCGCAAGGCGCCATATAACGCATGTCTTATTTTTAGGCAGTTTAATGACGTTCTCCTAGTCATTCGTGAAATGAATTCTCACCATAGGCGATTACTAAATATTCAGGTGTCAAATTTGGATAACTTTATTAAGTGAGAATGGGCAATAGTATTTGTCACATTTTTGGACGTGTAGCAACTTCGGAATTACTGAAAGCGTACGATTTGTGCCATCAAAATATGCGCCTCTTAAGTTAGTTTTTATGCGCAGTCTCCCGCAAACGCTACTCGTGACTAACTTCACAACAGCAAAGTTATTTGATGGATGCTCTAATATACTTTGAAATTTACTTTGACTCAGCGTAAATGTTTGTTTACAAGGAATTTAATAAATATACATTCAAAAATAGGGTATTCGAGTCTGTTTGAAATAATACTTGTAAGTGTTTATTTTAATTTAATAAAGTTATAAAATAAATATTTCATAAAAATAAACATTTTCTCGCCTTAAAATTAAATAAAAATTTAAACTTTTTTAATAAAAGGTCGTCGATTATGACGCCATTCCGATATGTACACAAAACAGACAGTAGAAAAACATAGAGTAGAAGATTAAAAGATATAAAAAAAAAAAAGAACAGTGCCATCTAACGATCGATTACGGAATTACAAAATTTCTAATAAGCAATTAAATGGGATAAAAACTATGCTAATGCGAGTTAAGCGTTTGACTACTAGATCACCTGCAGTGTATACCAGAATCCGAACACAAGGTTAGATCTAGTCTCGTGTAGGGGATAGTGTCCGGGCGCGGCTTGCGCATCTAATAGCAGCTGAATGAGGGCCCGCGCCCCCTCCTGCCCCGCTGGCCCCCCCGCAGCTCCTTCTGCCCCCTCCGCCGACCGCACCACCCCGCGTGCGTGACACTCGCCCAATGCCACGCAACTCGTTATCAGACCAGATAACAACTCCTGCGAATCAAATAGCATTGTATTATCATAGAATGAGTAGCTCGGTGGCGTAGTGGATAAGCGCTGCGGCCCACGATCGTAGTCGTTAAGCAACTTTCGCAAGGGTCGCTCACGGGATGGGTGACCAAATAATTATTATCTCGAGCAAAGTATGCTGCAGCAACGCACACGTAGTTTCATTTTTACATTCAAAATGCTATAATGGAAAATATTCTTATATGAAAAATACTTAAAAATCTACCAGCCCCAGGTACTTTGAGATGGGATTCGAACCCACGACCTTTTGCAATCCGGGCGACTGCTCTAGCCACTGAGCTATCCAGGACCTATAGTATAGACAATAATAAGTTTTCGGGAGTGAAACACGGTAGGGAAAAGATTTTAACATACGTACTTCGTTGATAGAGTTGGGCACATTGTCTCGTTGCATAATGGGGGTAGCGAGTGCAGCTAATTCAGTTACAAGCTGTAGGGCCGAGTTCGGATAGCGTGATGCTTCTGGCCCCCCGCCGGCCGCCCGCAACGCTGCCAGACACATCTCACATGCGTCCAGCGCGCTGTCACTCACGCATTCGTTACTCCTAATAAGATAATTAAGGCCTAACATTAAAGTTTCATTCATTTTTACTGATAATAGATAATGATAAATTAAGCCAGTGCGGAGTTTGTAGCAAATTGTTCGACGCACTTGATTTGCTTGAGTAAGTGGAAATAAATTTTCTTGATTTGTAACATTTCATTGTAAATAATCGAAATCAGTAACTTTGCAAACGAAACAGAAACGTCGTCCTTTGCTTTCTGAATAACACAACACAACTAATCTGTGATTTGAGTTTTGTCAGTTAATGTTTATACTTTGTGATTGTTTTTCAGGAATTTTTAATTGAATATTTCTCTGAAGTGGTAGCTGCTATGCACAAGTTCTTTTTGAAGTCAGTGAAAAAATCAATAATAAAATTACGTATAGAGAAGATGGACGACTGTCATGAGAGCGCGGCACAGCGGCATGCGGTCAGCAAGGCTGCCTCCACCAGCATCAGCATCGATAGCATCCTCACCGCCCAGCGTCAACCAACTGCAAGCGCATGTCGCCGCGTTCAGCCATGTCTGCACTATTTGTTCTGATGGCGGCTCTGCACTGTAGTCACTGGCATAAACATTCCAAATAGTTTTTATATAAGTTGAACATATTTTTTACTTATAAATAATAAATTTAGTTTATTAATAACTAGATGTTACATGTAGTTAAAGTGAAGTTACATAAATGGTGAAAATTTGCCTGACAGTCTCCCTCCTTAATCCTTTCATAAACACTATTGCGACATGAAAGGGTTATATGTTACATGAAATTGTCACAATTAGATATATGAATTTAAACTATACAAATATAAAAAAATGCAGGAGTAACTTTATCTGTCTATGTTTATGGTTATTTTCTGGACCAGAGATTTTTAACTCGGAACAAGTTTGAGACCTCTAGAAGGTCAAAAACTAGGCAATTTGTTAATATGATCACATTATAATATAATCAAGTTATGTTTACAAATATAATTTCTGATTATTGAATAAATCAATGAAAACTTACTTATAAACTGTTTGTAGATATCTAAGCATATCATTTAATACTGCTGGACATGCTTGATGCAATGATGCCCTATTTTTGGCACGGAGTGCTGATCCCATTGTCATGCTGTTATACTGAAATAAATAAATATGAACTATTACTTAACATTCAAGTATTATGCACTATAAAGTATGCAGAATTAAAGTATGAGAGGTAGTAATTGCGAGAACTGGTATGATTGGGAAAATTGGTATAATAACAGCTTGACATTGGTCGGGGAGCAGCTGGGTAAAAGACTTATGATAACAAAGCATATTAGCATTACATGCAGTAATTGTAAGTAAATTAGCAACAACACTCAGTAGATGAAAAAGAAAAAAAAGAGTGAAATTTCTACCACACAATATACATATATTGTGTTATTCTATTTATATTTTATGCCTCAGTTACTGTAGTAAGTATATTAATTTCAAAGTACAGATATTAGTACTGTTGAAATCAAACTTATCTTACTTCTTCTGGTATCACAGTTAACACTTCTAGTAGCAGAGACATATTTTCAGCAGTCGATAGTGGCCTCAATAGGGTTGCCAAATCAGTTGTGCCTTGTTGGAGGGTAAATGCTGCTAACTGAAAAATACCACAGATTAAGAAACAGTATCAAGGTCTCACGCTATTGAATGTGTAATATTTAATTTTTCTTAAGTACAACATATTTAGAATTATAAGTTTTCATACAAAACTTCAACTTATTAGACTTCACATTAGCCAATAAGATAATTTTTTGCTGTGGCAAATTTTGAGAAAGTATGAAAATGCTCAGTTTTCTATGAGATACTATTATATAATTAAATTATTGTTTTCTTCTGCTATACTTACACTTATGCATAATCTATTTGTCACAATTTTAGGCCCGTTTGAATATGTGAAAATAGCTTGTAGAATTTTTTCTTTCAATTCCTCGTAACTTTCTGGTGGCACTTCATTCCAACATCTCAAGATTTTAGTGTGTAGGGTAGTAGCTCCATAAAATTGTATTTCTGTACCCTGTATAAAACATGCAAGAGTTTAATATTTGGAGTTATTTTTTGAGTGTATATTTTTATTAGTCTCTCCAAGGTTTATCGCCGGCAATACCTTTGTAGGTTGAAGCAGTTCCCAGACGAAATTCCATGCTTCAGGTACCCTTTGCGCGGCTGTAAGCCATGTATGGGCCCTGGCCCGATCAACTTGTTCTCCATTATAAAAAACAGAAACGGCATATTCCAAATTTTGGGCTGTATACTCCATGATAGTTTCACTACCTATTATTTAATTGTTTATTTAACAGCTCTAAATTTTCATTATCACAGTAATAATGGTAACTTTGTTCTAAGATTCACTGCTGCAATTTCCGAAAATGCGTACTAATTTTCGGTAAGATAAAATTATCGACACAATCCTACGATTAAAAGCGAAAGTACAATAGTTTAGAAATAAATAGGTTTTTATATTTTTACAGCAGTCGTACAAACATACCTACTTTCTTGATATTCCAACAACAAAAGTAGGATGTCATAGAATGTCACTTTATCGCAATAAATGAGAAGGTCTCATAAATTGTATTAACATAAAAAACAAGACAGAAAATGTGTGCGGATATTTTTTATTTAGTCGCATAACACAGCTGCTTTTGACATTTAAGTCGCTGCATTCAAGAAAACTTTATTCAAAGGACATTTACAATATACGGCAAGGTTGTAATAAATATATAATACTATCCCTATAATAGACACAAAAATCAGTAATACACTTATTTCAATAACTAAATAAGTATTACTATCATAATAAGGAAGTATTTTAAAAAATAAAGAAACTACAAATTTTTATGTCACTAGATGGCAGCACAAATTGTAGGATCTAAATGTCAATGAGGAAGTATTTAAAAAAAAGTTCATAAAATCAAACTAGATGTCACTACGGTACTTTCTTGATTTCTTCATGACAACCCTTCCGGTTCTTTCATGAATAAAAGTAAATTAATTTTCAACTCATATTTTATTTGTACTTTTTCGTATTTGTATTGATATCTAAATTTCGAACTTTGCAAATTTCAGTTTTTTAATGTGTTAGATAAATGGAACGGAAATAACTATGTTTGGTACATTCGTTTCCTGCAAAAAACAGATCTTGTTAAAGTCGCCATCTATTGAGCGGCTTTTTTAGTGCTTTCTTTTTTTCTTAAAATATTTCCTCATGACGTTAGACCAAAGAGAAGGTTTTTGTAAAGTTATGGAAATCAATATAATGAATGCTATAAAATTATTAAAAGTAGCATTTAGCTATAGTATAGTATAATATTACTGTGAAATAGTTTTTAAAAATAAATACTTATGCCATAGCAGGTCTAGGTATTTTTCATTATAGTATTTAACAAAAGTTCTGAAAACAATAACAACAAGGTAAGTTAGTTTTGTTGTTCTTAGTTGTTAGTGGAACTTACATCAACAAAACAAAATCAAGTCTCAATAATATTTTTATATTATTTGTGGTGAATGGATGAACAGGGTTTATTAATGAACTCGTACAAAATAACATAACTTCTGGCTAGAATGACGTTTGTACAAAGTACAACGTGCAAATAAGTAATAAGTACAAGGTAGTTTTGTAAACCATTGGCATAGTTTTTGACTTTCACATGTATTGTCTAACAGCCTAGACTGAATTGATTTTGGTATTTATATTAATATTGTGGCGACTGGTACATAGCGACATCTAATTCATCGCAATAACATCGCCACAAGAATTGATAGCGAGAAGATTAGCATCGTCACAGCCATCGATAGCAAGACGAACTGCAATAAGTTTCAACAGCAAGTAACGAGATGGCGCTGTACCAATACAAGCAGCATAAATTAATAACTACAAGACATTTAGAACAAAGAAACCTTCATCGCACAGAATAAGTTTCATCACCAATTAACATAAAGAGAACGTCCAACCTACATCGGTTGGACCGCGGTCCCCGGGCTAACAACACCTAGCTCGGAGGGAGACAATTATCCTTTAGTCTCCCTGACCAGTTGTCTCCATCACCACAGTTGGAACCACACATTCAACCTTTAGGTTCCTAAAATATCATTTGACGTGTGGAGGCATAATGGCACATATGGAAATACTGCACATAAAAAAAACAAGCTGAAATCTGCGCTCCGCTTTTTGTTCTTTATTACAAACTTGAATACGGATAAATCAAGTCAATTGAACAATCGATAAATTGCCTCATCTCTAATATTGACATAATTTTTGTATTGCTTCTAATTTTATTTGTGTCTCTTGTGGACTAAGGGGAAAGAGAGGAGGCACATCTCCCCTGGCCTTCGATCCTGGGTTGTTCTCCAAATGGCATCAGCCAAATTCTAAATAAATAAAGACAAATATAATGCATTATCAAGTTTCTGTCCTGGTTGAAAATGTTGTCGCCGCTGGTCCCGGATTACAGACGCAAACGATCCTTTACGAACTGGTTTCATTTGGTTCATATTATGTACGTAAACAAAGTGAGAAAGATAAAGGTAATCAATTGTGTAAATAAAAAGAGATAGAAGGTATTTTGCTTTTTTTTTATGGAATGGGGCAGTCGACGGATCACCTGATGGTGAGTGATTACCGCCACCCACGGACACCTGCAACACTAGAGGAGCTACAAGTGCGCTGCCGGCATTTGAGGGACGAATATGCTCTACGCTTGAAAGTTTGAAGGTCGTATCGGTCCGAAAATACCGCTGGCGACAAACTGGTCCAGAGTTTGGCTGTGCGAGGCAGAAAACTTCTAGAAAAACGCACAGTTGAGGACTTCTAACCATCCAGATGATGGGCGTGGATTTCTTGTCGCGTGGAATGGTGGCGATGCTTGTTGCATCACTGTTTGATTGAAGGTGTGGGTCAAAGGATCGAGTCCTTTACATTTGATTTTTTTTTTATTAATGATTGTATCACTCGATTATATCGGGTTGGCACAAAAGTAATGAGACACTTGGTTTAAGTATTTACTTTTTTATTATTATTACAATAAAAAAAGTTTAGTCAATGATGTAATTACCATTAGTATCTAAGACTTCTTGCCAACGATCCGGCAAAGTTTGGATGCCTTTTGCCCAGAACTCTGATGGCTGTGCCTCGAAAAAGTTGTTCAACTCCGCCTCTACGTCAGAGAAATCATTAAATTGTTTACCTCGCAAAAGCTGCTTCAGGGCTCTAAACAAATAATAGTCTGATGGGGCGAGGTCTGGGGAATAAGGTGGGTGGGGTATCGTCTCCCAGCCCAAGTTCTCCAACTGCCGGCGAACCACAGATGCGACGTGAGGTCGAGCGTTATCGTGCAGTAAAACTACATTGACTCGTTTTCGTCGTTTTTTCTTGATAGCGGCAGATAATTTGGTAAGCTGGGTTGAATATTTGTCAGCGTTTATAGTTTCATTGTGTAATAGCTCATAAAACAATATGCCTTGCGCATCCCAGAAACAGCAAAGCAGAATTTTTCGGCGGTTCTTTTGACTCAGCTTCGGTTGAGTTGATGGCGTTTCTTCTCGAGGCAGCCAAAAAGCACGACGTGTATCGTTCTCGTAATAAATCCATAATTCATCTCCAGTAACCAGATCTGACAAAAACTCTTTACGTCGGGGTCGCAGCAAAAGTGACTGACAGATAGCGACACGGACTGCACGACTGGCGTCTGTAAGGATGTGCGGTACCCACCGAGCCAAAACTTTTCGATAACCAAGCTCATGCAGATGGTGTTCCACGGCGTGGTGACTGCATTTAAGTGCTTCCGCTAATTCACGAGTGGTAGCATCCGGATTCAACTGCAGTTCGCGGCGCAAATCGTCATCATTCACTGCGGGTGGTCGCTCTGAGCGTGGCTGACTTTCAAGGCTCCTGTCTCCTGATTTAAAACGGTCAAATCATCGGGACACCGTCGCATGGCTTGTTCTTCCAGCGACTAATGCATTGTTGATATTATCAGCCGCAGCCCGCGCACTGTGGCCTAACAAGTACTCGTATAAGTATAGTGTTCGAACTTGTCGCTCGTCCATTTTTCTTCAAACTGACTAAACAAATCGCGAGCGCGGCTTTATATACCCTACACCAGAAGTACCTAGAATGTTCTACAACATTCTAGAATATTATCGAAAAAATTGATTTTAAAAAGGAAATGTTATAGATTATTCTAGTGTGTCTCATTACTTTTGTGCCAACCCAATAGTTGTCATCAAATCAAAATGTTTCGATTAATCGCGATCGACACAGGTCTAGTAGTTCAACAGACCAAGAAGGAGGTAATACATTACTAAGTCTGTGATATAGTCTTTTTATATTACATATACCTACTAAGTCTGTGTATTATATTACTCTTTTAAGTCTGTGGATATAGTTCCGGTTTTGTTTGTCGTCTTGTTTGATTGTCGATTCTTAGAGTAAAATATTGTTTTGAGTAATTCTGTTACGATGAAAATAGAAGAAGTAAAAAGCACTGCAAAGACTCAAAGAATATCAGCACATAGTCACATAAAAGGCTTGGGTTTAGATGAAAATGGTGTTCCTATTCAGATAGCTGCCGGTCTCGTGGGTCAGGAATCTGCACGAGAGGTGTGATTTTTTAAATCTTTAAACATAAAGAAAACCGTAGTTATTCTCAGATCCAAACAAATATTTGATGACATAGCTGCGTATGTTAATTATAACATTTGGTATTGATCTAACATAGAGGTTATAATATCTCAGTTACCATGGTAAGGCAGGTGTTTAAAGCTCTTCCAGCCCTTAGTATGATTTCTTCCACATTTGTTTCACAAAAAAATTATCTTAGAGAACGTCCTGCGGTTATCTTTTCTTAGTGTAGGATTTAGTTTTTTGCTATGTTTTTTTCTTATTTCAGGCTGCTGGAATTGTCGTCGATATGATTAGAAGTAAAAAAATGGCAGGGAGAGCCTTACTATTGGCTGGACCTCCAGGAACTGGCAAAACCGCCATTGCTTTGGCTATTGCTCAAGAGTTGGGAACAAAGGTTTGTAATTATATGATTTTAAGGCTTCAGTGAACACTGAATAAGATGTTGATTTAAACAAATATCTTTTTTTTTTGTGCTTTTTTATTAACCACTAGCTTTTGCCCGCGTCTTCGTCCGCATGGTAAAATTACTCTGAGCAGCATTTTTCATTATACCGTGTAAAATACTTGAAATAAAGTTTCATCCCCTACCTTTCTTTCTTAGGGGATGCCTAAGTCATAGCAGCTTTATGCAAGCCAAGTCTCGGCCCAATCGGTTCGAAATTGACAAAGTTTCATACAAACTTTCATACCCTATTTTATCCCCTTGGGGGTAGAATTGATCAAAATCCTTTCTTAGCGGATGCCTACGTCATAACATTTATCTGCATGCCAAATTTCAGCCTGATCCATCCAATGGTTTGGGCTGTGTGTTGATAGATCACTATGTCAGTCAGTCACCTTTGAGTTATATATATTTAGATATAGTTTTCTTAACTTATAGTTAGGACAAGAAAACTCTGAAAAGTGAAAGATAATTTTTAGTGATGTTAGGTTAGTGTAATAACGAAAACAGCATGAACAGAACAGACCCGACTAATGCGAGTAAAATATGCCCATGCAATGGCTAATGAACCGCAAGACTTAAATGCATACATGAGTGTTGGTTATATTTAAGGTGATAATTACTAATAACTGTATTTCTTATTTATTATTATTGGAGAGCAAGAATTTTTTGGTCATAAAAATACCAAAAAATTATTATCTCTAGCTACTCTGTGCTTTGGAAAATGTTAAGGTGTTGGTATTATACCCTCCTATACGCATTGGGCCAGCATAGAAGATGATCCATTCTCATTAACCATCCATTAGGAAGGAAGCTTATGAAGTATTTCTTTGTATAAAATAAAACAATATATTTCTAATAATCAATTAAATAATTAGGTACCATTCTGTCCAATGGTTGGTAGTGAAGTATACAGTACAGAAATCAAGAAAACTGAAGTTTTGATGGAGAACTTCCGCCGTGCCATAGGTCTACGTATACGTGAAACCAAAGAAGTGTATGAAGGAGAAGTTACAGAGCTCACACCAGTCGAAACAGAAAATCCAGCTGGAGGTATGATGATATTAATTAATTTATTAACATAGTTAAGCTATTTATAAAATCTATAAACTAGGACAAGAATTTTTGACTTATTTGGAACTTAGATCTAGACTATTATATTTGATTAATTTTGGATTCACAATGCTATACTTGAAAATATTCTAATGAAAATGTTGTGGATTCGAATCCCATCTCTGAGTTCCAGCAACAAAGTGGATTTTTTAAGTATTTTACATGAAGAATATTAGATCTAGACAATAGTGTGTACTAATTAATTAGTACAGAAAACTTCATTTCTGCCTCCTGTAGATAGCCTTTGGTTAGGAAAAATATAGATTAAAGTTCCACACTTTTATTATGAAATGTTTTAAAGGATATGGAAAGACAGTATCACATGTCATAATTGGACTCAAAACAGCCAAGGGCACAAAACAGTTAAAACTAGATCCAACAATCTATGAATCTCTACAAAAAGAAAAAGTGGAAGTGGGTGATGTCATATATATTGAGGCAAACTCTGGTGCTGTGAAACGTCAGGGTCGGAGTGACACATTTGCTACAGAATTTGATCTAGAGGTAATATGAATGAATTCTTCATTTTCTTTTGATATTTTAACACCAAGTTTCTAAATTGAGAATTTAAAGTTAAGCATGTCTCAAACTATACTTAAATGTTACAGGTTTTTGATTTTTGGTATTACCCTTTTTAATGATCAGTTGATACCAGATTGATAAAACTAGGAACTAGTAAAGAAAAACATTTTATTTTTGAAGATTATAAGTTGAGATTTTGAATTTTTCTCAATTCAGAAACTGGATGTAAGTTTTGAATGATTTTGGTATATTAAACTCAACACAATTCATTATGTTCTTTACTATCAAAATATGTTTTGTTTAAGCAAGTACAACAAGAACCCTATTTATATTGATTGTTAAGGTAAACGAAATGTAAATTATAACTTTCATGATATAAATCAAACAATGTTTGCTAAAAGAATCGGTTCTAATTGTTTAAGGCAGAAGAATATGTACCACTACCAAAAGGGGATGTTCATAAAAAGAAAGAAGTAGTCCAGGATGTAACTCTTCATGACTTGGACTGCGCTAATGCAAGACCTCAAGGCGGTCATGACATTATGTCTATGATGGGGCAACTCATGAAACCCAAGAAAACTGAAATTACAGGTAAAAGAGGCATTGCATCTAATATTAAAGTATTGTAAACATATTTTTAAACATTTGATAACAAATATGAGGTATATTCTTTTCAGATAAACTAAGGAAAGAAATAAACAAAGTAGTGAATAAATATATTGATCAAGGCATTGCTGAGCTGGTGCCGGGTGTATTATTCATTGATGAGGTAAATAGATTCAGAGACTCAATAATGCTTGCAGACTGATCTAGTAACATTTGGTATGCTACAAGATTTTTGTTTTTGGTTTAATCAAATCATAGGCTAATGCCTATTAACTAGATAAAATTTGTATGTCGATTGTATTAGTTTGAAAAGACCTTTAGATACATGTGAAGAGAAAAATAAACTAATGTTGGCTGTTCAAAAATTTTTTTACTTTGAATGAAAACTTGTTGCAATTCATTTTGGATTACATTGTTAATTTAATAACTTTATTACTTTTGCAGGTCCATATGTTAGATATCGAAACATTTACATACTTACATCGTGCGTTAGAATCTGCTATTGCACCTATAGTTATATTTGCAACCAATAGGGGAAAATGTCAAATAAGGTAAGCTAACAATGTCATGCAGTTATCTTGAAAATTACCCCAAACTAAAAATAAAAATTTAGATGTACCTCATTTAAAGGCAAATAAATATTATTATTATTATTATTAAAAAATATAATATATATTTCCTTTTATTGTAAATTTGATAGTCAGGTAGCTCAAATTTAATAATTAACTTATACTATTTGGCAAATTTACCTTCACAATACTGTAGCTCGGTCTACAAATAAAGAGAATTTCAAACAATGACCCAGCATAACATGTCTCTTTTACTCCTGCTCAAACATATTGCTATTGCACTCGCACAGATGGATCTACCCATCTTTATCACAGTAAAGTGAATGTAAAATGTTTACTATAATATACTTATCTTTTTTTGGCCACTGGAATATATTTTTTGGATATTATAGTATAGCACTTAAATTATTCACCAATCTCAGGTGCCTAAGATTTAGTTGTAATTTATTTTTATTTTACAGGGGGACAGAAGATATAATATCACCACACGGTATCCCCTTAGATCTCCTAGATAGGTTACTAATAATTCGCACACTTCCATACAATAAAGCTGAGCTTCTACAGGTAAATATATTTAAAATATCGACATTCAATGTAATGTTTCATTTGATTGTTTTATTTAAGGTTTTTATATGTTCGATAGATCTTGAAATTGCGGGCAAATACTGAAGGTATAGCTATCGAAGAAGAGGCTCTGTCTGCATTAGCGGAAGTTGGTGCTAAAAGCACATTAAGGTATGAAAGATCTTATTTATTTATGATTCGCAAGTTTCTTGTTATTATTTTAGTGCAGTTTGCGGTTGAACATAAATCGCTTAACCGTGCGATGCAAATCTCATTGAACTTTCATTAAGCGTCACACGGAAGTATGCGATGGATCTTCCGTCGATTGTACAAGGTCGAATTTAATTTCATATATTTGTCAGTTTTGACTTTCCGCGACCAACAATTAAGAGACGCATCCTCGCATCCGATTTAGTAAATAAACGTATATTTAGTCTCATAACTTAAAGGTTTGAGATTGAGGAAATTGCTTGGTTATAAGCCAGTGTGACAACATTATTAATTTCAATAATTTAATGTTTAAAAGGTGGCATTAGTATTTTAATGTGATTCTTTTTTTATCAGAAATGATTTCTTAATCATTTTTATCATAATTGTATTAATAGTCAAATTATAAATTTGATTTATTTCAATTTTCCTAAACTGTTTTGCAATCATTTATAGTATCTATTTATCAAATCCATTCCGATCCATAGTTGAGTACATTATTAATATTCCTTTAAAAGCATTTTATTAAATATAATAATATTTAGTTAATTTTGCATTCACAATGCTATATTTAAAAATATTTTTAATGAATAATGTTTAGGAAATCCACCCTGGTCCTGGTACCCTGAGCTTGTACTCTAACCCATGGTCTTTCGCAAAAGACAGGGTGGAATTTTTAAACATTTTTCATTAAAAATATAATATGTAAATAGATCACATAAAATCACTAATTCAATATTTGTTGTAAAATATGAGTGTGAAATGCCACGTTGACGTGTATCATGGTTGGAACAGGTACGCGGCACAGTTACTGACGCCCGCCATGTTATCAGCGCGCGCTGAGGGCGCGTCCCGCATCACTCCAGTTCATATTCAGGCCGTCAATACGCTGTTCCTTGACGCCAAGTCATCCGCGCGTATTCTCACGCAACATTCCGATAAATACATGAAGTAGAATTTCAAGGTATTCGCTTGAGTTTCCTTTGAAGGAGAGTCGTCAATATGATGTTGGTATTAGCCGGAGGCATTAATGAACACTGATATTGCGTTTTTAGTTGAGGGAAATGGGAATGAGGGAAAAATCCTACTCCAGATACCGCATCGTTAGTAATTTGATAATTTAGGGGCACGATTTGAATTTGTCTGCACAAGTATTTTCATTGTTTGCCCGTCACTTGTGCATCTATATCTATGCAGTTATGATAAAAATAACTGTATCTAATAGGTGGCTTAGAGTTTGTAGTTTATAACTAAAGGTAGTTTCAGGGGGTCATGACCCCAGAGCTTTTTATAATGTCAATGAATAAATTAAATTTGTGACCTCCCGCTGACTTGAATTCTTATATAAAATAATACGATGGTGGCGATAACCCTTCGCCTAAATCGCAATGAAATATCTGAATTTATTGTGGCGTTTCTAGTTTTACATTTCTTTTTTAATGTAAAATGTGTGTAACAAAATAGCTTTAATTTAAGTTAATCTTACATAAAACAAATTACATTAAGTTCTGCCTAACGGAAATTAAATCTACTTTAGTATTCATTTTAACAGAACAAATCTACTATGTGCCAATTTAATAGCCACCGACTGTAACAAGATTTAATGTATTAGTTCGAGCGTGTGTGGTAACGACGTGTTACCACATGGTGTCGTTTTTTCCGTTGCCCCATCCTTTTTTATCGCTTAGAACCGCCTAGAGCAAGAAAGATAGAGAGTGAAAGAAGGCACTCTTTGAGCTTTAAAGGAAAAGGATTTAGTTGCAGATGGTTACGCAGTCTTGTAATTTTATTAAAAATATTTTAAAATGAATAGACACCCTCTTGGCCAATACAAACAGTTTGCAGATTTTAGGATGTGGTTGACTAATATACCTACTTGTATTTAGACAAAAAATATGTGTTTTATATAATCGATAAAGTGTCTCATTATTACAATTGGTAAATAGAAATTTAATTATTTGTTTCGTCAACCCATTACTTATTTTATAAAAAGAAGAAGCATTTTGTTTAATCTTTAAAGAGATAATTTAATTTCATGTTTATTAATTAGACCAAAAATAACTTGTGTTTCTTTTAAACAATGTAAGCACCAGTGTTATAATAAATAAGTTTTATTTTATAAAAAAAAGTCTTTTCTTATACAATATATTTACCTAAATATTTACAAATTTTCATTCTTATAAAAAAATAACAAAATAGGCATTTTCAATTTTCAACAACGCTTATATTGGGCTAATTTTTAATAGAAACTTTTATACATACGTATGTACTTACACATCATAGTTTATATTGTTCACTGTACAATATAACTTAGCTTATTAGCCTCTTGACATTTCCATGTTAATTTAATTTCAATACTTAATCGGATATTTCTTTAATACTCATAGACATTATTTAGTTTACTTTCGACTTAGGAAACAGTACTGGTATATACCTCGCTTCCGTGTCTGGCGATCTCGTAGAACTAGGCGACAAAGTGGACGTAGGCGGAGTGAAGGTAGGCAAGTCAACTCTCACCGGCGAAGGCGCCGAAGTATGGCGATATAACGCTTCAAATTGCAGTTCCTCCGGATATGAATGCGAGCGAATCTTACGTTCGTCTCTAGCGTTACTGGGGTATACGATGACTATTTTCTCGCTGTCACTGCGCAATGCCACAGGAGGCAACGTGGTCGTCAACGCCGTAGGCCCTGAGACGACTTTCAGCATCTCCGTGGGGGCCGCACGGAGTTTCTCGGTTGTGGTCGTGGTAGTCGATTCAGTTGTGGTGGTCGTCGATATGACCACGGGAATGTCCGGTTCCTCAGGCGACTCCACCTCTCGTCGTTCCGGCGGCCCAACAGATCTCAGGGTCTCTATTTTCATCTCTAACGTTGGCGTTGGTACCGGAACCGATGCGGTCGTATTTAAATCTTCCGTAGGGATGTACCTCGCAGTCGGTTTCGCCACTTCTCGCGATCCGAATATCGGGAGGCGAGGGGCGTAAGCGGAAACTAGTGGTAGCAAGGTGTCTCTAGCGTATCTTTCGGCTCTCGAAATGAATGAGGCTAAACGAGACGGCAGGAACTGTACTGCGAAGCTGGACTCATCTTTTTCGGCGTGATCGCCCCACGCCATGGCGTCGTACGTCGGCGTTGTGGGGGCTTCATAGTTTTTCGCTTTGCGCGCTGGAGGTTGCGTGGAGCGTGGTGGTTGCGTAGCTCGTAGGATTGGTTCGGATATCTCGTGTTCGTCATTATCAGTCCTTTGGCGTGGAGTTTTACGCGGGCGGGGACGAAGTACTGGCTCAGCGATTTCCACGACGCCGCTGGGCGCAGTCTTGACGTTTGTCATGCCGAAAGCTCGACCGGTGTCGCCACCTGTCCACTCCGAATTGTCCACAAGAACGAACGGTCGCTGTGGCGTATCCTCCGGTAACTCGTTGTCTATTGGATCTATCGATCCTGTCGTGTTCTGTTTGCTAGAGTATTCAAATTCCTCGTTTGTTCCGTTATGTGGGCTACCGTCCTGTGAAAAGTGATTACGTTAGTATAAGTATGTACTATTCGAGTTTCTACAAATACTACATAATTATGTACGAGCTAACCTGTTGTATGATGCAGTCTCCTGGATAAAGAGGCAATTCTATGGATTCCTCAGATTGCAGCTGTAGTCCTTTCTTACAAAATGATGACCTGTAAAAGTTTTTTTTTGTTATTTTGATTTTTTTATTTTGCAGTGCCAGTAGACATTCAGACTTTATTCTGTGTTGGTTTTAATATCGGCTTTGATGGTATATAGTGTTTCTTACTAGTGAGTGAGTTATTTGGCGTAATTGCTGTTCTAATTAGTTTTAACGCTATTCAATAGTATATTAGTCTTCTTGGGTGATAATATTATCTTATTATAGTTAAAAAAACATTCAGTATATTCACATTATAAAGTTACTCTGCTATCAAATAGTTCACAATTTGCAGAGCCGCCTAAGTCTAGCTATGATTCTAGCAATAGGATACGACATCTTAGCGATGTTATAGCGTTATTTCAATTTACAATTCAATATGTACTTTAAGAATACTGATTAGACAACAGTGTTTTCAACTTGATTATTTATCCCAAATTTTTCTACTAAAAGACATATCAAATAGTAAATGAAACGAAATATCGTTATAATATCAGATAAGATGTCGTATCCTATTGCTACACTTATTTATTTATTACATCGTAGTAAAGCCTTATCAATGAATTATTTATTTATTGCATAAATAATGGTTTAAAAATATGTCAAAGAATATAAGTATCTAATATATTACTGTTAAATAGCATGCAATAATTCGCATTCAATAAACTACAGCTAACAAACAGAAATTATGATAGGAATTCCTATTCCTACAGACAGCCAGCTATAGATCCTCACATATATGAAATATGAAACATAGTTTACACGTACGTACAACTACGAGTCAGACGGTCGCAACTCTGCAAAGCGACCGCCTAACTCTAGCCTTGTTTCTAACTATAGCTATAAAAACGTTTTATTATTTTATTTTATTCAGAGTAAATTTTCATTCGAAATAACTTTGTTTTTTCTACAATTTATGAATTTATTCAAATTTAATAAGTCAACTAAAACAACCAAAAGCATTTAATAATTGTGTAAATATTAAAACTAAAACGTGTAAGAATATTAACATATTGATTGATAGAATCAATAGAACGTTCTTATCAGCTAGGGCTAGAGCTATAGCGAGATCGTCAGGCTGTTGCACCCCTGAGCGCTCAGTGTAAGTTTTTTTTGACGCTTACATACATCGTCAATCGTAAGCGCGTTAAGATTTTCATCTATACTCCATTCATTATAACATTAGAAAAAAGAGGGTCACAGAAGCAGCAGTGCAGAACATTTTATTTTCAAGATAAATGTTAAAAATTATATAATAGTTTTGTTGAAACTTTGTACGTTAGGTAGTCTGAAAGAGTTGGGCAATTTTCCATTTTCTTTTGCGAAGAGGCTAGAATTTTGTAAATTCATCTTTTACTCCCAAGCCAGTGTGGAACTATAACTATCTACCTGTTGTTTTGATAAATTCTAATTGTAAGTGTATAATTAGAATAGAATATAATTATTTTTATACCCAGGAAAGAAAGGTAAACAAAATGAAATTTTTAGTATTACTTGTGTAACATTCATTCAGATATCGGAAAAAACTTCCTGAAATGTCAGAGGTAATTGTTGTAGGCCATTCGGACCTGCACCGGAATCTCGCAAAACTTAACTTCAAAAAGATAACAACTAAAACAAAACTATAAGAAAACAACTCAATCACGGAATACGGTAAAACAACAAGAAAGGCAATAACATTCACATTAATGAGAATCCCAGATTACGTATTTTGACTATGACAAAATTAAAAAGCTGTACTACCGAAACGTTTGAAGGGATTAGGCAACGTTTTAAATTTGGTGGAGTTATAGTGACATGAGAATCGTGCTGAAAGTATCCAACCCTGCTTCTCTAGGTTCTTTAAGATGAACATTTTTTATTATAAAAGGTTATTAAATCTTTTAAGTTAGTCAAATACTCATAATTTTGTTTTACAGATAGCTTAAACGACAACTGTTAAGTATAGCAGCTGGTACTTAAGTGGATATGTAGCAAATAAGCCGTCAATCTTAAAAGTAACATGATTTAAAATTTTATTTCACAAAGTATACCATAAAAAGAACCTTATTTAACTTCTGTCTAATGCTATAATGAATGGAGTATAGCGATAACAAACAAGAACTACAAATTTCCATACAAATTCTAATCGCGCTCACTAGTGAACGCGTTAACGTAAAACTTACACTTACCACTCAGGGCCGGATATACCACGTAGCAAATGCTACGGGCCCGCGTGTTTGGGGGCTTCGCGCAATTAATTAATTTTTCAAGTCAGTGTTTAATAATGCAAGATGTAATATAAGCCACGCTTTGGACTTGTCATATTTTTAAGTATGAACATACACTGTTAAATAAAACAGATTAGTCAGATTAGTTGGGTTGCGTTATTCGGAAAGGAAAGGATGACTTTTCTGGTTGAGGGCGTGATTTGCTACGGGCCCCGCTCTGGCTTCATACGGCACTGCTACCACTCAGATCTACTCACGTCTTAGCGAAGCTGTCCGCGATGAGTAGTTTATCGATGTGCACGTGCCTGGCGCCGGCGCTGAGCCAGCCCGAGTATGAGGCGTACGTGAGCGTGGCACGCAGCGGCACGCCCAACGCGGGGTGCGGAACCACCACGCGCGAGAACCGCGCCACGCCCACTGATGCGTTCTCGCGTCTGTGTACCATAGTCATACAGTCAACAGCTGCTCAATGAGGAAGTATTTAAAAAAAACGAAAGCACTAAAAAGCATTGGATGGCGACTCTAGCAAAAGTTGATTTTTGCAGGAAACGAATGGACCAAAGGCAGTCATTTCCGTTCCTTTTAACTAACATATTAAAAAACTGAAATTTGAATAGTTCGAAACTTAGATAACAATACAAATAAGAAAAAGTACAAATAGAATATGAGTTTTGAAAACTAATTTACTTTTAAACATGAAAGAAAACCGGAAGGGTTGTCATGGAGAAATCAAGAACGTACCGTAGCGACATCTAGTTTGATTTCGGGAACAATTTTTTTTTAATACCGTTTCAGTCCGCTACAGTGCTATTAATAAAAAACGTTTAGCGTCAGAGTAAATTTACGCTAAAATTGCAATTTTAGTATTAGTCCAAATTCTTATTTTACAAAGAATAAGCAAATCCTGCTACCTTCTAGGAGTAAATAGTACTCCCGTATAACCTCGTACTAGGTTAACCTTTGCTAAGTCTCTGTTTAATTATATGAGTTTTGACTAATACTAAATGCAGTCTCAACGTTTTACTCCAATGCTAAACCTTGTTTATTAATGACACTACAAATGTTTAAGTAATAATCGTATCTCAATAGGATCTCAATTACTTGCATGTTACCATTGTATTAGCTACCTAATGTACAATGTTATTGTTGCAATGTCTCCGTCACCCATCAATGATAACCAGTGGTCGGAATTAGGTAGAGTTATTCATGTACTTACACTGATTTCATACAGCGAAAGAAGAAAGTGGATATGCCTCAAATCCCGAGATTAATTTTAAAGAGCAGAAAAAAATCCCGTGATTTTTTAAATAAAAAGTTATTTACTTTTACACAATTTAAACTACTGCACGCACGACGTTGCCAAACTTACATCAATAAAAGAAAGAAATAAAGAAATCCCGGGAAGGTCCACATTAATATCAACATTTCGATGCAAGTACATAAATAACTCTACCTAATTCCGACCTCTGGTGATAACAGATATATAATAATATTGAACTTTAGGTAGATAGTACAAAGGCTAGATTCAAGTAGTTTATATTCTAGTCAGGCGGCTATCTGTCTAATTTCACTATCTATCCCAATCCTTTTTATAGACTTAACGATTTATGTAAGCATACAACTTTTCTTAATCGCTTTTGTGTTGAATGATGATTTGAACAAACAAGGAACACAATAAAAACTTACTTAAACCCGTCTAAAAATTCTAGTTAACATTTAGTTTTACGTTTCTCGATTGCGTCTAACGCTTAGCCTAGACGATTCCGATTAACGTTAAATTGACATCGTTCATTCGATATTTATAAAAAAAGTTGCGATCACAATTGCTTGATAATTGCAGCGTGAAGTTCGTGATTATGTTTCAAATATCAAATTGGAAGGGATTGTTATAGATTTCGATCGAGGACATTTTGATATACCTATTGTATGATATTAATCTATTGAAAAACTAGATGGCACAGTGGATATCGAGTTTGGTCTACTATGCGGACTAGGTACTTAAACTAGGAGCGAACTTATGAGGGGTAAAGACACGTTAAGCTATTGGTCTCGACTTCATCTTCAGTCGTTATCTACCAATTCGAAATTGAGCTGCGTGATGAATGAGGTTCTCCTAATTTGTTCTCATCAATAGGAAAGACTTGTGTAAGCTGGTAAAGATAATGAATCTTTTGTTCATAGCCAGTATAGTTACACTGCTGAGGCACATGACTCAAGACGGTCGCAAATAATTTTATATTAAAATAAATGGAATTAAAACTATTTCAGGAAAAATCTTAGTGTTCATCAAAAGTTTAATTGTCCCAGGAATCTTAGTTTGGTTCATAGGCCCAAATAAGAGACATTTACCTTACCAGATATTAAACTAATTAGGCAGTATGACCAATTAAAAAAGGCTAAAATTAAATTGAGTTAATTTCGACGAAGTACTCGGCAAATATGCGTTTTCGACCTTATTTCGAGATGTGTATGTAAAGTTAATTGAAAATAAAAAATATAAAATTAGTTGTTACTATTACTTGGTCATAGGGAAAGACTCGTTGAGGCCCGTGTCTCCGTGTAGGGTGAGTGTCAACCGGCCGAAGGTAGGCTTCTCTCCGGGTTCGATGCGCGCCCACACCGACACGTGATATTGATGTGCTGTACAACAAAACAGAATATATATGAATGATTATTCGCAACAGTTAGGGCACGTCTAGCACACGGCCTTGTTTTTTTTGTATGTTAAATTTCGGGGTCTGGGTGTGAAACAGTCTATAAAGACCCCACGCCCTTCCCTCAAATGTGCATTGTAAGAAATTAGTGGGTATGTCATTCACGTTTTGACTAGCCTTCGGGCGGGTGGATGGAGAGTCCCACACACCCACTGTCGCCTATCAAGCATCAGGGACAGTGAATAAAGCATTCTCCCTATGACACTAAAAAGGCTAAAGTCTATTTGTCTCAACTACGAAATCGAAAATTCAGCAATTTTATCAATTCTTATTATAAAAATAATTACCACTATTGATAAAGTCTTATTAGCTACTTGTAAATACTTCGATATTGTCGATTTGGGTGGTGTCATTTATTGGATGGGTGACCGAAAATTTTCCGTGCTTCGGAATGCACTTTAAGCCCTTTGTGCCGGTTGTATGTGTAGTCGTTGACACCTATATGCGCGCTGGGCCCGTGTAATAAGTTATGGCCCATTCTCCCTGCTTGATTCCATTATAGATTACAAGTTGATCAAGATGTTAGTTACCACAAAAAGGCTCTTCTTCCCTGGTGAGCAGGTACAGTTGTCCTCGTCCAAGGGATCGGTCAGCGTAATAGCCCATGTTACCGCAGCGTCGTTGTCCGTCGCAAGGGAAACATCGACCCTGAAACAATTAAGTATAATTTTTAAGTTTGTCATGTAAAGGAGTTTTTATTGATTTAAAGTAATAAATATTTCATGCGTGTTTTTATATGTTTCGCCTCTCCACATAGCATTCCCAGAACTTGCTAAAAATTCAATTTATCTTAGCTTTGCTATTCACTATTATGGGTAGAATTCCGCTGGTTAACCATGTTGAAATATTATAATTAGGGGATTTAAGTTACAATTATTATAAATGTCTGAACCTCAAGAAAAGTGTCGTAATCAGTGCAAGGGAATGCAGGGAAATGGCATTTAGGTGAGACTGAATCCGTGAAGAACTTGTAGGCTCGACGGTGGTTGCACAGCGACCGGCCCTCCGGCGACGGCGCCGACCACGGCAGCACCAGATCTGATACCGCACCAACGAACCTGACGTACGAGAAACAATAATCATAAGCACCAAAGATCGTAAACGTGGTAGGTACATAAAATACGCATTTTGTTTATACTCAAAGCAAAAAGAAAGAATGTGAAAGCTAAACTAAAAAAGGATGTTTTTCCGGCTTAGGTATATTCGGTCTCCACCAACTGGGCGGCGTCGGAGCGCATTTGACATAGTGCTAATGGAAATTCAGACTTAAATACAATGGTTAAGGTCACTGTTTGCTTGGTTCTAATGCCGCATGTATGCCACGGTAGACGGTCGGCTCGTTATATACGATCGACTTCGTTCGGCCAAGACCGCGCACGATGTCGCTGTCGGTCCAACCAGCAGATGGGTGGATAATCATTCAAGTTATCCATTTAATGGTAGAGTGACGTAATTTTTTTATTATTATGGATAAAGATACGACGCACGTGGTCGTCTATTAAATAGTACATGCTTTTGATGCCTTGTGTCGCCGCAAGTAGAGATTGTAGAGTCAACAGGACGTCAGACTATATGTAACTGTCAATTTTCTACACTTGATTTATTAACTTTAATGGATTTAGAGTAGAGTACAAAATGAAAAGATTTTGTAATTTGAATTCTATTCAGTGAAGTTTAGAGATCATTTAACATAGAAAAGAAACTGTCATCACTTACTTCTCTTATACAAATCGGAGGAGATCTCAAAAAATATCCTATTCTTGAACCAATAATACGGACCTATTTGTTGTCCAATTATTGCCATTTTGTTTTCCAGTCTAAGTCCTAAATTATTTGAGGCTCTACCATACAGGTTGGCAGGTATTAAATTAAACTGAAGCAAGGCGTTACTGAGCGTAGTCTGAAGACAGATGGAATGAGGGTTGTGTTCAGTGGCGTAGCGTGCCTTGAATAGGCCCTGTATCAAAATTAGTTGGAGGAGTCCTAATGAATTTTTTTCCTAAACATGTTGGGCCCGGTTACTGGATAGCTCGGTGGCCCCGTGTTATTGATAAAGGTACTGATTCGGCTGATACGACGCTAGCTACGCCCCTGGTTGTTTTTATGCAAAAACTTACAAATTAGAACAACCATGTTGGACCCGTCCTCCGTTAGGATAGAAGTCGACGTGGCCAAGTGGCTGAGCGGCGCCTAGACCACCGAAGATCAGCGTTTCTCCATTGGAGTGGATTACGTCGACGAACTTGGCATCGGTGCGGTCGAGTCGCGCGCGAGGGTCTTGGAACTCGAATAGAGGACCCGCTGGGTCTAGCCCTGAATACAATAAACAAACTATTAGACTTCCATTTATAAGTACCTACTCAGATTGATTGAGTATAAGTATCATTTATGGTATAAGTACATATTATTTTAAACTATATGAGTACTTCCTTGGTGAACTGGATAAGCACCACGGCCCGCGATAGTTGTTTGTAAGCAACTTTCGCAAGGGTCAGTCACAGGATGGGTGACCAAAAATATTATCTCGAGTTACTCCGTGCTTCGGAGTACACGTTAAGTCGTTGGTCCCGGCTGCATTAACTAGTCGTTAACACTCTCCAATCAGCATTGGGCCAGCGTGGATGGTAATGGCCTCCTCCTTCTCCTCAACCATCCACAAGGAAGGCCCGAGTCTCTGCAGTGAGGACCTAAAAGGGCTGATGATGATTTAATACTATACACGCTGTTTTCATGTGCAATCAACACGTCAGGTTATTCAAATGTGTCAAATTTCTTTACTTAATTTTAAACTTTAACGCATTGAGGATAGAGTTGAAATTGCTATAATTTGACACATTGGGGTAACCTGGCGTGCTACTGTGTGTATTTCAAGCCCAATAAATAAACAGTTTATGTTATATTTATATTCATACCAGTTATTCTGCTAATGTTCCTCAGTTCTGAACCAGCAAAACCAGCTACGTGAGCACCCAAACTGAATCCGATCAGATGTACGTCTTCAAATCTCAAATCTATATGTTCTGCTAAACCTAGAATATAGGTAACGTAAATATTATGCAGGCACTTAAAATATTGAATTATAAAATATATTTATGTAGCTAGATAGATGGCACTTTGAGCTGACTACCTTCTAACAACATTGCGAGCTGTTTCCCAACGAGTCTTGTATTAGCAGCAGCACGAAGATAATTCGGCATAGTTGCACCACCTTCCCAATCGACGCATACGACGTTGCATTCTTCCTGTAAGTGTAAGTTTAAATACCTTATGAGACTAGGCAATATAAATCAACAATTCACTTAAAGGGGTAAAATATAGGAATTGTTAGCTTATCGTAACACAAAACTGCATATAAAAGATACTGTCTTCCGTGAGAAGAACTCTAGAAATAAAATGGCGGAATCTAACTAAGCAAGTGATGAAGATATAGAACGAAGAATGTTTATAATCCCATACCACGGCCATTAAAGCGGAGCGCATTTCGTAGACCCATACGTTGTCACAGTTGGACCCGAAACCGTGCACGATGACGCGTGTGGGTCGCGCCGCGTCGAACGCGCTCGCCGCCCAACCCCACGCGGCGGACATGTTGCTCGCCGACACCGCAAGCAGGGGCTGATCACCTCTGTGAATTTAGAAAAACCTTTCACTAACGCTTTCCTACTTGTTATAGACCACAACTTTGTCCTGGTTAATTCATTATGATTGTACAGATTTTTTCTATTGCATGGGTAGTGCACGTAAACGTCTCCTGTGACAGTTAATTTCTTGAGCTTGTTACAAATACATCTACGTAACCTTAAACACTAGAGTAGCTCGGTGGCGTAGTGGATAAGCGCCGCGGCCCGCGATCGTAGTCGTTAAGCAACTTTCGCAAGGGTCGGTCACGGGATGGGTGACCAAAAAATTATCTCGAGCTACTCCGTGTTTCTGAAGGCACGTTAAGCCGTTGGGCGTGGCTGCATTAGCAGTCGTTAATACCCTCCAATCCGCATTGGGCCAGCGGAGGGTCATGGCCCATCCTCCTTAACCATCCATAAGGAAGGCCTAAGCCCTGCAGTGGGGACGTAAAAGGGTTGGTGATGATGATGATGATGAACCTTAAACACAGTTTGTAGGTGTGTGTGACTACCTGCTGACGGTGGAATACATGAGGAAGTGCGTTCCGACTTCCTGCGGGGAGCTGGGCAACGTTTCCAGGTAAGCGAAGGGGCCCGCATCTTCGAAGCAACCAAATTCGCCATAACAAACGCTGCCTTGAGATCTTTTACTCCTGCAAGAAGTAATAATAATTAAGGAACGGATCTGTCTGAAAAAACCTTAATAATAACAGCGCTTAGTGTAAGTTTTCTTGACGTTTACGTTCACTGTCGATCGGGAGCGCGTTAAGATATTAGTATGGAATCCGGTACAGCGCCCCTAGCGGTAACTACCAAGATCTACAAATCTCCATACAAATTCTTAACGCGCTCACTAGTGAACGCGTTAGCGTAAAAGTTACAATTACCACTTAGAGCATGTTGACACGTATGACTCTTTAAATTTATTACCCACTTATGGTTGGAACGTTAAGAAAATATAATTTCGATTTTTTTGTAGTTAACGCAATGGTGTACAGATGCCTTTATCAGCATAACTAAGTAAAGTACACATACAGTCAATTGCACATAAGATTATATAACAGTCTCCAAATGATTTTTTCTTCTATATACCTAAGTTACTAGCTTTCTGCCAGCGGTTTCATCCTCGTTTAGTAGATAAAAGTAGCCCGGTTTCTGAATTGAGAATTTAAAGTTAAGCACGTGTCAAACCGTACTTAAACCATTTCAAACGTCACTTAAACAGGTTTTCGTTTTTGCTTTTTTTTTGTGACCAGTTGATAGCTGTTTGGTAAAACTAAGACTTTTTGCCATTTTAAACTTTAAAAACATAAGATATATTTTTAACATAGATTTATTCTGACGCTAAACCTTGTTTAATAATAGCACTGTATAAGTATAAGGTATGTTCTGTTAAATAAAAAACATAAAACACTGCGTTACCTGAGAACTAAACAGGAAAGATAACTTAGTGCACAGTAAAGACACTTAATGATCAAATATTTTATGAAATTAACATGTGCTGGATTTAGACCCACGATTTGGAGTTTCGCAGTTAAGGTTACCAGTCGCTTAACTCTGATTTTAAACACTAAAACATAACTTTGCAAACAATTGCATATACACAAAACTTGAATAGATAAATAATTAAATTAATTTGCCAACCGAACGGTACAAAAAACGATTTATAAACACAAGGTTATCAACATTCAGAATTGAAAGTGTACTAGTACTTCTATTCTTGTTAACGCGCACTGCTCTATAAAGCTAAGTTGATATTCTTATAATGATAATCTGTTCATGAAAATTCGTTGACATACAGAAAGCTACATCCATACATCAATATCTATAGATCATTATATCCTATAAGTGCGAGTCAGACTCGCGCACGAAGGGTTCCATATATTGTCTATTTAAAAAGTAAAAAAATACATGTTTATTGTTTTTTAAGGAGTTGCTCGAAATTTTCGAGTTAAATACAACTGGTCGACTATTACATGTATACTTGTAAAGCCAATTTAAAGGTGATAGTTTTCTTTTTGACTTCGTTATATACCTATAGGTACTACCGTCGTGACGTTTGAATTTCTACCATCATCCGTTTAGTCGAAAGAGGGGGAGACTTGACTCTAACGAAATTTGGCTTTTAAAGCTTAAAAGGTCACCAACGGTTTACTAAAACGACAAATGATCTTCCCATCCTGCAATTTTTTTGAAAGACCTATTCAACAAAACCCACACTATGGAGAAGACAAAAAAAAATTATAATGCCAACTGTAGGTGAGGTAAAAAAAAAATCTGCTTTCTAGTACTAATAGCTTTTTGCTAAACTGCGGACAGACGGACATGGCGAAACTATAAGGGTTTCTGCTTACTACGGAACCCTATGGGTAAATTGTGGATCCAAATAAAATCTTCTTCGTATTTGTTTTAAACTTTGATTGAAATAAAAAAGGGATAAAAACAGTTAACAGAGACTTGAATTTTGAAATTAAACAATAAGGATGCTGCACATAAAATTTTAGAATTAAATTCCTCCAGTTTCCAAATAGCCACAGAGATAATAATTATTACACATACAGTCTAATATGCGTACAGGAATGTAAGTACACGTAAGCTAAAATTTATATAACATTATATTACAATTTAACCAACCTGATAATGGCCCTTCACTATCGATGGAATCAAATCGAATCGGGAGAATGGGCCATAACCCTCCACTCGGAACCAGCAAGGATTGTTGGTATTAACAACTGGCGACGCAGATCCAGCAATACAAGGACCAAGAGATTAATCTGCCTTCCAAAGCTCTAGATAATAATGTTTTGGTCACCAATCTTACGACTGGGTTTTGCGAAAGTTTTTAACCTCCGTATCGCAGACCGAATGCTGTAATCAGTTTACTAGCGAGCTCCTCGATTAATCAGAAATGTCAGAAATAATATTGTATAATTTCCAAGTACTGAATTATAAACATGGAATAATTAAAATTGTAAAGTATTACGAAATTGATTTTGCGGCATAGAAAGTTTATACAAAGTGAAATGGTGAAAGCAGTATTTTTTAGATGCTAAGAGCGGTGACTAAGAATGCTTGTGTGCTAGACTACCTTCAACATTTCGATTAATATAAACGAATGCGTAAATGACTTCTTTTTATTGGCATTCAAAAAAGCGGTTGGCAATTCGGCTAGTAGGTAAAAAGTCCCATCTAATTCTGATATCACATTAGATTCATACATGTTAATCAGAAGGCTTCTAAAAACTTGTGTCTTGGAAGTATTTTATAACAAAGTAAATGTACGTATTTTTAAACCGCATTTAAATCTGTGATAACGGCAACGTTATATTTATGGCATTTTCATCAAGCACTGTATTATCTCCTTCAGAAATCTAAACGTTCGAAACTAATGTGAAATACTCAGCCATCTCCCGTCATTGGTTGATTGCAATTAACTGGTTGTACGTAACTAATGCTACGTTAGCGTGTAGAGTCAACATAAATAACAGAACAAATAATAAACGCGCTTATACAGACATATTTACAGTAACATTCTGTCTGTTGTTTATAATACATCTCAATTGGGATCTTTATGAATAATGGGCTTTCCTTTTATTTATGAATTAAAATTAATTGAATGAAAATCAAATATCAAAAGTATTTGAATGATGAACGAAACCTATAAAACATAATGTTGTTATAGTGTTTTATTAAACAAAAAAACAAAAACTCAGTCGTAATTATGAGTTCCAAAGGAAATTCATTACCTAGGTACTTTAAAAAATATAGGCATTGCAAGATATCAAAGTTTTTATTTTATATTATGAGTGATACACAAAGCCGGTCCTCAGAATAATACTCATTTCGTTCTACAAATATTTCATTTATTACGGGCGGAGGTCTTTATTGATCACTTTTTTAAAGTTAAAGATATTGATATTTTTTTATTTTAATAGATAACACTAAAAATATTAAATACTAGCATTCCTCCAGTGGTTTCACCCGCGTTGTTCCTAAGGAACTTTTTATTTGGATATCGAAACACAAACACCGATGTAATTAAAACGACAAATTAAATAGAATTAATAAAACAATTAAATTTTTCCTCTTTATAATATGAATACATATAGATCTATATAAATAAAAATATTCAACATAGTGAAAGTCTTAGAAAAAAAGATTTGTTTACTTGCTCGACATATTTTTTCCAATAATTCTATACTGATAATTAAAAAGAGGATTTTGATTGCTTGTTTGTTTGTTTCTTGCTGGTTCTTAGTACAAGGTCTCCCGCCATAAATTTGTGAACCGATTGTTTAGCTTTTGACTTTTACAAGTATTTGTAACGCCTAGTGTGAACAAATAATATTGAACTTGAATGTAAATATAATAATTCATTGAAAATGTATACCTACACTTAAACGTTTAGGTACTTGCAATTTTTGAATATCCTAGATTTGTATAGAAAAGCGCCATTTAAACTATTTTTCTCTCAAAATGTATCTCTATAAATATCTTCTTTGGACATTAATTAATACATTAACCAAATTAGTCCAACCGATTTCGAGTTTTGCTCTTGGCAATACATAGCGATTTAATTTTGATAATATATTTAAGTATTTTAGTCTCAATAGCAGTTACCTCAAGTCGTGTACTTTTTTCGATTCTCATATGTAAGGTAAATAACGCAACTACTATAAATGGAAGGTTAGTTATACAAATGCCAATAAAAACATGAACAATAGGAAATAGTCACGGTTGAACGGGGAAGTACCTAATTGACTTTCGTTTGCTGAGTTTTCCTTAATCAGCCGACGGTCGTAACATTCTGTTACCTAATTTCATTGTGATTAAGTAATACCAACATAGTTTCAAATCGATATTATGCGTTTAACTACTGGAGCAGTTCAAACGATAATTTCATCAAAAAGATATGACTTCAAGCTTGTATCAAGCCCCTGAACACATATCTCGCGAACTGGGCGAAACTGTTTTAAAAATTACACGCAAAAATCGTTAGCACCACACCAAGTAAACATTTTTTTGCAAACACCCACTATTTTATTCACTTTCTGTTATCCAGGAAATGAAATAGAAAATACTTGGATGAAGATTTAGAAATGCTAATAACAAAATGCAAAATAACAGTATAATGATTGCGATGTTTTTTTTTCAATGTAAGAGTGGCGAAAAAGTTCGAATGTTTAAGATGTTATAAAATACAAACTCATATAAAAACTAAGAATGTTGATGAATTATGAAATTAATAGTTTTCCGCCAGTGGCTTCTACCGAGTGGTCCGTAGAGAACTGTTTAGTGGGATAATAAATAGCCTTTATGTTAATTCAGACTCAGAATTATCCACATATCAAATTTCATTGCAGTACTTTTTGCGTGAAAGAGTTACAAATATACTTACATATACCCTGACAAGCTTTTGTATTTGTAATATTAATAGGAAAGGATTAGAAATAGATCAAGGTCTGAACTACATAGTTAATTACCTCGTTCGTGCCCTTTTGAGTTCCCAGTCTCGCATGGAGGCCCTCACGGCCGCCAGCATCTCCGCATCATGACGTTCGTCCTCCGCTTCCTGAGCATCTGTTGCTGCTCTCCCTGCTCCCTTCCATGCTTCTAATTCAGCATCTGATAATAAAATAACACATTTATTTAACATGCGAATAAAAAACAAGCGTGGAGTATTTATATCTCCCTAAACTTCGTATTTGGAAAATTATTTGTGCACGAGGTTTTTCATCTGTTCGTGTTTCGAAGTGAAAATCCGTGCAAGATTTTGTATACTGTGTATACCTTCCGGGGACAATTGTTCCGCGCTATTATATTAAGTGGCGGTTACTTATAGCTCGGATCGGTTTTATATATTTAGGATGGAAGCTTATGGAAGTTATTATAGTGTGATTAGAGTAAGTGTTGTCACGCCAATTTTATGCTGTCTAATGTGGTCTGAAAATAATACAACGTTAAAGTTTGATATTATGTTAAAATTACAAAGTCTACAGCGCTGTCACAATATTATGTATCTATGTTTTAAATGGCATCTCAAAAATGTGTTTGAATAATGGCAGTGCAATTATAAAATTATGTTATTAAGTGGTTAATTAAATATTATTTTACAGTTTTCATACTTTTTATTTGATCACGGCGATTCATGTATCTCTGAAAGATCGAGGAAACATCTCACACCATGTTAGTGCCGTGTCGTGTAGGTTTGCTGTGACTTTTAGCGGAATAATCAGATGAGACCAACTTCAAAGGTAATAAAGATTTGATTTAATTGAACCCGTAATGTCGCGACTGCGCTGTGCTCGAAGCTGCGTTCGATGCTGTCTGCTGGCAGCTTCAGATATCAATTGCTTGCAGAAATTACTGTCCAAACTTCCGCATAAGACGAGGATGACCTAGTAGGTATTTAAATCATAAAGATGGTAACTTGAAATACGATTTAAGTTTGTTACTCAATCATATTCTAACGGATTAGCAACAACAACATGTTTCACACCGCTTTAAAATCATTAATGTCATTATGTCTCTGAGAGACATCGTTTACCTCAAAGCAACTTTGCTATTAGGTTAGTGAGTATATAACGTAACAAGCAATATGTGTTGACGAACTGTCTTTTCCACCACTGATACAAAATCTATTTAATATTTTACAATAGAGGCTATATTCATAGATGATTCGCTTTTATGAATTGCGATCACGCATTGCAACAAAAATAACTATCCTTATAAAAGCAGGCGAGAGTTCGAAATTTTTGTAAGGTCAAATATAATAGGAAAGTTAGATAAATATATTAAGACATTGTTGCTCTGCTTAGCGACCGACTAATTCTCTCGCTGTAATTTAAGCCATAGCTATAAAAATGTTTTATAGATTTTATCATGAATAAGTTTATACTTTATCTTTTATAATGCTATAAAGACAAACAATTTCTAGTAATAAATATAATAAAAATCTTCGCTCAATCAAAAACTTTTTATAAATAGTAGAACCGACTACAAACTTAAAAAAGCGATAAATAATACTTATCTCAAAGCTACTTATTAAAAAAATTCTTTTCTGCAGGTTATTAATTAAATGGTAGAAATTTTTATACATATAAAAGGTAACACTAAAAATATTGAATATATCTTAGAATAGGATATTTTGTTTATTTACTAGCAATATTTTTTATTTTCAATAATCTATTTTCGTATTTTAAAGAGCAAAGATTTGATAGCTTGTTTGTTTGCATGGTCGTCTTTCATCTAAGGGAAGCTACATAATACGCAAAGGACATAGGCTATAATTAACGCAGGCGAAGTCGCGGGGAAATACCTAATTTGATAGAATTCAAGATAAAAATTGTAAAAGGTAAACTACTTACTCGATTTTATGAAATTTAAATTGGACCACTGTGATTCAACAAGTCGAATAAAAAATATTTTTAAATCGATCAACAATTAACGAAAATATTGGTATCATACATCGCCGTATATAATCTCCTCCTTTTCGATTTTGATTGAAATAGGAACTGCGCAATATACCTTGACTATTGAGTTTACCTTCAAATTTTGTCCAATGTTCATGTTATATGGATCAAAATTATGTTTCTATTTCATACATCTAAGAGCCCCAACTCCTTTCTTGTCATAAACCTCAGTTTGAGTCCAATTTTAATAATCTGACTTCAGAGTCTGCCGTTCGTGTAATATGCCTGATGCCATTTATTTATTTGTCAGCGTACCTTAGTTTAATGTTCATAATTTAAATTTCATATCGTAAAATGTACCTAATAAAGGTTTTATTGAATTGAACTTCTATACTCTGAGGTCGACGTCGAGTTCTGATTTTATTACAGAATAGCATACCTGATTGTAGAGTAGGTAACCTAAAACTTGTCAGCGATCTCCGGGTGAACGACTGATCAAGTTTTTGTTGGCAAAAGCCTTGTTACACCGGCCTATTGTAGGGCAGTATGTAGGTAGAATGCAAGACCTACTATGCACGGAAGTAGGTCTGCCGTGTCGCGAGAATTGTGAGAAACCCGAGATACACTCTATAATAAAATTGTAATGATCATTACTTGGAATGCTTTTTTAGATCATCACTTTTTGTTTAACGTTCCGTTACTAGCAATATGATATCGTTGATACGTGAGTACCTATGGATTTTTGTGTACATTTAATGTAATAGAAGCTTCTTTAATATATTTCTTTCCGTGTATATATGGAAGTATCAGTTCCCACTTTTTTAAGCTTTTTTATCAATGTTTTGAGTTCCTGCCGAGTACTGTATCTAGGTCATTGTTTGAATTACGCTTTGTTATTGCTCTTATTTTTTCCTTGGTTTTGTTATATTAGCTGTTCAGATTAAAATAGTTCTCCGTCTTATAACAATGATAAGCAAATTTCATTAAATTTCTTTTGTAATATATAAAAGAAATTCAGTGATAGATAGATAAGTGAACTGAAGGTCTGCTAAATAACAGCTAAAGGCCACATTCTATTGATTCTGCTCCAGTGGTAATTTTAACTATTGTACATTGTATAACACTCGTAGGTATTTAGATACCTAGTCGAGGGAAGTAATTATTTGAGCATATGTCATAATTTAAGCAGATATTTTTGCAAAATAAAAAAGAGTTTGAATATATTAAGACTTGGTAATATTTAGAATACTATTATTATTAGCTATTGAAATACTAGTCGATTGGTTAAAAATATTTGCTTAAGTTGTGCCATTTTTTCAAGTAATTACTTCTCTCGACTATAGATACGACTGTAAGTCTCTTATTCTGTAATATAAAGCATAGGAAGAAGCACTCCGAGATAAGGTGATGTGCTGGCCCCAATCCTGACTAATATGAAGTACCGAAATTATATTTATTTCAATAAAAAACTAATATTAATAATAAATAAGGTTATAAATTATCAGGTTTCTTTACTTTTGGCTCATCCTGTTACGCCCATATCCGACACACCAGAGGGCTTACTCTATTTGTCTAGAAAATTCGTAAATTTTTTAAAATGACTTTAAAACTTTTTTTAACCACATCCAAGCAGATTATCAACAGAGGCGGGAACGATTTATAAATGATCGAAACATAGAAGTAGTCGTATTAGCGTTTCGAAAATGCACGAAATTTCGTTTTCGGAGAAATAGAGTAGGTTTTCTGTATCTTTATTTTCTCTAAGTGTTCCATCTTAAAAGAAGGCTTTTCGTTTTTCGGCACTTCGTTTTATGTAAATATGTATGTCACAGAATAAATTTTCTTTCTACTTCCATTACAATTGAAAAAATATTGAATGTATGAATGTTGAATATATTATACCTATACACTTACATATGTATACGTAACTTTTCAAAGATTTAAACACGGACTTCAAAACAATGTTCAAAAGAGCTTATATAATAACTAGCTTTTGCCCGCGACTTTGATGAAAAAATTCCATTAATACTTTCATCCCCTAATTTACCCCCTTAGGGGTCGAATTTTGTAAAATCCCGTGTTAGTGAGCACCTACGTCCTAAAAAGAACCCGCATGCAAAATTTGAAACTCCTAGCACTTGTAGTAACAAAGTTTCATACATACTTTCATTTCCTAATTTAGTCCCTTCGGAGTGGGATTTCCAAAAATCCTCTTTTAGTGCTCCTCTACTCTCCCTTAGGAATCTTCATTCCAAATTTCAACTTTCTAAGCTCAGTGATTTTGTTGTCTGTCAGTCAGTTTAGTCACCTAGAATTTATATTTATATTAGTGGCCGCCAGGGACTTCGTCCGCGTTTTCCATTATTTCTTCGCTCCTAATAGTTGCAGCGTCATGCCTAAAGCCTTCCTCGATAAATGGTCTATTCAACACAAAAAGAATTTTTCTATTCGAACCAGTAGTTCCTGAGATTAGCGCGTTCTAACAAACAAACTCCTCAGCTTTATAATTTTATAGTATAGGTAGATGTATCCGTAACTTTTTAAAGATTTATACACGGACTTCAAAACAATTTTCAAAAGAGCTTATATAATAATGTTTTCTGTAAGCTATAGTACGCCGGGAAAGCCAGAACGATTTTGTCAACATGAGCATGTGTACATTGGCTAGTTACATAACACTATGTGTATTGAAACTGGTATTTGCTTTGGAATATTTGATTACCTATTTAAATATTTTACATCGAAAATATGGATGTTTCCAGTAATGATGAATTCCAGTGTATGAAGGGTAAACTTCAAGTGAATAAACAAGGGCGTCTTCAAGTGAAGTTCCACAATTGAATTGCTCATTTAATTTTAACTGAATGTATCATTAACGTTTTACATTTGATATAACTATGTCATTTGTTTCTTACGTACTTACGGTTGTGTAACTTTTTACTTTTCTAGGTAATATTTATTTTTATTAATGGATCTTATTGCAATTGTTAGCTTAAGAAAAATAAAAAAAATTTTTTTTAATAACATGGTATTTAAAAGCATCTATTTTTATTAGAGAAATTTTGGCCTATGTTTACACATAATTATTTGAGAATAACAAATAATGTTATATGTTCTGCCTTTTGTGAGAAACACAAAGAGATTTAACAATTCAAGCGCTACCAGTGCCGAAGTGGGCAACGCAATGCGTGAGGGCCTTCGCCGTTCACTAATTTTGTGATAATGCCTATAAAGCTGGTTCTACATTTGTAACTAAATATTCTTTGTGACAATAATGTCAACATCAATTACTAAGGGTAGGTACCATGTTGAACATGTCTTCGGTTACGTAAATTCATCTCGATGATACATACATTCGAACTTCTCGGAGTTCAATGCGTATACGTAACTTTCGCAACGGCCGATCATAGGATGGGTGACCAAAAATTTATTATCTCGAGCTTTTTCATGCTTCGGAGGCACGTTAAGCCATTAGTCCCGGCTACATCTGTCGTTAATACCCAGCAATCCGGACTAGGTATGTATGGTGAGACATGGCCCATACTCCTTATTCGATTCGATCCATAGGGAAGGCCTGAGCTCCAGCAATGGGGACAATAATAGGCTTGGGATGATAGTGATATCATAAAGCTAAAAGTCAATGAAATATGCTTTTATCGCATTTGAAATACTACATGGCATACTAAACTATTTTTACTATACGTATCTAATATTATTATGTTTTTTTTTTCAGCAAATGCTGGTAGTAAATGAGAACCACCTATGGGCTTTAATTATTATTAAACTATTTCTCGTAAAATTGCTGATTGATCGAATTACGGAGAAATCCGTTTCTGACAAGAAAACGAGGACTAAAGTCAGTACTTGGTCAAAACCATAAGCCGGCTAAAGAAGATAAAACTTAAAATAGAGATTAACTTATTTTCGTCGTATAATGGTTTAAACACCGTATTAAAGTGCTCGTTTTATATAGCGACAAATATAAAACAGCCTTTATCCGTACTCACATCCAGCTAGCGCGAGTGTGGTCGCCGCGAGGAGAACGGCGAGCGTCCGCCAGGCGTGCGTCGCCATCCATGCGCCCCACCATTCACGTTAGTCACAGTCTGTTGACAACACAATAATTGACATTAAACAATCTACCAAGCTTCAGACTTCAAAACAATTGAAAAAAAAATGCTACAGGCCCCGCTCTGGCCTAATTCGGCACTGAATGTAATTGACCTACCTAAAAATAAATTGAAAAATCATGTAATGAACATACTTATGAGTAAAGGCTATCATAACGTTATTATGATTATTTTTAGGACCGTAATGCATGTAAATAATAGCCTTCGCTTTGTTCCTTACTGACTAATTATATGTATGTACCTATGCTATGTTACTTTTATTAATAATGTAATAATTTGATAAATTACATGATTAAGTTCTGGTAAGTTTCGTTCGCCTGTTCTTCTTGTCAGACAAAAGACATGCTTGTGACAAGCTTAACTAAATAAAGAATTATTCATTTTCATCTGCTATTTAAAAAGCAATACTACGATAAACGATAACCATCATTGATAGCTCGTGGCCAGTGATGTGTAGTGGACTCACAAGTGGATCATTCGAGTTAAGATAAGATAAAATAAGATAATTGTGAATCCAATAATTATTATATTTGGGCAATTTTCCATTCACAATGCTATATTGATAAATATCTTTAAAGAAAAAAAAAAGATATTAAAAGATATGATAAATTTAATAAAGTAAAGAGTTTGGACTTAGAACTTAAAACAGCTTATATCGTAATATATGCCTACTGCCTATAAGGATAGTTACACACAATTAAAATCGTTACTTATCACAAACAAAGTCCCAGAAGTATTATCGAAATAATAATTATATCATTAACAAAAAATTTCCTGGTCTGTTTTCGCATAATAAATTGTACATTACGAAACATGGTTTGTTCGTTGCGTCGTGTTCGATGAATGCAAACGATCGTTCGGTCGAGTTCTTCCACGTGGTTGGAATGTTAATAAATTGGTCGCAAATTCTGATGAAAATCGAGGTAAGTAGGATTCCAGGATGCATAATGTGTATGGTCCGTTAGTCACTAGTAGTACCTACTTAAATCAGTCACAACGTAGTGGTTCAATCACCAATTTCTTTCAAAATAAACCAGCTGTATCCGACTTCGCCTGCGTAAATTAAAGCAGATAAAAATTGTGCTTATTTACTTTTTCGGGATTTCTCAAGAGAGGTTAAAAATATATTGTCAGCATGTAATGACTATCATAGAACATTGTGTTCTTTTATACAATTTTTAGGCGAAGAACATAAACAATTCTCCATCATAAAAACAAAAAGGAACTAAGAAATATAGTTTTCAGAAACGGAAGGCTTACTGTTGACAGCAAAGTTGACTGTGAGAAATTAAAAAAATAAAATAAAATTCTTTACTCATTCGAAATTGTACACATATGATATTCATAGTGATTACAGAATTGTGTATGTTGAGAGACTATATGCAATGTAGAAGGTAAGTATCCGCACAGGTAGCAATTTGAAAAAAAAAATATGACACGTACCCGAGTGTCTTTAATAATTTACCAATCTGTCTTACAATACGTACTCTGACATTTCAGACACATAAAAAATACGAAAATGCATTGGACCTTCTTTCTAATAATACCAAACGAATTCCTAAATGAAATGAATTAATTCTTTTGAAGATTAAAAATCAGAGGCTGATTAAATTATGGAAATGGCATTCTTTGTTATAATTACCTTAAATACTTGTTTGTTATAAAATAGGAAGTATGTATTTTTCATTTGTTGTAGATGACAATAAAAAGTCCTTCTTAATATTCTCGTAACAATCGCATTCATGAATCTTAATTAAGTTATAAATAAAGACGCATATCAAATCACAATGACTGTTCATGACCATAACATTACTAATTACACTGTCTGTCAATAGCTATAGCTCAATCAAAAAGTATTTTGATTAGTTAATTATTACGAGTATCATCAGCTAAAAAAGTACACACAGCGGGAAGCGTATTTGTTTTATAGTATGCGTAATTAAATTCATAATGAAATCTAATGCGTAAACAATGTATATATAATAAGTTAAATAAATATACAACTGATATGTAGTAGATAGACTATGTAGAATTAAGAACGTGGTGATAAAAAAAATGTGATATGTAATATGAATATCAACAATAGTTTCTGGAATAGCTTTGAGATCATACTTTTAGCAAAGACTACATATACGACAGATTTGTAGCCAGCATAAAACATTTTCTTTTCATTAGTTAGTTTTTAAGAAAATTTGTTTTCTTCAAAAATTATTATGGAGTATCTGAGACATCGAAAGTACAACACTCAGACCGGATACAATATAAAAAAGTTCATTTTCTACTTTGATCCGTCCAAGAACCCCAACCATGGACCTCAGAGATGGCAACGCCTTGAAACCGGCATGCTTTCTTTCAACATTTTTTTAGTAAAACTGGGCAATATATTTCCTATCATTTAAAAATGTGTGTTAAATCTTAATGATACAGGACACCATACGTAGAAGTAAATAGCGTAAGTAAATCTACAGTAATACTTTAAACGTTTCTTTTTTTTTCAACAATGGCTAGCGGACATGTCGGTCACAGCTATTGACCTGAAACAGCTCTGACTATTTGCTCCAATTTTACGGTTCGCCGGCGTTACGAACCCAAATAAAACTGGAAATATTACGAACACTGCGATCAAAATGTGATTTAAATAAACTGATTTATAATGGCCGGTAGTAGATAAGTGTAATTTGATTGAATTTCCTTTATAATTATAACTGTATAAATGGGGATTATATCTTAATATTTCCGCTCGCTTCATAAAACAACTTGTAAACGGGTTTGATTGAGTAGTAATTAATATTGTCCATCAATCACCGCCCCTTAGTCACTAGACTAATCATGCTTTACACGTAGAGTGACCATTAATTTTTAAATGATCTGAAAACAGGTTATTAAGAATTGCGGAGGTACATACATCCGCCACACGGATTACCCCATCCCGCCCGGCCTGGGTGTACAGCACACATTCTGCCTCGAGGCCACGATCCTCCAACACTAGATCACCAATAGCTATGTTCGAAGTGTGCCCATGAGTCCTCCTAGGAGCTAGTGTTGGCAGGTACTCCACCAGCCATCTCCGCCAAAAGTGGTCAGCCAGACGCAATGCTCGCCTCCAACCTGCCCGACTAAATCTCCGTCTTCGATTTCTGCACAGCTGCTTCCTGCTGACGATCCCAAAAAGTGCAGAGTTGTGAGCGCCTCTTTAGCTTGAGTCTCGCAGGAGACATGGTTAGAGGTTAGAGACCGGGAGTTGACTATAAATTTGGCCTCCGCCAATTCGCCTTCTTCAGATGGTGCTCGCTCCTGCAAGGTCGCACGTAGAGCCGTTTTTACACTGCGCATCATTCTTTATTAAGAATTCTGAAATAATTAAATTAAAGGCTGCTGGTTCTGTGGAGAATCGGTATATTTGACAAGACATACAGCAAAACAATGACTTCTATCAAAAGAAAAACGAAATATAAAAAACCTATAAAAACATAAATAATATCAAAAAGTTTGTGCTTCAGCACACACGTAATATTTTTTTTTAAAACCAAAGCCTTCTTATAAATTTCTTTGTAAACATTTTCACATTTTTTATTAGAACCAGTAGCTTGGAGGGAGGGAATTGGTCAATATTCGTATTTTTTCTTAAATAATTTCAAAACAGCATTGCAGCATTTGGCTGGCATGCTAGGGTCCAACCATTGCGATGAGCGCTTCGGATTATCGTAGAGAATCAACTTTTCATCACAGGTAATGATTCGATTTAAAAACCTGTCATCATTGTGCCGGTTAAGTAATGTCACGCAGCAGTCGAAGCGCGTTTGCCGGTTTGCTTCACTCACTTCGTGTCGTGATGTACCCACCTTTCAAGCTATTTAATCTTTCCAATTTGCTTCAAGTGGATTAAAACAGTTTTATCACTAACACCGCATTCTGCAACTAACTCGGACGTGGTTTGCGATGGATCCGCTTCCACAATAGCCTTCAATTCTTCATTATTAACATGGATCTTCGGCCGTCCACGCGGCTTGTTCTGCAGGTCGAAATTTACAGAACGAAAACGTTGGAACCAAAAAACGCACTTTGTTTTCTTTTGCGACACAACTGCCATACACATCATTAACCCTTTGAGCCTTTCCGCAGCACTGGTATCACGGTGGAACTTGTAAATAACGCGATATTTCAAGTTTTCCATTTTTTATACTGGGTGACGCAATTAGGATAATTAGAAGAAAAAAAAAACAAATGAATGCCGCCTAACGAAACACAATACATGTTTTTGGCTGTATTATTTAATTAATTTATTGGCTGTATAAATTTGTATTTGGAATTTGCAACCAAGGAGGAGAAATTTGTGACTAAAGTGGCCAGTACCACAAAACGCCAATTTCATATGTAAGGACCTAATACAAATTGATATCCTTAAACGAAATCTTGAACAGAAATAATTCATGAACATTTTCGACAGGTAAATAGCTACACAAAATTATGTTTACGTATGATAAAGTAAGTAAGTAGATTAGATAGGTATCTATATAATCCCCGCATATTGCTAATGCGTCTGACGGCCATTCTGGTGGCGTAATTATGTTCAACAATGAGTATCGTTATCAAATAAACATTGGTTGACACGTATACTTATTGAGTTGGGTTGTGTTGTGCTACACGCAATTTTTGTTATGTTTTCGATTGTTATTGTTACGATTTGTTGTTACTTGTTATGGTTGACTAAATTAGCTATTATGCTTTTATGCTATTATGTTTTATATTAACTGCTATTATGATTTCCACAATAAGTAAACCAGATTTAAATAAAAATGAATATATCTAATGTGTTTCGAAATGCGATGAGGCGATGTTTTAAAAATCGTCCTTTCCTTTTGTTGTTGCGTTATTACAAAATAAATTATTTATTTTGTTGTTTTTTATATACTTCGATATTAACACATAAATTGGCCATTTTTTTGCAATCGATTAATAAACTAAAAGTTATTAAATTCTTATTATATAATTCATAAATGT